CAACGTTTTACAAACCACAAGTAGGTTTTTTGGAGTTTTAAAACCAATGGGGTTTTCAACAACTTTGTGAAACCACGGGGGATTTTATGCTATTTTGCCTTATTTTTTTGGCTATTTTTTATACAGTATAGATTTCGTATATGGTGAACGTCGCCGTCGTTTTTCTGTCTAATCTCTTACTTCTTTTATTCTTCTTTTTCTATTCACTAAATTATTTTTTTTTTGGCTATTTTTTGCCGTCGATTTCACCAATCAATATTATATTTATTTGAGTTTTTATTTTTCTCTAATCTCTTAGTTTTTTTTTTTTTTCTATTTACTAAATTATATTTTCTTAACTATTTTTTTATGTAGATGCTTTCAATTGTAGTTATAAATATTGATAGTTTGATATTATAATTTTATTTTATCTATATCTTTATAAGAGCTTTTATTTTTAGTATCTACTTTGAATAGATAATTTACTATGTATTTTTATAGTTAATATGATCAATTTTTCTTTTGCAAGTTTTTTTAGATAAATTATTAACAATAAAATTATAATTATAAAATAATTTATTTTTATGTATTTTTAATTAAAATATATATATATTTTTATTTATTTCAAATATTTATAAAATTAAATAAAAATAATATAACAATTAAATTTTTTTTATAATAATCTCTTGCATAGCACGGGTTTAAATGCTAGTTGTTATCTATGTAATATAATTATCTAATTAATTACTTATCAGCACATGTGTTGAATTTTTTTAGGGAAAAAATCAATTTTGGTCATAATATAACCAAAATTTAGGAATTTTGTCCCAATATAAAATACTTATTAATTTTAGTCTCATTATATATAATTTCAATCAATTTTGGTCCATGTTGAAACGTGACTTGGATTTAGCGGTCTACCCGACCTGAAACCAAAGCGAAATGGTTGTTTCAATTGGCAGGGTTCCTTTTTGGTTTATCCTAATTAATAACAAATAGGCTTAGGGTGTAGAGTGTTTTGAGGTGCTTATAAATAGATAGCAATGGTTCCTAGTCGTATGACATGACTGTAACTCTCTCTGAATCAGTATAATAAAATCTCTCTGGTTCCTGCCCGTGGACGTAGGTTGACACATCGTCACTGAACCACGTAAAACATCTGTGTTCTTTATTTGTTTTTTTTTTCTCATTTTCTCATAACAATCTCATTATAAACAATTTCAATCAATTTTGGTCTCACGTCAACAATTTCCGTTAGTTTTTTTACGGTGGGACCAAAATTGATTGAAACTGTTTATAATGAGACCAAAATTAATTGAAATGGTTTATAATTAGACTAAAATTGATGAGTTTTTTATATTTGGACCAAAAGTGATAAATTTTGATTATATTGGGACCAAAATTAATTTTTTTTCCCAATTTTTTAATTCAGCACTCGGTTATAATTACTTGAAGATAATGATGTCCACACATCTGAAAGTACAAATTCTGTAGAACTGTGTTGAATTTGATTTGGCGGATGGAACGGTCGCAAACACCCAGCGTCACGATCAAGTTGGCTAAGGGCAAATTTACCAAGGTGTTAATATACTTAGACTCTACTTTTGGGCTAATAATTGAGTTTTGGGACTTTGTCATCGAGTGAAGCCTTGATTCACTTTCATCACTTCGAAATTGGTTCATGTAAACCCTTTTTGATCTGAGGAGTTTCGAGAGGAAGATAACAATGCACATAGTTTATTCACTTATATTAATAAGCAAAACTTAAGTATGTGTTTGATTCTTGGGGAGGAAAGAAAGTCTTATCTTAAAATGCAAATAAACGAAAAATGGAATAGGCGAAACGGGAGAAGATAAAATGTTATAAACCCAATACAAAAATTTGATTACATATTATTTCACGAAACATCCCTTGAACCCTCTCTTTGCAGCACAAGTGGCATATTTATTTGTAATTTTGTTTTTAGTTTTACACCATTCAATTTATTTTTATTACAAAACTTACCTCCAATATCTATAATTTATACATATTAATATTAAAAATCATATTTAATAATTTTTTTTATCTATAGATAAAAGAGTAAAAAAAATAAAAAAAAATGATAACATATCATCGTAAAAAGTGATCGAGTTGATGCAGTATATTGGTTGACACCGTATGATCGTCATGATCATCGATTTGAATCTTTTCAACACATTTTTGGTCGAACCTACCACAGAAAACTTAGTGCGGCTTTTTTTATGACATATATTGTAAACTATTACGTTTAATCCATTTATTTGTTCAATACAAATTCGAAAAGTAACTAATATAATTTTCATGTTTGAAAGGATAGTCACATTACATAGTAATTGATAGGGCAACAATGACTTCTTGTGACCTAACATGTGACTTAAATTTTAGGGTCCCCCAATTACATATATATTGTCCTAAGACAATACAATACAACACAAAGACAAGACGAGAGGTTTGTATGTATGTATGTTGGGTTGTTCCTTGGAGGAAATAAATGTGTTGCTTTTCTATTTATTATCAATTACTACTTCACTACAAAATTGTACATTTCAATTATTTAAATGTCTACAATAGTTTGTAAATAAATATTTAATAGTATAATATTATATACAATTATATTTTATTTTTATAACGTAGGAATCCGCAGCTGCTACTCGATAAGTGGGTAAATAAGCAAGTCACACTAAACGAACCATGTGTGGCAGATGAACCGGAAGACATTGGCGGTTTTAATCCATTACCTCATAGTCACAAGTTCACTCTCTACGGCACCAGACCATCCCTCAAGAGACTACAATAATATATATATATATATATATGGATAATCCATTTTTTTCTTTGTCTCATTACCGGATGTTTTTATCATTTTAATACAACAACTGGAGGTTGTATTAAAATAGTTTTGTAAGTAAATTTTTTTTTGCACATTTAGTCATCCGGCGCCAGAAATGTCTACGTGGCATGCTGGATGACACGTGTTCGCCAGATTATTGCCGCCTGACGGGGACTAAAAGTGCAAAAATTTCTCAGTTACGGAACTATTTTAAAACATCCTATAATTAAGATATTAAAATAATAAATAGGTCCAATTACGAAAAAAAAAAAATAGTTTATTCTATATACACTTGTGTATTTGGTTTATAGATTTGGAAAGGAAAATATAATGAATAATATGAATCTAATCTGAAAGTACGTTCTTTTAGAATTTTATTATATCTCTTAGTGTACTTTTTAATTTTAATTGCAGTTACTTTGAAAATGACAATCAGTTTATAGTAAAAAATTAAAATTAAAATCGAAAACTTAGAGCCAAAGTTTCTTGGTGTGTTTGTTTGGGGGTTTCGATTTTGAGTTGGGATTTAAATAGTAAAAATTTTGAATTTGAATAGTTGTATGATGTAAGGGGTGAGAATTTGAATTTTTTCATTCAGTACCCAATCCCTCCCGTTATATAAGGGGTGAGGATTGCATGCTGAATAAAAAAATTTAGTACCCATGCTGAGCACTTAAAATTTGATAATGAAAAATTATGTTAATTATTTTAATTAATCATATAAATTAAAATAATTAATTTTAAGTGCTCAGCATGGGTGCTGAATTTTTCATTTAGCACCCAATCCCTCTCGTTTTATAAGGGAAGAGGATTGGGTGCTGAATTGAGCACTTAAAATTTGATGATGTAGAATTGTGTTAATTATTTTAATTAATCATATAAATTAATATAATTAATTTTAAGTGCTCAGCATGGGTGCTGAATTTTTTCATTCAGCACCCAATCCCTCCCGTTATATAAGGGGTGAGGATTGCGGGTTGAATGAAAAAATTTAGCACTCATGCTGAACACTTAAAATTTGATGATGAAGAATTATGTTAATTATTTTAATTAATCATATAAATTAAAATAATTAATTTTAAGTGCTCAGCATGGGTATATGTTATCAGTGATAACCTAGTATGATTTGTATTCTCGGCGAACCTATTTTGCAAGGTATTAGATCAGTTATGGGTTTATCCATGCGAATTCCTGCCTCATAAAAAGAAATCAAAATTCCAAATTTAACAAAAAATACACATGATTTTCAAAAATATGAATATATTATATAATATTTATTATTTTTATATTTTTATGCATATCTCACAGAAAAGAACATACCAATTTTCTTTTCGGAAATATCTTAATGAGTCAATGCTGCATTATTTGTTTTCTTTATTTGTTTGAATAAGTATTAAATTTGGTTATTATTTAAATTTTGATAGTAACTAATATTAAGTAGGTTATATAATGTATTTTAATTATTATAATTTCTATATAAAAAAATTGTTTCTTAAAAAAAAAAGAAAAAGAAAAGAAAAAAACTACAGCTGGTTTTAAAGCCTCAACTTTTTAGGGATCATTAGAAACAATACTGATTTTGAAAAAGTTATAAATTCTCATTCGTGAAAATTGAGAGATAGAAACATGATCATTTATTTTCCTCGATGGAGAAAACTATCAATAGATGAAATTTACAAAAAGTCTCAGTCTATTTCAAAAATAAATATTTATTTATTTTTTTAATAAAATTTTTTAAAAAATTATATTTTAATAATAATTGGTGATAATTTCATTAATTTACACAGTAAAAATAATAAAATGGTATTTAACAAATGAACGAATTATTATAAATGATTGAAAAATTAGAATGTGTTTCTTTTATCTTCAAATTTAAAATTTTACTATTTAAACTCATTTTTTAAAATAAAGATATTTTTTTATTACAAAACATTTTATTATAAATTATTTTAATGTAAAATTTAAATCAAAATTTTCCAAATCAAATAAAAAAATATCCAGTAAAAATAAAATAAAATAGTGGTCCACTATATAATTAAGAAGAACCTCCAAATCTTCCCAAAACCCCACTTTTTATTTATATTTTTATTTTATTAAAAATGCTGATCGGGGCGGGGCGCTTCATGCGCCCGTTGCGGATGCCCTAACGCGCTCCTCCTGCGATTCAAATTTGTATTCCTTTGTTCAAATCTGCGATTCAAATTCTTCCTTATTCAAACTTCCGCCATTGACTCCTCTAATTGTCTTTTTGTTCTAAACCAGTTCTTTTCTTTCACAAGGTTGATTGGATATAGAGTTTTGTACGCAGTCTTAGAGCTCGCAATTTTGCGTCGAATCTCCGCGCTTTTTTTTTTTTTAAATTAGCGTCAATGGGCGGTGACAATGAAGGTTGTGTTGAGAATCAATTCTTCATTGGACTTAGATCTGAATCGAAGGTTCCGTTTTTGAGCTTTTGAAATAATTACTTATTTTTGTTATGAATGTCGAAGTTTCGTTTCATGTTTTTTTTTTTTTTTTCGTGATGCAGAAAAGAGGAATATCAGATGTGGAAGAAACATCCGACTGCACTAAAGAGAGAGTGAAAACTCGCGACCTTGAATCAGTTTTTCGATCCGAGGGTACAATTTTTTTACCTCTTCCTGAAATTTCACTGTTTCATCTGATTTTTTATAAAATTGCATATGTTTCGAAGATGACGGTTTGTAAGATTAAGGTTTAACTTTGTATCTTTGAATTATTCGAAAATTTCTAACTACATTATGGATGTTTTCTTTTGTACTTTTACTCTTGTTTTGTATTCTGTGCGAAAATAGTACTTTGATACCGATTGTTTTGAAAGGAAAATTGATGTTTGAATGGTGAAAAACCAAAAATAAGAAAACTCTGATGAACAAACACTACATCTTAGTTGGATAAATATGTTTGTTAAGAAGTTCTTCAATTTTGCTTGTAAGGAACATTCTTAGAATTCTTTCGAAAATAAGTAGAATAGTATCGAAAATTGTCATTAAGAGGATAGCATTTTAAAATTTGAATCTGTTGTAGCTGAAACAGAACGACGAGGCTGCAGTGTGGCGCATTCCGATGATTCGGGAGTGCTCGATCTCAACGTAGACAGTGTCAAGAAAGCCAAGGGGCTGAATTTGGATCTAAACGCCGAAGATACATCCAGTTCAATCAACGATCCGTTCGATCCTGAATATTCGAAATGTGGAAAAGAGTCTATGAGAGTTTGGAAAGGTTTGAAACAGAACAACTACATGTCTACGCCGTATAGAGCTGTTCCTGCGCCGGTGCCTAAGCCGCGCGTTCGTAAGAAATCGAACAACGATTTGACGACGAAGAGGAAGATAGAGCTTGCGAAGAAAGAACAGGTCGACAGATTCGCGCGAGTCGCTGCTCCGAGCGGTTTGCTCAACGGGCTGAATCCCGGAATCATTAACCATGTGAGGAACAGCAAGCAAGTCCACGCGATCATCGAAGCTTTAGTGAGGTCCGAGCGAAATGAAAATCAAGTTTTTGGAAGCAAGAAAATGAATTCGATTGAAGAACAGGGGAATGCGCATGGTAATAATCAGACGAGCAATAATCCCGTGTTCTCGAAATCGGTTTGTACAAGTGAGGCTGTAACGGGAGGCGAGGTCGCGTTTCGAAGATTGCCGACGCGATGGAGCACGAGATACGTCGATGATGATAAGCTCGCGCTAAAACTTTCGTCGTCGGTAGCTGATGCGTCGGACGATACTTGTTTGTCGAACGATGGATCGACCGACCTCGGATCGGTGACTTCACTCTCTGTCAAAGGTTCGAGAAATATACTTGTGTATATATATACATATAAAAAAAAATAAGTATTTGATTTGATATTTTATAAAAATTTCAGCGGCCAATGTAGCGTCGCAATGGCTGGAACTTCTGAGTCAAGACATACAAGGCTGTCTTGCAGGTGACGAGCTTTCGTTGTGTCTGAAAGTATTTCATCTTTTTGCGATACTTACATTTTGTCATTCTTTTCTTGCAGCGCTACGAAGGAGTAAGAAGAGAGTTCGAGATGTTATTATAACAGAACTGCCCCTTCTAATTTCGAGGGAATTTCCGGAGAAGGATTCTTGTACAGTAAAACAATCGAATGCTGAAGCTCATCACGTTCGATGGCGAATGATCTTCGCGCAGATGGACAAAGCACTTTCCGAAGAAGAGAGTTATCTGGTAAGAAGTCTTCTCTGCAGTCTTACAATATCGATGATATAGAAAACACGGCGCGCGCTGCTGTCTGAAATTTTACTGATTTTTCGACAAATCTGGATCAGGAAAATTGGCTGAGCCAAGTGAAGGAAATGCAGGTGCATTGTGAGAAGGGATTATACATAAGCAGTTTGCATAATTCGACAGCCCCAATCAGGTTTAGGATAAATTTCTGTGTGTTCTTTTTTCGCCGATATATGTTGTCTGAAAATGAGTCGGGAAATCAAGACAGCCTTTGTTGCATGCTTTGTTGCACAGATCGACAGATGACACAGCCGTGAGGGCTGCAGCTGCGTCCATATATTCGACTTGTAACTTCTTGTTGTCGAAGCCGAGATAGAGCTGAGCCAAGTCGAGCCAAGCTGAGCTGAGGTATGGTGCAGCCAGCCGATCAATCGATTGGCTGTTCTTACATATTCTTGACTAGTGATTAATTTATTGCAGTGACTTTAGAGGTAAAAAAAGACAGATTTATGACATTACATTAGTTGTAGTGTCTCCGGCATGAGAGCTGATTGATTGTTGTTAGAGAAAACAGTTTTAGCAATTTTCTTTTAAGTTTATTGGCCTAACCTAATTGATTGTAAAATTAGGTTCCGCAAGATAAGTCACATTAACTGAATTATATGTGTTTGGTTTTTGCTGTTTAGTATTATGATTTTAAAGTAACAATTTACTATTAAACATTGTGTAAATTTTTAATAAGAATATATATTGCTTTCTCTGTACTTATGTATCTACCTGTTTGTTAGAGTATGAAAATTAAAAAAGATACTAATTTTGCACCATCTTTTGTGTCTTGTGCATGATAGATATGAAATTTTACAAGGTAGAATGAAAATTTCATAGGATTACAAAATTTGAAATAAAGTAAATGAGTGTAAAAAATAAGTTGGTCATCGATGACAATTGTATAAATAGATAAAAATTTATAAAAGAAAGATACTCTCGATGCATGAATTCTTTAATCGTACTTTAAATTTTATATTTTTTAATTTTTACTATATTAATTAGCTATTTTAATGTTAATATTTTGTATTACATAATAATTATGTTTATTTAAGCTTTCTTGATTATTTAATAATTATAATCTTTTTAAATTTTTATATCTACAATAAATAGAATAATTCACGTGGGAGGGATGTAATATTGTTTTACTAAATATGATATGATCATATTTTTTTGGTAGACAAATTGAAATGGTAAAATAAAGACATTTTTACAAGAAAGAATGAGTGATTTTTTATTAGTACTGTAATTAAGATTTGAATTTATAGATTAACTAACCAATTTGCAATTAAGTTGGTGCAAAACAAACACTCTTCGATGTTATATGCATTTAGGTAACAAATATTGTCTCTTCGAACAATCATTTAAAGTCTTGTTCAAAAGTTGATATTGTTTTAGATAAATTTATACATATTTAATATAATATCACATCAAATTTACAGATGATGGTACCAACCATAGGGCCACCCGATGCTGCAGAGACATTTGCTCGATTGATAGCTTAAGCCTTAGCTATTCAAAATATTGTTTCTCAACACATCTTGCTGAAAGCACTATAACTAACAACTAACTAGTGGTGATCAATCACACTTGACACCGTCTTCAACACTTTTCACGATCAAGTGCAATAATAGCCAAAGGAAAAACTCATTTTCTTACAAGCAAGTAGGCAAAACCAAATCCGGCTTCTCTTGTGTATGATGTTTGGATTGTAATTTCATCTCAATTAGTTTACGAGGAGCTTTCATTTTCATCTCAATAGCAAACAATTTGTGGGCAAGCTTGAAAGAAAAAATTTGAATAGTCTAATGTCTCACTCATATTTCAACTTAAGTAGTCACTCAGCTCTTTTGAATAAGATAATTATTTTTCTTTTACAATCCATGTAACTAAATTATAAGAGTTACGAGAGAAATGACTGACTGTTGATCCCAACGTAGAGTATATATGTGAAAACATATGTAATTGGTGACTTAAACACAATGCTATTGGGCAAGATGAATAGTGATTTAATGACCTCTCTCAATTATACATATAATGTAGCAAGAGGCTAAATATGACATATGGAATCTCTGTCAACTATGAGTAAATTCTATTTAGTATTGAAAAACAACGGGAAATTCATATTTCACTTGAACATAATTCTATAGGGAATGCGAAGGACATTAGCCATAAACGGTTTGACAAGTGAAATTAAGTACTTCCTCCGTCCCATAATAAAGTATCCATTTTTCCATTTTAGTTTGTCCCATAACAAAGTATTCATTTCTTTTTTTAGTAATTGTACTATCTACCTAACGTTAAAAATACCCTTACAACTTACAATATATTACACAAATGTCATTAATTTTAATCATTTCTATTTTATTCTTACTACATCCGCATATAATACTAATATTTCTAAAACTACGTGCAAAAAGCAAAGAGATATCTAATTATGAGACAGATGAAGTATTTAAATATTGCATGAGACACAACAAAAAACTTACTTGTAACTCAACAGTTTTTAAATTGATAGAAAAAACAAAAAAATAGTGTCAAGAAGAAGAAATGTGATGTTGCTGCTAGTGTGGATAAGAAAGAGCCAGCAAAGTCGTAGGTTCATAGGTTCAAACACCTGACGTCTCAGGTCATCTGTTAGTTCGACTAATGTGAGTTACTTGTCGGACCTGGTTTGCAGAGTATTAAATTTGATTGGGGGTTTACTCAATGCGCACTTTCGGGTAGCGACTGCGGGTTCCCATGTTATTAAAAAAAAAAAAAAAAAAGAGAGAGAGAGCCAGCAAATATCCGAGGTAAAGATTCTGAGCTTATTATTTTATTTTTTTTATTGGGATTATCTTTTATTTATTTTTTCTCTTAATTATAATATAAAATTTGAGATTTTCTATTTATTTACTTCACATTATACTATTAACAGTAGAATTGCAATATCATTTAATGATCCTGATTATACTCTTCAATATTTTTTGTAAAGTATTTTTAAGATTACAAACTAGTATTTCTTATTATATAAATTGTTCACTATGTCTATCAAACATATAGTTAATTGTTTACTATGTCTATCAAACATATAGTTATATTGGTTGATTGTGAATATAGTATGGATATTTTTAAAAGTATGAGTAAGGGTTAATGAGGTGCGAGAAAATTTTTGATAAATTGAGTGTGTAAGTAGTTATGACATTTTTATTTATAAATATAACGTGTAAAAATATAAATTAAAGAGTGTGTAAAAATAATTTACTATAAATAAAAAATAAATATCTTTTATAGGAAAAGGAAAAAAACAAATAAACAAACATCAATTTTGTGCAACCGATGGAATAGTATTTTCCAATAAAAAATAAAAGATGGAAAAAAATATACGGTCCAAAAATCCGACTTAAATGACACCAATAATTTGTACCTGAGCCTTAAAATTAGGCACAAAAAATTGGACTGGGCCAGGCCTGTTTGGCTATAAACCATGTCAGGTCTCAGATTGTGAAAATTGATTGTACTAGTCCAACCCAAAAATAAATAAATATAAATATGTTATAAATATATATTAATAAATACTGATATATTAAAATTAAGATTTAATTATATTTAATATTCAAAATTCAAAATTCCTATATATATATATATATATATTTAGAAGATTGGAAGAAAACTATTAATAAGAATTTTTTATTTATATTTATATTTTTAATTATCAATACACATACGATTTATTCTATTTGTATTTATTTATATTTATATAATTTAGTTTTAATAAAAAAATCATACAAAATATAGCTATATAAATACAAAACAAAACTTTAATAAGCTATAATTAAATATATAAAAAAAATTAGGTCAACTTGACCGCCACAGTTTGAAACAAGACCATATCCAAGCTTGGGTTTCACTTTCAGCACACAAAATCAAATATGGCCCAGTCAAAAGCAATTTCTCGGCCCAGATGAAGCCCAATTAATGGCAAAGATCAAACCCAAGTTTGAATTTAGCCATACAGGCCCAATCTTGAAAGGCCCAATACTGAGTGAAATTGGAATTGACAAGAACAAATTAATTGTACGTACAAATCTTTTTTTCTAAATGGGATTGATTATTCTTTTTCTATCAAAAGTAAAAAGTTCAAATCTTGAAAGAAAATGTGATGTCAATCTCAATACAGACCATCATTTATGGGCTCTCCTCTTCAAAACCCCACCCTACCCCACCCCACTCCAAGAAAGTGCTTCTTCCACTATAGCTTTTTAGGCAGGCCATTGTAATTTGTAAACCAACACAACACACATGCAGAGAGTTATTCCAGTTCCATGGAAAGCAAAAAACACAGCTAATAATAAAAAGAAAAAGGAACCAAATGTAGTGGGAAAGTGAGCTCACAAATCAACCTATCATAATCCTAAGACAACCTTTCTCTTGCTTTTTGAGTGCTGCTTAATGTTCCTCTGGTTAATCCTTTTTCCATTTTCAATATATTGTTTTGAGTTTCTTAATTCATTGGTTGATGTGATCATCATTCCCCATCACTAATTTAAAATCATAATAATAATGATACGAACTAAAAAAAGGTATCCTAATGAGTATGCTTCTATACTAATGGCATTCTTAAAAGAAAAGTGATGAAACAGCTCGAGAACAATAAGGATTGGAAATAAGTGATTCTCAACTAGTGGGCAATCTATTTTTTGAAGTTAAAATATTTTTATATTTAATATTAAAAATGAGGGTCTAATCAAATCCACTCTAGTTGTGCATAATAATGATTTCTTCAAACTAACAATTAAAACATAAATAAGGGCTAAGCTACAAAGGCACACCAAATATTTGGTACATGATATGATTTATTTCAAGAAAGGAACCATTCTATTCAGGCATCATTTCTGTACATCATGCAAGAATCAAATTTGACAACAAAATAAGTGTGTTTTTTAAATTAGTGGATTTTCTGCTGACAAGTGCAACAGAGTGACATGATTGTATTGGCCAACCATGGCTGCACTGCACCACAGCATATTCAAATATGGTTGATAAAGCTAACCTATATAGTATATGGAAAAGCACAAATAAATTAAACCAAGCTACAATTAATATACCATGTGCAAGGGTGATGCATGGAAATGCCAATTAGTGTTTTATTTATTTTATTGGCCTTTAATTGTGCCTTAATTGCATCTGTGTTGGTGACACAATGACTGACTGACAGCTCATTGTGCTTAGCTTTTCACATGCTCCTTAGTATCTTCCACACAAATGATCAAAACCCTACATCATAAATGCCCTCTGATTATTGGTATAATTTATTGCATGCCAAGAAAAAATAAGTAATAGAAAAAAAAGGATACTTTAATAAATTTTGTGGGGTCTTTTTTAGTATTATTATTGTGATGGATAGTTTCTATAATCTCCAAGCAAGAACTACAAAAGAGGGGACAAATGGATGGAATGAATCTTCAGAGATGAGTGTAAGACTGGGAGTAAACAACAAAAGGATACTATACACTAATGGAACAAAAATAGTCAAGAGTTGCAGAGAGATATGCATACAACAAACAGAAGAGTTTCAACCAAGAAAAAGACAGCAAGAAGCAGAAATGGAACCATGTGAATTTCAGCAAATAGGTAAGAAAGGAACAAAAAATGCATTTAAACAAATAGTGTGGTTATGTTATGAGAGAAGATGAAACCTAAAGACATGGGGGGCAGCCACATAATTCAAAGGGATTAAAAGATTAATATCCTGATTAATTAGTATAGATTAATCACACTGACTGACAGCTTCCATCTTCTGCCATTACTGTCTTTTTTTGCTTTATGGGCCTTTTTTTATTCCCACTACTTTCACTTTCTTTCTTTTATTATATACACAACTCAGATTACTTGCTTGGAAGTGGGAACCAAGAATCTTGAAAAACCCCTCAAGACAGAGACTAGCAAGTTCACTTTTTTGACTTAACCTAATAGTAATAATGTATTTGATCCATGAAAGATAGCATATCCATATTCTATGTTCTTACCTAAATAGTAAATACCAAGTTTGCCCCCATTCCAAATAGCAGTAAGTAATAGGAGGCAAGAATCAGCATTTGATGTTAAGAACAAGGTCCTGAATTAAGCCGGTGAAAAAGAATCCAGAAACCAAGTGTGACATGACATGGAGAAGAACTAAACTGCATAAACTTAACAACTAGTGCACCAAAAATCACGTTATGAAAAACACAAAAGGAAGGAAAACAGGAAACTGAGAGAGACAAAGAATTCAAAAGAGCCTAAATGTGACTTCTCCTTACATAGAAGTAATGAAATCAGTTACCGGATTCTTGTTCGCCGGATCAGCCATTGCTACTGCAAGATCCAAGTTCCTAATGGTGGTTAACTGGAATCTCCCAATTCGTCTTGGCTTTCAGAAGGGCATCGTATCAGCTCCAATATGTTAATTACTTCCGCCATGTCGGGCCTGCTTGAAGGCACCTGGGATGTGCAGATCAAGCCTAGTTTCATCATTGGAATTGCCTCCTCGGCAGGGAATTTTCCTTGCAGCTGACTATCAACGCAGTCTTCAACTTTTCCTTCTTCGAGTGCTCCCCGAACCATGTCGCAGAGAACCACAACATCATCCTCCATGTACTCAACAGGCCTCTTCCCAGTGACTATCTCCAAGACCAAGACACCAAAGCCATAAACATCGCATTTCTCAGTTATCTTGACTGTTTTGCATGCAAATTCAGGTGCCATGTAACCAAGAGCACTCTGAATCTTGCTGCTCAGCACATACCTATCCAACATCGGCAGCAGCCTAGCTAAACCATAATCAGCAACTTTAGGTTCACCAGAGCCGTCAAGCAATATATTGCTTGATTTCAAGTTGTAGTGAATCACATTCATTTGGTGTAAATGAGCTAAGCCTTTTGCAGCCCCAACGACAATATTAAATCTTTCATTCCAAGACAGATAGGTTCCATCAGATCCCTCATGAAGATGCTTGTACAAATTTCCACCTGAAACGAATTCGTAAATGAGAAGCTGCAATGAGGGGGTCCAGTAATATCCATCAAGTGCCACAAGATTGGCATGACGAACTTTTGCCAATTTTTTTACTTCCCTTTCAAAATCTTCCTGGGACTTGACTAGGCTAGATACAGTTAGCTTCTTAATGGCAACAAACCGTCCGTCTCTCAGCATAGTCCGATAGACAGCACCAAATCCCCCACATCCAAGTTCACAATCTTTATTGAGAAGGGCATGTGCACCAGTGCTAAAATCGGCATCACCTGAAAACATGACAAGCTTCCCAGAGTTCCCATCTGTAGATGGTGAGTGGCTGAAGTCATCACCGCCAGAAAAAGCGAGAGCCACAGCGGATCGAGAAGAGGCAGACCGTACGCGAAGATTGAGCACGGTGATAGCTATTACACCAATGACAATAGCAGCAGCAGCACCGATAGCAATCAGGGCAGAGATACTGAGGATTCTCTTCCCACGACCAAATGCTTCAGGTGCAGTTCCCGGCACAGTATCAGTAGTGTTTGGATTAAGAACAATTGGTTTGGGAAGAACTGTGGGGCAACTTCTATTGACTGCAGCCCCGCAAAGAGAGGGATTATCTGATACAGACGATGGATCAATGGTGTTGAAAAAGCTACCAGCAGGGAGTTCACCTTCTATCTGGTTGTGTGAAATATTGAATGACTTGAGGCTTACAAGATTCGCAAGCTGCTTAGGTAGGGCTCCTGTCAGTTTGTTGAAAGAGAAATCGACGCTTTGTAGGTTAGGGAGTTTTCCGAGGGAGGACGGGATGGGACCAGTTATTTCATTATGACTGAGGTACCTGCCAGATTCAATCAAAGAGAGAGAGAGAATACCCGGTCAGAATTCGACTTGACAAATATCATGCAAGTTTCCATACAATCAGTTTGCCGCATCCAAACATTTATGACACAAGAGGAAGAAATACTCACACTCAATCTCATAACTCACTTACATTGTAGCAACCAACCAGTCAGTTTATTTCATGGAGAACATCATTAGAAATGCAAAAAGTTAGAAACCTACGCTAGTCAAGCGTAACATGAAAGGCAAGTATCTTTCATTAAACAGTAAATTGAAATACCCAAACCAACTATACGATTAATCAACAAGATCTCAAAGAAAATAAATTTATGGCATATGAAATTTCAAAAACAAGCAAATAGCTTACAAGAATCTAAGTGAAGCACAGTTTCCAATCGATAGAGGAATGCTGCCAGCCAAAGAGTTCTTTTGCAGCCTCAGTTCATCGAGGGATGTGAGTCCTTCAATGTCTGAAGGAATACTTCCATTCAGCCGATTTTCACTCAAGTCGAGAATATTTAAAAATTTCAAGTGTCCAATACTAGGAGGAATGCTGCCAACAAAAGAGTTCATAGCCAGACTCAGAAACCGCAAGCTGCCAAAAGCTCCAACGGCATTTGGAATTGCACCAGATAGCTTATTCTGGGAAATATCCAAAATCACAAGGTTTTTCTGAGAGCTCACTGTTGATGAGGCTAAAGCATCGTCAATGCTACCACTTAATCCATTCCCAGAAAACAAGACTTGCTGTAAACCAAGTCTGAACACCCAAGAAGGAATATTTCCTGTTAGAGAATTATGACTAATGTCAACAGCCATTAGATTCAGGCAGTTGCTCATAGATTCAGGCAAGTTTCCCGTGAGCCCATTCTTGGATGTATTGAGAATCCTCAACGACTGAAGCTTCCCCAAGGAATCTGGGAGTTGACCTGTGAAATTGTTATCAGAAAGATCAAGAGTCTTAAGGCTTCTCATGTCACCAATCCACGTGGGCACCCCAGACGTGAACCAGTTTCCACCTAAACATAGATCATTGCACAAAGAAAGCCTCTGCATTGTGCTTGGAATCTCACCAGAAAGCAAATTTTGACTCATATCAATTGATCTCAGCAACAAACAATTACCAATTCCATCAGGAACCTCACCAGTAAACTTATTGTTTCTCAAACTGATTACCCTCAAATTGTTCAAAACTTCAATACCCTTTGGAATTGCACCATCTAACATATTATCAGACAAATCAAGTGATCTAATCCCAGTCATCGACCAAATTCCCAAGGGCAATGGACCAGAGAACTGATTACCAGAGAAATTAAGGGAAGTAAGAGTGGAGCACGAACCTAGACTCTCCGGAATTGGGCCTGAAAACTTGTTTCTAGCCAAGGAAATAGATCTCAACGCTCCACATTGGGAAAAGAAATCACTTGGAATTGACCCAGATAAGGCATTCTCACTCAAGTCAAGAACTCTTAGATCAGGCAGCTGACCAAGGCTGAGGCTTAAACTTCCCGTCAGATTATTTTTGGCAAATGAAAGCTTCTGCAGAAACTGCAATCGAAGAAGACCTCTGCCTAGTTTCCCTGAAAGGCCAAAGCCATCAAGAGTAAGGTCTGTTACTCGATTGGATCTAGGGTTGCATTTCACCCCTACCCAACCGTCACACGGACTGTCATCATCTTCGTTCCATGAACTCAATTTCCCATCAGGGTCACGAACATCGGCTTTGAACACGATCAAACCCAGAATATCATCATTCAAAGAAGGGCTCAAGGATTTCACCAAGAATGGAGACAAACAAATGAACAAGAAAACAGCAAGTACACTTCTCATTTTCAGGATATCAGTAAAATGCAGACGAACTAAGACATTAAATGGTTTTAAACGAATCCAACAGAGATTTCCCCTCCTGATAATAGACACCAAAATAAACCCACCAAACAAGCTTCCCTAATTTTGAGAGGAAACACAATGAAGTCCAAGAACTGAAGAATGGCGAGCAAAAGACTAACAATTCCTAAATCCTTCCTCCAAAAGTCTGCAGAAACACAACACACACATAATGTTTGCTTAAATACGACGCCACGACTTTTTTGCTCGTAACGGCTAGAAATTGCGACCAGGAAACGGCCACCAGCAAAAACCACAGAAAAAAACCACTATAGAAAAACCCTAGCAGTCTACCACACCCAATCCGGCAACCACATTAGCAAACGACGCCGGCTAAACACCCACCAACACAATGCACAGCGGCATTCTTCAAAGTCGAAAGCACAACTCGAGGGAAAACGAAAAAAAGAAAAAGGCCAAATTTCCGGAAAGAGCAGACGATTAAAGCGATTAAAGCAAGGAAAACGCAGAGTAAGAATCTGAAAAACAAAACAGTCGCTTCACGAGCTCAAATGCGACAAACAGGATTCACAAGAATCGCTTCCCCGAAACGAGCCTACCCGAAGAAACGAGCGCTGCAGAACAATCCGGCGTGAAATGCGGGAAGTGACGAAGATTCCGGCGACCGGGAGTCGGTGCAGAACATTTAATGCGCCTTCACACTCACTCCCAATACTTTAATTCCAACGGAGAGAGAGAGAGAGAGAGAGAAAGAGACAGAGAAAGAGAAAAAAGAGAGAGAAGAGACGACGGACATTTATCAACGGGAAAAAGAGGGGGAACGAAGAAAAGGGAGAGAGGGTTTTGTTTGGGTGTGGCCGGTTCTAACATAACACGACACGTGTCTTACTCTCATAGGATCTCACAAATCCGACGTGTCAGACAGTTGTCGCCGGGGGCGCACGGGACTTGCTTCTCCACAAATTTGGACATGAAATGGTTTTTTATACATTGTATTTTTAAATAATTTTGTATATATATTATCCCATAATTTATTTAATAGCAGTTTTAGGAAAAATTATTAGAATGGTAATGGTAAATCATTGGGTATAAGAAAAATAGGAAAGTAATTAAGAAATACTTTTATATATATATAGAAATAAATGAAAGTAGGTGGGGTGGGTGGTGACAGACAGGCAGGCAGTGTGTAATAAATCACAGCGGGTTGCCTTTAAAGCTTTTGCCTCACTCAACTCGCCAATTCATTCTAATTAAAGGCACCCCCACCCCACCCCCGCCATAAATGCATTTCATCTGCTTGTTTGGATTTTTTTATTTCTAGCATGTATATTTCTTTAGCAAAATTACTATTTCAACTTTGTAATTTTTTTTTAAAAAAAATACTATTTTCGTCGGATAAATATAATCTTAATTGAATTTGATATGAAATTTAAAAAATATTGATATTATATTAGTAGTTAGTAAAAAATATGAATAAAATTTTTTTTGCTTTTGCATGGTGTATCAGAGTAAAAAGTAATGACAACTGTATAATAAAAATAAAAAAAATAGGGATACTTTTATAGTGTCATGATTATTTACGGAAATAAGACTATTATTTTGGGACGGACAAAAATGGTAAACAAGATTATTGTATTGGGACGGAGGGAATACTTCTCTAATGGTCACATTTACGTTTTGCATCATTGTACTTAATATTAAAAAAAAACTTTATATTTGAATAATTTGTTTTACATATGTTTTCTATACTAGTTAAAGTATTTTTGTAATTTTTTAATAATTTGTTAAAGTATTTGAATAATTTGTTAATTTCTACTATTTTTTATATAATAATTGATATTCAAAGAACAACACATACAAAATAAATGAAACCCTTAGAGTTGGACAAAAGTAATATATTTTTTCTTTTAACAAAACATTTCATCAAACATTACTTTTATATTAAATTCAAATTCAATTTTTTCCAAACTCATCAAAAAAAACACATCATTATATTATTTATTCAAGCATTTAAATTTATAGTTATTTTTTTATAGTAAAAAGATTTCACTTTTTTTTTAACTATAAAAAAAATTCAATTTTTATTATTATTTTTTTTAAAATTCGTACTCGGTGAAATGAATGTGATTTTAGAGAACGGAAAGGGTACAATATTTAAATAGAGAGACTAAAAGATAATAGTAATATTTTAATATAAAAAAATAAATAGAAAAAATAAAATAAAAATATTATTAAAATTTATTAAAATGTTAGTAATATACTAATATAAAAAAGAGTGATAAATTAATTATTATTTATTAAAATAAAATAAAAGGTAAACTGTTTTTTTGTCCCATAACTAGACCCTTTTATCGTTTTAGTCTCGTAAGTGGAGCATGTCGCAAACTAGTCCCATAAATGAAAAATTTTCGCTATTTTAGTCCTCCGGCGCCGGAGATGCCCGCGTGGCTCGTCGGAGAGATGACGTTTCCACCCTGACGGACATGTGAATTTTAATTTTTTTTTTATTTTTAAAATTTTTTTAAAACTTATTTTTAATTTATTTTAAATTTTATTTTTGTTTTTTCTATTTTTTTTATTTGATCCAATTTTAAAAAAATTGAAAAAATTAAAAGAAATGAAAAAAAAAAAAGTTCACGTGTCCGCCAGGTGTCGCTGACCTAGTGGGACACCTGGCGGACACGTCACCTCCGGCGAGCCACGCGGGCGTCTCCAGCACCGGATGACTAAAACAGCGAAAATTTTTTACTTATGAGACTAGTTTACGACATGCTCCACTTACAGGATTAAAATGATAAATAGGTCCAGTTACGGGATTAAAAAAATAATTTACCTATAAAAAAAAAATAAAACTGTAAATATATATAATTATTTATTATATATGAATTATGTATAACTTTAATGGATAAGTAAAAAATGTGCAATAATTTTTTGTATTTATTACTTTGTTACTATGTATGTTAAAGATTATTAGTACTTCATTTGCCCTATAACAAATTTAATAATTGTTACTATGTATGTCTTATAATAAATAATATATTTTTATATTTGGTAAAGTTTACTAATTTAATATATATTTAACAAATATAAATAAATTTAATTAATTATTTTCTCTCAATAAACAAATATTTTTATCAATAATTAAAACTCTCATTCTTTTATAAAATTATTTTATATTAATCATAAATAAATAAATATACTTTTTTATTTATTTGTATTATATAAATATTTTTATAATCTATTATAAAAATCTTATAAATGAAATGTAGGAAGTAAATTTATGTTATATATAATTTTATTATCATAATATCATAATTGAATGTAATATAGGAGAATAATAAAATATTTTAATATATTTCTAATTATTTACGTTATAATTAAATCATTAAATCATTAATCAAATATTCTTTTATTTCAAAAATATTAATAAAATTAAACTTTAAACCATGTTTTTAACTGATAATCTAACATAGGATCATCATAAAACATCAAAATCCAATCAAATGCATCCTAATATTCCCGCTACAATATTCAGGTGAAACAATGATATATTAATATTGGCGTGTTCATCCAAAAATATATATATATATTTGAAAAATAGTAATTCCTATCTTTTAAGTAGGTTTAATTATTGTTTTTTTTTAATTCAATTTTTTTTTAAAAAAAAAATTGGCACGTGAGATAAGGTAGACACACCGTTGTCATTGTGTCACCTGCCGAAGACAGTGCGAGTATCATATGACAATTTTTCGACACTAATTTGACAATAAATTAAAAAAAAATATTTGGGCCAATCGGAAAAATTGAAAAAAAATAAAAATAAAAATAAAACACACTTGATTATAAAGCTGTTAATGATTCGAGCTGACTCGAGTCAAATTTTAAGTGTTCGTTAACGTTCGCGAACAAAGCTCATGTTCGTTCGTTAAGCTTTCAAACTCGTTCGTAGTGTTCGAGCTCAGCTAATTAATAATTTTTGTTGTTTGAGCTCGTGTTCAACTTGATTAAGTTCGTTCGAGCTCGTTTGTCTTATTTTTTTAAAATTATATATAAATTATAAAAGAAATTTTAAAATTATTTTATTTATATATTTTAAATTAATATTTTATTTATTTATAAATTATAATTATATATATAATATTTATAATAAATATATTATTTCAACGAACGTTCGTGAACAAAGCTCGGGCTCGTTTGATAACTAGACGAGCCTGTTTTTGTTGTTCGGCTCGACTCGTTAACGTTCGCGAACGAGCTTTAATCGAGCCGAGTTCACGAACGACTCGATTCGTTTAACAGCTCTACTTGATGAGAACATTTCTTATTTGAATTGATCGAACAATTCCCTTTGAAGAATTTTAAGAGACTTGCGACCGAATCGGAGCTTTTGCCAAAATATTTCTCAAGCCCGTCGGCATTGCCATTGAAGTCCACCTTACCGGGATTTATTTTGCACCCGAATCTCCGGTCCAATCTCCAGCAATTAAGTGTCGTCATCTATGACGCAATGGAGCTTTCTTCCGGTAAGGAGGCGCATCACTGCCCAATATTTATTTATTTTAGCTTATGATTTTTTTCGTCATTTTGTTGGTTTTTATTTGTATTTGTAATTTGTGACATCACATGATTCTCTTTGTCATTGTCCCTTTAAATGTACTTTGTAATATCACAGTTTTACAACAGTCGAAGTGAGTTTTTTTTTTTTTTTTTTTATATTATTATTGTATGGAAGTAATAATTTTCAAATACCAACTCTTCAATATGTAGGGAGAGAAGGGTATGCTCTTACATGCGGTGGAGACAATGATTTTTGGGTTGAATTTTTCTATTTTTAGAGATGGGGTGTTTATGATCATTGTCGATGATGAAATACTTAGATAGTGTGCAATAGAACATGTAGGAAGACAATGTGATGATTTTGTTATATTTGTCCGAGCAAAAGATGATCTAGATGGTTGTAATTACTATTTTTTTTTATGGTAATAATAAATATGTAATTAGTCCTGCAATAGGTCATAGTCACGATGCTTTGTTTGCGGATTATGGAGATGACTTTTTTTAGGGGAGCTTTGATGAGGCTGATGTAGAATTGAAAACGATGAAAAAACCAATATTAGGTGTAAAAAAAAAAAAGATGATAAAGGGATATGAGACGGGATGAGAAAGTCAAACTAGACGAACATGTATGACAGGAGACCTGAGGCGTTGGGGATTTGAATACAAGTCCAATCTCTACGCCACCAGGTTATCTCTAATCCCGTATGTTGCTTTTTTTAGCAGAACAAGATAAACTTGGGGACTTGATTTACAATTTTGGTTAAGATGGATATGAAAATTGAGAATAAAAAAAATTTATTTTATGTCTGAAATAAAATGTGTACAAATAATTTTATATAGGATTTGTAGTCATTAAAAATATTATTTATTGTCGAAATATTGTTATGTTTTCTATATAATATATTACAAATTGATATTAAATAATTATGCAGCAAATTTTAATAGATTTCGACATGAATTTAGTTTTTAAATAAATATATGATTATACTCCCTTCGTCCCATGTATTATGGGCCTATTATTGTAGATACGAGAATTTAGGTAAAGTGTGATTAGTAAGTAATTAAGAAGTGTATTAGTAAAAATAATTATCGTATAATAAAAATAATTGTGAATTAAGATTAAGATAACTAAATAGTTTAGTAAAGATTAAAAAAATTATAAAATTTAAAATTTAAAATGAGATTAAAGTGTATAATTATATTTTCAAAAAAGAAATGAACAAATTATGTATGACGGACGAAAATAAAAAGGACAAATTATGTGGGAGGGAGTATGTTTTAATAAAATAAAATTAAATCCAAATCAATATTATATATTTTGGTACAAAAAAAAAAAAATTCATTTTAGAGATATAAAATTATAGGTGCGTGCTTCCATAAAATATAAAAATAAAAAATTATTTACGAATAATATTATAATAAAGTACAATATATACATAATATATATTCTATTTACTCAATAAGTGAATAATTTAATATAAAATATATTTTTTTATACTAAAGATACATATATTGTGTAAATAATATATTTATTAATTATTTATTAATTATATAGTAAATTTTAAAATCTAGACGGTTTTAGTAAAATGGAGGAAGTATATTATTTTATATTTTATTTCAATGCAACAGTGTTGTTTGCTATTTTTGTCTATTTCAATATAATAATTTTGTTTATTAATTTTGTTCATTTCAAAACAATAGTTTTATTTTCATAAATACTCGTCTTATCATAAAATTATTCATATTTTTTTCATTATTATTATACAAATGTCACTGTTTTTTATCTTAATACACTCATACGAGCAAAAAAATTTTTTTACATATACTTTCTACAAACTATCAATATATCAATATTCCTAAGATATAGTTTTGAACGAGAGAGTATATTAAAAAAATCTAATAATAAAAATTACGATATAGACATAGAAAACGCATCCAAACACATCGTAGCTTTCGAGAGCGGGCAGCTTGTGGTAGGTCTACGTGGTCCACCATCCCTGCTCCGTCCAATCTTATAAGTCAAAGTTGGGGTCTCAATTCTGAACCAAAATTATATATAATTAAAAAAGAAGAAGAAATTATTCGACTTAATAATAATTTTCAGATTAAAAATACAGTATTTTAAGTTTTTTTTTTTTTTTTTTATAATCATAGTAATAATAATAATAATAAATCAAGTCAATTAAATATAGAACAAAATTAATTAAATTATTTTTCGATTTTATTTAATATAAAATATAAAAATCAGGTCAACAAATAATGTAATATTCTAACTCACTTGGATTTTGACATGATTGATATAATCTTAATTAATAATTTATGGCTGTGTTTGTCTGCCAATTTCGATTTTGAATTGAGATTTGAATAGTAAAACATTAGAATTTGAATAGTTGTATGATGCGATATAATTATGTATTAATATGATGTTTTGAATGTAAAATTAATTTTTAGTATAATATAAAAAACGAAAAATAGGTGTTTTGATTTGATATTTTTTAGAAGAAAAATTTATGTGAATAATAAAAATTCATACAATCCTTCAAACAAACACACCCTATGTGTACTCGTCAAATTTTACATTTGATTTTACTATTTTATTTTTTTCAATAACATCAAATTAAATATTTATTTTTTATTTATTATATTAAACTAAAATTTAATTTTATATTTAAAATATTATATAAATATATATATTTATATTAGATTAAATAATTATTTTAATTCAAAATTTATATTCAAAACAAAAAAATTTAAAATCAAAATCCTACAAATAAAGACACTTTCAAAACGATATAACTAATGTGTATCCCAATGCACAATCTTAATAACTATTTATATTTTAAATTATATTTCCTCTCTTATCTAAATATATGTTAACTTTATTACTCAATTTCAATAAAACACTTCAATATTGGAGAATACAATTACATTACATATCAAGTATCTAATTAAATGATTCGTCAGTCCCACCTATCATGTTTATATTGTCCCATCTATCATGTTTACATTGTCGTTTCTGTCCGTCTCATATTTCATGTCATTTTCATTTTTTGGAAAATAATTATACACTTTAATCTCATTTTAAATTTTTTAATCTTTTTAAAATTTTAATTAAACTAATTTAATTATCTTAACATTAATCTATAATTATTTATATTATAGGATAATTATTTTCACTAATATATTCTTAATTATCTACTAATTATACTTATCGTAAATTCATATATTTACAGTGATCCAGACATCCAATGTGAGACAGATAAAATATATCATGTTTTTATTATTCCGCCAAACTTAGTTGTTTGGTTCTCTGTAGGTACGAATTCTAGACCTGACTATAATTAGTAAAATAATTATATTAAAATTATAATAATTAATTTATTTAATTAAGATTTAAAAATATAAATTATGAAATTTAGAATTCGATTAAAGTGTATGATTTTGTTTTTTATTTCCAAAAAATAAAAGTAACAATTACCAAATTATTTCATTAAAAGTAATAATATATTAATACCAAAATACCCTCAATTTTTACTTAAAGTACGAATATACTATTACATACACAATTACTTTATACATAAAGACAAAGAATAAAAATGTCAAAATCTTTTACAAACTTCTTTATTAACTAATAAAATATTATTATTTCTTAATCTACTGCAATCCCCCAAAACATCCCTTTAAAATGACAGAGGAGTATTAGTTTTGAATAAAAAAAAAATGTTTTGCATAATTTAATTTAACACATAAATGTTTCACATAATAGATAAAATACAAAAGATTTTGTATATTTTTATTAAGACGTAATAATAAATAACATACAAAGAGTGTGTTTACTTGTGAGGTTTTGATTTTGAATAGTAAAATTTTTAATTAAAATAGTTGTTTGATGTGATATAAATATGTATTGATGTAATGTTTTGAATGTAAAATTAGATTTTAGTTTAATAAAATAAATAAAAATTTAGTATTTGATTTGATATTTTTAAAGAAAAAAAAAAGTTAAAATAATAAAATCAGAAAAAAAATTTTACAAGTAATCACACCCAAAGTATTTTGCATATTTTTATTATAATGCAAAAAAATGATATAATTTAACCTAAAAATTAAAATAAAAAACTTGATGTTTTTTTTAATAAATAATTAACCATTATATTTTAAAAATTCACAAAAAGAAGAAAAAGAGCAACCTCAAGTCAAAAATAAAAATTATTAGATGCTCAAACTGCAAACTACACATCCAAAGACAAAATCCAGGTAATCCAACGGCAGGAAAATTGTAAAAATTAAAATGTGGCTGCTGGGATTCGAGCCCAGGTCTCCACGGCCACAACGTGGAATTCTTACCACTAAACTACAGCCACTGTTTATGTCATATAATTCAATTAAATTATAAATAGAAAATAAAATCAAACTGAGTTTCATATGCACGTGGTTATTTGATTTTATTGATTTATTTGATTTGGACAATAAAAATTGTTCTGTTCATAATAAGCATTTACATAAAAAAAAAAAAAAAAAAACAAATACTGCATTTATCTCAAATTAATTTATTCATTTTATCAATTTGGTTCATTCAAAATTAATTCTACTTTAAAATAATTAAAAGAATATTACAGTTTACATATTATTATAAAATGTTATTACCGTAATTTATCTAATTTTAAATATAACTATTTATATTTCTTATCTCTTATATTTATAAAATGCTAATATTATAATCGAATCAGAATTTAGCTAAAGCATCACGGTAAATAGTAGCTGCAAATTTCCAAATTATCAAAAATATTGAAAAAAAATACTTATATTAAAAAATAGTTTAAAAAGTGGTAATTTTAACTATTCAAATTTTATGTTCAAAATATTATATATTTAAAGAAAATACTCACGTCTCGTTGGAAGGGTGACGTTTGTTTTTTGCAAGTAGATTTTTAAATATTAATATTATATTGAATTGTAGTAAAAAGGATAAAAATATCCTATTAGTACGGTGTAATATAAAAATAGTAGTATTTGTGTAATATTTGTAAATTGAAAAGGTATTTATTATATTAACTAGCTAGTACAAATTAAGAAATGATAACTTTTTCGTTGGACAAGAAAGTATCAAAAATTCCAAATTCAATATAAAAAAAAAAATCCACAAATTGACACACACCTACAATTAATATTTATAAGAATAAATAAAATGCAATATACAGGTCAGATAATAGAAACATAAAATAGTCTGATCTCCTGACACGTGTCCGGATGTTATTGGACAAAGTTCACCAGTAATAAAATGTTAATTTTTATCTATTTCATTTATTTTTATTCTTTTTCCGTTTCAGCGAGCTTGAAGAAGGTTCGGCCATGGCCGCTTCGCTGTTGGAGGCGCCGTTTTCCGGCAATCACTCGTCGTTCGGAGCTAATCACTTCTCCTTTAAACTTCAAACTACGAAGCCTGTTAACTATTTCATCCCTCCGGTACGTTCTCCAACTTCCGCATATCCTATATGGCTATGCGCCGCCGGAGATATTGGAGACCAAATACCACGGCAGCTGCATTCTCCGCCGAGTACGGAGAAGAGTTCTGAAGAATTTAGCGTTGCAATTGAGAGAATCATAGACCGGAGGAAGGCGGTGCGCGTGGCTTGGGAAAAGCTGGTCCGGTGGTCTCGTTCGTGGCGGTCCAGGGCAAAGACTGACGTTCTCGAACGCACTAAGAAGGTCTCCGATTCTCTCGCATTACTTTTCCTCGTTAATTGCTTCTCGCTTCTTCAATATTGATTCACAACAAGTAATGTTGTCGATTGAGCCACAAATTCGATTAATCCTTTCTTCATTTCAAAGCTACTGTTAATTTCCTTCAAATTTCACTTGCCGCTTTAATTATATTCTCTATAATGTTGTTGCAAGTCAATCCATGAATGCACTTAATCATTTTGATAATTAGGTCATGAATCATACGGATCTTATTGTCATTATCTAATTTGAAGTTCGTCATGTTTGGGGATCCAATATATATGTATATAGATGGATTTGAACAAAGTTTAGCATATTTTCAGTATCATTAAATCTGAAATTCGATTAATCGTGTCTTCATTTCAAAACTACAGTTAATTTCCTTCAAATTTCACTAGCCGCTTTAATTATCTTCTCTATAATGCTGTTGCAAGTCAATCCATGAATGCACTTAATCATTTTGATAATTAGGTATCATGTTTGGGGATCCAATGGATACCAAGGTAGATAGATAGAGAGATGGATTTGAACAAAATTTACCATGTTTTCAGTATCACTAAATCTGCTTTCATAGCAAAGCAGCATTTTCTGGCTTGTTATTGAAGAAATCCACTGTATGTGTACTTAGGTTGCACTACTTGGAGGTGGATCTTTTGGCACAGCTATGGCGGCTCATGTCGCCAGTAGAAAATCACAGCTAGAAGTTACTGTCCTCGTTCGCGATCCTAAAATCTGTCAATCAATCAACGAAAGCCATTTCAATTGGTAAATCAAATAGCATTTTCTTTTCAATCCATTTTGTCATCTAACATCAAGATACATAGTCATGTTGAAGCTACATTGATCTTGAAGTAGAATCCTTATTATTACAACTTTTTGTGCATCTTCTCTAACCAAACATCTATGTTTTCAATTTATTCCAGTAAGTATTTTCCAGAACAAAAGCTTCCGGAAAATGTCATTGCAACAACAGATCCTAAAGTTGCTCTACAAGGTGCAGACTTCTGCTTCCATGCTGTGCCAGTGCAGGTGCCAAATTGCTTTACCTTAGCCATATTGTACATTGATTTTGTTATTCAATATAATGGTACACCTTAAACTACAACTCAATTTCGTCCCTAACCCTATCGCCCTTAACGACTAAATTTGTTGCAGTTCAGTGCTTCATTCCTCGAGGGCATCGCTGAACATGTTGATTCAAGCTTGCCCTTCATTTCTCTGAGCAAAGGTCTGGAGCTTAATACATTGAGAACCATGTCTCAGATAATCCCCCGAGCGCTAAAGAATCCTCGCCAGCCGTACGTTGTTCTGTCTGGACCTTCATTTGCACTGGAGCTGATGAACAAATTGCCAACAGGTCATTCTGCAACACCTAAATACAGAGACTGCCCCTGATTATATAACTTCCAAATTAACTCGAATACTGCTTCTTATATGTGCAGCAATGGTGGTGGCATCTAAAGACAAAAAATTGGCCAATGCTGTCCAGCAACTTCTTGCCTCTAGGAACATGAGAATCAGCACATCAAGGTTGTACTTATAGAGGAGATACAGCCTTGTCCTTTGCATCTATTTTTAATAATCAGTTAGATTTTAATTTATTTTTTATTATGTGCTACAGTGATGTTACAGGGGTTGAAATTGCAGGTGCTCTCAAGAATGTACTTGCCATAGCTGCTGGAATTGTGGAAGGCCTAAATCTTGGAAATAATTCCATGGCAGCTCTTGTTGCCCAAGGTTGCTCTGAAATAAGATGGCTGGCCACAAAGGTGAGTTTTTACCTCATAGAAATAGTATAGGTTAGGTTTAACATGTGCTGAAATCGACAGTAGTATTATATTTTTATTTATTTATATTATATTAATATAAACAATGTGTTGTTTGTCGTTTAACAATTGTTTTATCGTAATCAGATGGGTGCCAAATCAACGACATTGACGGGGCTGTCCGGAACAGGGGACATAATGCTCACTTGTTTCGTGAACCTTTCAAGAAACCGAACAGTCGGGGTTCGTCTGGGATCTGGAGAAAAACTCGACAACATTCTCGATTCCATGAACCAGGTGTGTCTACATTATATTTTATACTTGGCGCCAAAATCAACATAATGAAGTTGCGCGGCGTTCAGGTGGCCGAGGGGGTGTCCACTGCCGGTGCGGTGATCGCACTGGCACAGAAATACAAGGTTAAAATGCCGGTCTTGACTGCAGTTGCTCGGATCATCGACAACGAACTTACCCCAACAAAAGCTGTAAATGAACTAATGAATCTCCCACAGGTTCGATTTCATCGCACCATCGAAACTCTCTTTTCCTGACATCTACAACTATAAACACTAAATGCTATTCTGTAGGTTGAAGAAGTTTAGCAAGCAATACCTCTTATCATACGACGAAAGCTGTGTCGCAAAACGGGTACATTCTCCCACCTGAAATTCTTCGTAATTTCAGTTCCTTCCGCGCTTAGATTTTGAGTTGATTTAGATTACAATACCTACGACATAAAAACATAGTCGTTGGCTAGGTTAGTAGACGAGACCTGTTAGCGAACAGGGGAATAGATAATCAATCCCCCGAATAGCAGATGTTATTCTCATCGGGAATTAGCTCGAAACGAATTCCCTTCAGGACAAAATATACAAAACATTCAAGAGCTAAGCAAGATTTGTTCATTATGTTGACCATAAAGTTTAAAAGACACCATAACGGCACGAGAAACTGTCGAAACAGTTCACCGTAGCCAAGTAGGCTCTAACGCCAAGGCAGAGTTGATTTTTCTGCTCCAGGATCGTACGATATACGATTTCTGTTAGTTTAGATTCTAAGTAGAGTAGGAGAGGCGAAAACTTAGGTATATGCGCAAGATGCACGTATATCATTCTCTTTTGTCCTCTTCGAGATCTTCCGTCAGCCCAAACACATGATCGGATGCAAGTGATGCTTTCCGGTCTTTCCTTTCCACTTTCGACGCCAAGTCCCCGGCCACTAACACTCCTGTCCCCGTAAGGGATATGCCCTCTTCTTCGTCCTCTCCAGTTTCATAAGCATACCTAGCCGATCGGACACAATATTCAAGTCAATTGGAACATGGACAAATACATACTTCATATGCTATGTAGTTGACAAGACTTATTGAAACAAACTAGTTTCGAGAATGGAAGAAAAGAGAAGAATTGAGTAGTCTAGAAGTTACCTGGTGGGGTTATGTGAAGGAGCTAAGAGAATGCATATAACCACCAACAACATGAAGGCGAGCAAAGTCCAGAAAGCCGGTATGATCCAGGCTCTTCGCCACAGCTCGCTTAGGGGATCGCTGGCATTGAAGTATAACTAAACAAGCAAAATATAGAGTCGTCATGAGTTTATTAAACTGATACCGTAGAATAAGTAGGATCAAAATATATTAATAGATGCTACGAAAGAATGAAGAGTAACATATAATTTAAAATTTCGGAAATGCATTCTGTTGCGGCCTAATCATATTATATACGCGTGTGTGAGTGCACGAGTGTGCTTTGTCATATTGTTCCATCCTTTTTCAAATTCTACCACTTTTTTAGTTGGTGCCGTTCGAGATTCTACTAAGTAAGAAGTTGTTGATTAAGCGGTATTTTACATATGGAGATGCCATTTCGTTAAGCAAAGGCAAGAAAGTACCTCGTAGCCGATCCAAGCAACTGAGAGTAGCACCGACACAGCCAAAGTATTGGTGAACTTTCGGTAGAGCTCAAGTTTGGCCATGCTTCTTCGTATCTGCACGTGGATGAAAAATCAAGGGTATTTTCTTCCCGCATAAAACTTCGGATCCAAACTACTATTCAAACCAAAATAAAAAACTGTTCACCAAATAAACACACCCGAAAGCTTTCCATAGTTATATCAAGAAGATAATTTGGGAACAAACACACCGGATATTTTATAGTTTTTTTTTTTTTCAACTAGGATAGGAGAATTCTCAAGGTTCCACACCAAGAAAATGAACTAAGATACATACAAATAAAAGAAAGTCCATACAGAAAAACAATGAACCACAAAATTACGTATGCACGCCCATTCATGTATATAATAATAATAGTAGAAACCTTTGGGAGTAGGAGACATTGAAAACGACAGAAATCCCTTGAGGAATTACGACCCTATTGGCAAATTCGATCAATCCTCAACAATTTATAGGACTTCAAAACCTTTTAAATATCCATTCACATATATAACTAACTACATATATATATATATATATTTATAAAATGAAATAAGATAAAAGATCGGTGTACAAAAAGAAGGGTATCGAGAAATTACCTGAAGCTTCTCCAGAGTCTTGGATAACGACGAGAAAATCCAAACAATAAAGCAGGCATCCAAAAGGGCAACCGGTAGAACCAAAAATAGCCTCGTTTTTCCTGCAAAGTCATTAATATTCCCCAAATGCTCGACAAGCTCCAGAGCTTCTGAAGCCACAAAATATACAACCCCGAGAAGAATTACTTTTGAGGTTATCCCTCCAAGGGTGGGCCGCATTACACCATAACCCATCGAAACCACGAGGATAAGAAGACGAGAAACCGTCTTCTTTATAGCAGTGAAGGTAACCGCCCACAACGTAATATTGATCGGCCTGCTCCCCGTGGCATTGAGATTTGCATACTCAAAGTACCAGAGAGCCATTTCGCACATTCCCAGAGAAATCACGGCCGTAATTTGGTAGTGAAGCTGAATTATATCTTTCCAGTGCTGTACGAACCGTAGAAACCATAGAAGACCGAGAATAAGGTACGCCAGAGACATCAAGCCGTAAAATGTCATCATTGGCGACATCTTCCCTGGTAGATAACCGTCCGGATTTCTCCAGACAGTTCTTCCGCTGATGGTCGTGCCCTTCAGCTCCGGGTCGCAGAGCACGAAATAGAGATAGTACATTCCGGTTTTGTTTATTTCAATAGTTTGAAGTGACATAGTCGCCACTTCGCTGTCCCCCTCGAACGGTGTCTCTACCCTTCTCGGCCACCCGGGGTTGTTGGGATCTTCGTTGATGATGACCTTACCCACCTTGCAGAAACCCTCCTTGGCGAGGTCGGGGTTGCAGCATATTGCGTTGAAGTTTTGATAAACATGCCCGATTTTGTTACTGTCTTTGACCTCGAATATTATGGCCTCGACCACTCCTGTACTTTGATGCATTTTGTTCTGCCTCACAGCAATATCTTTTGGTCTCCTAAATACGACAGACTCGAACCTACACAAAAAAACAGACCATACAGAGGAATAGTTACTCATTTTTTAACCATAGAAGATTGGAATAAATTTTGATTTCCTAAATACGATGGACTCAAACCTAAAAGAAAAACGGCCATACAGAGCAATAGTTGCGCATTTTTTAACCATAGAAGATTTGAATAAATTTTAATCTCCTAAATACGATGGACTCAAACCTAAAAGAAAAACGGCCATACAGAGCAATAGTTGCGCATTTTTTAACCATAGAAGATTTGAATAAATTTTAATCTCCTAAATACGATGGACTCAAACCTACAAGAAAAACAGCCATACAGAGCAATAGTTACTCATTTTTTAACCATAGAAGATTGAATAAATTTTGATCTACTAAATACGATGGACTAACCTACAAGAAAAACGGCCATACAGAGCAATAGTTACGCATTTTTTAACCACGTAAACAGAACTTATAGTGCAATAGTTACGTCATTTTCACCACAGAAGATTTAAATAAATTCCTTAAAGCCCATGAAATGCTTAAAAACTGATTTTATGGTGCAGTGATTTCATTACTCTAAGTGAATGTTGTAAAAATCCTCACTCACTTAGTCGAATACCTAATATATGTAGCCAAAATGTACATGTAAATGTGTTTCAGAAATCTGAGATGCATCATTACCGAATATAGATTTCTTATGTATTTTCACACTCACAGTCACACATCTGTCGTTTCAATTTAAATAACAGCAAGAAAGAGATTCCCTCGGCTACCTCTCCTAATAGTCGAATTTCTTGGTGTTAAATCGGTAAAAGATATATTCGGCTATTAGCTAAAAGTACCTAATAAATACAATTCTGATTCACTAAAGGAACTTCTGCATGACATCAATGAATACAGAATCCATAAATTCTAGTCGAATCAAATGCATTGATTTCAAAATAACTACTCAAAAGAATCTAAGCTATGTGACTAATACAAAAAAATTCTCGAAACAAAAATGAATCGTCCATTGAATGCAGCAAAAGCTTCGAAGCAGAAAAAAACTGCAGAAGGACAACCAAAAACCACAGCACAAATTGTCGTTTTGCTCGGGTTTCAACACCAAAACTAAATATCCCCTGCACATGTATATGATCGTATTCTTATATCAGCCGCTCCCGTCACTTAATTCACTCTCCTTATTCGCTATGCGACAGAGTTACACTTATTGAACATCTCTAATATCCCATCAAAAGTCCTCAATTCACTTCATTTCCAATCCTCATTTTAAAACCATAACTATTTTCACACAGAATTCAAATTGGTGAATGTACATTTGTTGAATTCAATCATTTACAGAACAAAACAAAAAGCTCATCACATACAAACCCAAAATGAACTTTTAACCCCTTTTATAGGAACATCTAAAACAAGAATTTTCAAGAAATGGAAATTTTACATCACTATTGTAAAATTACCTTTCCACAGAAACAACAAATCAAATAACCAAATCTTCAGAAAGAGAAATTGAACATAGATTCAAACAGATGATCGATGAGAATCAAAAATAAAAAAAAAACCCTAAGAACGAGATAACAGCGAATTCGAATTCACCTGATGAAGGATTTTCCATTGAGCGGTTTGCTGTTGTCGTCGCTCGCCGGAGTCTTCGCAGGTTCGAGAATCTTCGAAGCGTAGAGGCCTTCGCTACCGCCATGGAAGAACAGAGAATTGATGCGTGGAATGAAGCCTTCGTTCTTGTACTCGTGGATCGAAGCTTTCACGCCATTTTCCCCCGACGAGAACACCACCAGCAACACCGCGACGAAAATGGTTAGGCTTTTCCGATCACATTCGATCGCTCCTCCAAACAGCATCTCCCTTTCTCCAACTCTGGATCACCAAAATTTGTGAATGTACATGAACAAATCGGTCCTCGAACGCCGAATTCGGTCGAAACGGAAGGAAGACAAAGATCTGCGCGGAGCAACAATTGGTTGGATTTCTTCGTAAGTTACATAGAATTGGCCCTCTCGTCGTAGTGTGTACTTACTGGTGGCTGGCTGGCTACCTTAAGCAACGGCCATCAAATTGTTGATGTTAATGATCGATGTGTGTTCCCAAATCTTGATTGTAGTTTTTCTAATTAGGGTTTAATTTGATGCCATAGGACTATTAACCCTAATTGCTTCAAGCTCACATCACTTTAGCAAATGTAGAAATTCGACTATACGAAAATGATAATGTGTGTATATATTTTTATCAAATTGGGATTTTGTCCTAATGCAAAACTGAATTCTGTAATTGGCATCTTCAGATGGAACAAGTTCCATTAATTTGATGAATTTAAAATTTAATTTTATGTTTTCTTCACTTGCAACTAATATTATAAATATTAACTTATATGTGTGTCTGTTTTTTTGGGTTGGATATTTGAATAGTAAAATATTAAATTTAAATAATTGTTTGATATTATATAAATCGATATACTAAATATAAGTGTATTAATGTAAAAAGTAATATAATAATAATAAAAAAAGTAAAAGTAATTTATAATAATATGGTTAACTTAAGACAGACAAAAATAAATTATTATATTGAGATAGAGAGTAGTATAATATTAAAAAAAATTATTTAATTTAATATATTTTTAACTTTTTTTATAAAAATAAATATTGACAATATAAAAAAATAATATTTTATATCGAACATAAAAATATATTAAAAATTTGTCTATGAAAAAAGAAGTTTAGGCAAACAAACCTATAAGTTTTCACTTAAAAAAACATATTTTGATCACTTTGGCTATTGGTTCAAATTAGCATATAATCAAATATATTTTATAAAGAAAATAACATGTATTAATATAATATATAACATATAACCATCTATAAAAATAAAAATTTGATTTTTACACTGTTATATATACTTCTGTTATTAAAATACTAATACTAATATTATTTTCTTTAACAAAATATAGACATTAATCGCACTCCCAACAACTATTTTTATCTAGAAAACATCAAAATTAAGACACCAAACAAAAAAATCAACATACTCGGAGTGTAAGGAGTCGGCAAAATTACAAAACTCTTTTCTTCTTGTTCTTCCTTTCAAATACAAAAGAATGATTAATTTTTAAGAAGTAAAAACACACACATATATATATATATAAATACGTATATATATATTTTCTCTCTAGATAGAGAACACACAACACAAAATTATCAAGAGGCACAAAACTATTCCAACACAACTTTTGAATAATTAATGATATGAGGAAGAGAGAGAGAGACTGACATACACTGCAGCAAAATATCGAGTTCCTTCGTCTCATGATGTTCTGTTTATCCTTTGAGCACCCAATCTTGGGGCCGCGGATTTGGTTCCTCGGCCTCGTCCACCCAAAACAGGCCTGTGCCCGGTTGTTGTCGGTGGAGGAGCTGCAATGGAAGCCCAGAGATCATCGTCTGCTGCGCCACTAGATTTCAGATTCAAAGACTTGGATGAAGATTTCCGAGCAGGAGCAGCTACTGCGCCCCAGGGATCATCATCATCATCATCCACTGCCTGGCTGGATTTTGCACTCGAGGGTCTTGAAATAGATTTCGGAAAAGGATCTGCAACCACATCAAATAAATCATCATCATCGTCATCTATAACTTGTCTTTAGTGTGAATTGGAAGCACGAACCAATTATTTCGGATATTAGAGGAAATTGTATCGTCCCATCACGGCAAATTTTAGGAACCGGTGATTGAGTGATGAATCAATGTTAGTGTTACCTTGTGGTTTTGGAGTTGAGACGGGACGCTTTTGAGCTGCTTGAATATTTGCAAGAGCAGCAGGCGTTGCTGCTTCCTCTAGCGGCTCCATGTCATCCCAACCATCTTTGTCACTCTCCAGCTCTCCGTGAATGCCGTTGTCGAGATCTCCCCATCCATCAGTTGACGAAGGCGATGGTGGTGCAGGATGGTCCCTGAGATCAGCCAAATCTGTTCGAGAATTTACATGGGCTAGCGTTGTATCTGTGCTGTCCACTGCAACATCAAAATAGGGGAAATATCAGTAGGACTGAAAAGGCCTGAACAAATGATCTAAGAAAATAGTATTTGTTAAATTGATGTCCAGCAAGTAGGATTGGACACAGTCCAGTTATTCGCAAATGCCAAGGTACTTGGTATTCGAACCGAAATTTTCGATTAATTGCAGTATTGGCAAAAAACTCGAACCAAATAGAATCTAAAAACAAATACATTATAAATAAATGAAATTCCAATTAATTAACTAAACCGAATATAATATAATTAATAATATAAATATATTTTATTTGGTTAACCTAAAAAATATAAAAAATCAAAACCGAACTGAACCGCATAATCATCAAATACGGAGTAGTTGTATTCGAACCAAATTTGCTCAGTTAATCAAAAATTCAGTTCGGTTCAACGGTTTGACGGTTTGATTTGGATTTTTTGTCCACCCTAGCCTGCAAGTGCAAAAATCTACAGGAAAGACAAAGACATATGGAGGAGAGAAGAATACCGGTGCTGGCATAGATCGAAGATGCAGGAGGTTCGCTTGTGCTTGACGAGGTGACATTACTCTGTTCGGAATGTTTACCTTTCAAAGTCAACGAACTCATTGCCCATCTGCATAATGATCATGAAAGTGTCAAGAGAATTATATTCACCGATAAGTACACATGTCCCTATTTGGTTTGAAGGCAAAAGTTCTACTCTCCATTAAGTGCAATTTGTACAGGTTTAAGAAGCTGCCTGGAAGCTGGGCGAAAAGGAAACAAATGGGTGGCGGTTTCCAAAAGGCAGTTAGCAGTAACATCATGTTTGCTTCTAATCACCGATCATTTAACCAATATCAGAGTACCACTAAAGCGAAGAACAAACTTAAGTACTAAAGAGTTTCACTCTAGATGATTTATAAGGGTGTAAAAAGTCATCAAGCAGTAGCTGAAATGCAAAATGAGAATGCATTTATTACCTAACACCACTCCAAATTTTTGGTACTCAAAAGGGAAAATTCAAGTTTACAGTCCACATACCCTAATAAACTTGTATTTCCAGGTATAGATGAGAATCCTGTATTGGCTACATCTGTGGCATACCCGGTGGTTGTCTATAAAGAAGCAGATAAGATTGTCAATCTCAAATAGAAACATATGATAAAAGACGGAGAGGAAACAGTCACGTCAAAGTACCCTGCAGTACTGTCAGAAGTACTTAAGATAACAAAATACAAGGTGATCATGCACCCAATAAAGGGAAAACAAAATAATACAGGATTTAACGAAATGCAGATGGTGGTCCTTTCAAGATACTCCATCAAAAGGTAGAAAGCCAAAATACAGGATATTAACAAAAAGACACAGGGATAGATAAATTAAATGTGATTATTACAGAAATCTGCTGGAAGAGTTTTGAAAAGACATTCTTGGTTTACCCCTGAAAATGTTCGTCTGAATAATCCTAATGTAGACTTAATGTAAAACAACAAAATATCTCATGGCTCATGGATCAGATTAAATAGGTGGACATCATACATCAACAAAATTACACTGTTGAAAATTTTGTGGATAGCATACACAATATAAATTGGTTCATGATCAAACAAACTATTTTAAGAAAATGAAACACGAATGTAGCATATGCCAACGCCAAGCATGCTATTTCCAGTTTAAAGAGAAAAAGGATTATTCACATACCTTATCATTGTAATGTCTCACTAATTGCAAAAATTGTTCAACAGCTTGGAATGCTTTTGATCGAACATCACTGCACAAAATAGAGTGATTGAATGACCTAAAATGAAATGCCTAACAGAGCTAATTCCTGCTGAATGAAACAGGTAATAAACGTACAGATAGAGATGAAGGAAGTAGATATACGGTATATGGTGGAGATGATTACTGGGATAAGACACTACTAAGGTAAAGAAAGAGAAAGAAGAATGCCTCATATGTCAGCCTGACTAAGCCACACAATATCAAGCATTTATTATGGACGGCAGCCATAATTTTGACAGATATAATAAAATTATAAGCATTTTGATGTAAAAATTCTGAAAGCAATACGATTACAAATTACGATCACATATATATATATATATATATTTAAGAGTTATAAAATGAAAACAACCATTTTGAACAAATTTGGAAGACCTGTAATAGTAGGTTATGTTACTTTTATCATCTATTCATAGTGTACGAAGAGCAACTATGGTATTTGCATGCACACATTAACTTTCAGCAGGCCATATCAGCAAAAGTGAATAGTCTACATAAAGTATGGTATAATGGTATATTAGATGACCATCAATTAAAAGAAGAAAAAAGTACCTGTCAGGATCAATTGTCAGGACAACAACATTTGGTAAAATTCGAGTGGCAATCTCAGTGGCATCATAGTAAGAACTAGTAGCAGACAATGCCATAAGACCTAAACAAAACAAAAGTAAGCAGCATTATTGGACAGTAGGAAGTGTGGGTAAGGAAGAAGCTTGATTGCTTGAAGTTACAGAATGACTAATTCTTGAAGAAATTTTTTAGTAGAGAGTAGCCCCAGCAAAAGAATATACACCTCAAAGAGTTCTCTTGATAAAAGGATAAAAAGCAATACGATAAGTAACTATTACCTGCGCCTCGGGCAGGAGAGAATGTATCTCGCAGAGCACGGACTGTGAATGCATTTATGAGAACTCTTTTCCTTGTCTGTAGCAGTAATTTCTTAATATCAATATCACCACAGAATATTTACTCTAATACAAATTGGACAGATAAAATTTTGAACTGACCCCTTCATTTAAGTGACCAGCAATATTACCAAGCAATATTGTAGTATTTGTGCGAATTGCTGGTTCTTCATCAACCTTGACATAGAATTGGAGTAGGCATTAGAAACCTTCTGAACACTATAGTTGTAGTATAGGAATAGAGGTGAATTTTGGAGAAATCACAGCAAATTCAATCTATAACTTTTTGCCAAATGCAAATTAACTGCATACCTGAAGCTTTGAAAGGAATTTCAGAAGTGACCCTGATAGAGTTCGCTGAGAGAGCTGCACCAAAATTATACATCAATAAACTTTAAACAGCAAGTATAATAAAAATTAATGAAGAACAAAACTAGACCTATTTTTTAGGGTATCATCTACAATATCATGCATCACACATTTCTGATTTATTCAGAGTCTGATTTCATTGCCATATAGAGACTGTATATTCAAATGCATAATCAATTACGGTATATGTAAGCCCCTGAGCCTCACACAGCAAGCCAGGGGCCTTTGTGATTGAAAACTACACATAAAAATCAAACTAGATGCCTAAGTCCTTTTACATATGCTTTGTCCTTACTCATACCCATCTGGACACTTCTTAGATCCACCCATCTTGAAACTACTCCAAATCAAACAAGCTTAAATTGAAGTTGTTACGGGAGGGATCTCAAGAAGGAAGTGCTTTATTGATACTCAATAGTCAGTCATATCAATCATTTTCTTAAGTGTCCCCTAAGTATTACAATACAATAGATACACCAAGCATTTGATCTAGCATAACTTTATAGATTGATAGCGTGAAATAATTAATATAGTGCTAAACAAAGTATGTCAACTGTTAGGGCCAGATAGTAAGGCACCAATTAATAAGGAATACAGGGAAGCATAGCATTTATAACATTCTAAACTGTGGCAAGAAACATCATTTCACTTAAACCAACCTACCAGTAGATAACTTGAGCACCATAACCGAATTTGAAATCAAGTACTCAAAAAATATCAAAGTTCAATATTAAAGGGTGAAATTACCTTAGGAGCCAGGATTAGCATAGATTTCAAAGTCAGCTCCCGTAGAGAAGCAGACATGTCGGAAAACCCATTAGCAACATGAGGGTAAACCTAGTACACAACAGTAAATTTATTTAATTTCCTAATATTCAATTTAACATGTTGGATACTAGCTAAATCATTATACTGGGCATAGAGAATCAACTAATAATGACTCTATATCATACTTGCTCGTCTACAATTTGTGTAGGTAATGCCTCGCCATACTGATCAATGTGCTGAAGAAGAGCAACACGGATAGCTCGATCATTGGATGTAAAAAGTTTGACAATTGTTGGCAATACCTAAAAAAGAAAAAGTATACTATATTATATTCATTACCAAATTGTACAGCATTACTGACCAACATGATACCAAAAGTAGGATACATTTAAACAACACTAACCTTAAGAGAATACTCTTCTGGTGATAGCCAAGACCCCATTTTCAACAATGCAGTCAAAGCAGGTGCAGAGGCTGAACCAAATTCTAAGGAAGACGCTAATAATGGAAGCAGCTGAAATAGAACCCTAAATTTAAGTAGAAACAAGGGAAAGACTCCAGCATAAAACATTGGACATTCAGACATACCTTCTTCAGAACTATCTGGCGAGGAAGCTGTTCGGCAAGGTTTGGAAGCTTACGGAAAAAAGTATCCTTTTCCACACTGTCCTTCAAATTAAGAATTTCCATAAAGTGTATGGTCTCTACCAACTTATTCTGAAAATATTCTGTCATTGCACCAGAAACAAATTTTAGCCCATCAAATTATTCTGAAATTTATTCATAAAACATGTAGTGAAATTCTTTCATAGCCAACTGTGAGAAAAAAAAAATAAAAAATATAAATCAATTAGGAATGATATTCCTTAATGAATAAATAGACCAGAAAAAGGAGAAGTGGAGTCTCGGCTGTTGCTTGGATTAGGCGTGCATTAGTTTGTTTTACCTGTCTTTAGTTATGTTTTAAGTGAGCTTAGATTTTGTTATGTTTTGGATTATTCTTGGACGGACATAAGTTATTTTGGGTTTAATTTATTTTACCAAGTAGAATTTAGTAGAGATATTTAAAGAGGAGTTATAATTTAGCCCAGAGGCTATTGGCAAACAGTAGATATTGTTTGATTTATCTTATTCATTTTGTTCTATTAATTGGTCCAACTTGTTGGATTCCAATCTCATTGTCCAACAGGAGAGCGACTAGATAAACTCGAGGCTAATCAATACGAGATGAGGGAGAATATGAAGACATCTAACATCCAACTGACAAATCTTGGAGATGAATTCCAAAAAGTGATTTTGAAACCCTCTTGATCGCAGCAATCGGCAACAAGCCATTGTGAAGGTTAGCGCTACAGTGGTACACCACATTTCTTTTTCCCCCAGAGAACAAAAGGGTTAAATCCTATTTTACTTTTTTATCTAGGCACAAATAAAAGAGCAAGCACTGTCATAGGACTTAGCCCTAAACTAGTGCACCCACAAACAAAACAACATGAATATGAAAATTATAGAGAAATAATATACCACCATGTGCAGACTGTACATAAATCATAGTTATGTAGACCACACAGAATATCAAACCTATTTCAGAAATCAGGACTGACCACTATTCTCCAGAAGCTTTGATGGATTCAACCTGCGAGAAGGCATAGAGCTTAAGAGACGCTGATAATCTTGAAGTAAAGACTGCGAGACAAGAAAAAAATTCATCAAATCAAACAGAAATAAAGAAACTGCTTTGTTAAAAGCATCACACACATGCGCATATATTAGATGCATCCAGTAGTAAACTAAATTTCTAACCGGGATTTGAAGCAAAACCTGAGACAAGTTGTACAAAAGAATAAACATTCTCACCTTAGGTATGCCAGCAGTATTTCGCAATTCCTCTGTTCTACTCAATTTCATGCCAGAGAAGATTTCATAAATTAGGCAGCCTACCAATTGCCACAAGAAAAAGAATGAACAGAAATTCAGAAAGAATATAAAACAGGACTGTATTAAGGTAAATAATGTTAAGCTTACAAGGGAAAAAATAAAAATAAAAAATAAATAAAAGAAAGCAACCAGACAACCAAAAGAAAACCATGAAAATAACAGAAAGAGAAGAAAAAATAGCTCCAGAATATTAAACAGATTTGTCACAAGTTCAGAGAGGCTGGGGAAAAAGAAGTAGAAAGGGACAATTCAAAATCTGAGTAAGATAATTCAAGAAAGGCGAGGTAGTGCAATCAAGGCAGAGACAAAGCACTTGCTACACTACAAATGAAAATTACAAAGTAACTTGTGCAGAAAATTCATTTGGCTTCGGCATTGGTTAGGATTGCTGAAAAACATAACCTACAAGGAAGCCTTACATTTTATATTATACAGCATGCTTCTTGACGGGAAAAGAGAATAATATAACCAATAAAATATATGAGAATCCACTAGCAGTCAAGTCACCATGTATTATTCAATAAGAATTCAGCAATGCAGGACTGTCTTCAAATTACGTTTCTCATAAATGAATATATAGCACATAATATAACATTTCATCACAACCCTTGGTCCAGAAAGATTATCCAGCTTCAACAATCAGCCTATCAGAATCTCATAAATCATCAGATACACCCAAATCATTGGAATAGACAATGCTTATTGAAGTCTGAAAAACATACTTACCCAAGCCCCAAGAATCGATGGCCCAAGGTGGAGACTTTCTGATAACTGACCAGTCAGATTTAGACATCTCCATCGGTTTGTATTGTGAACCAATAAGCCACTCATATTGCTGTATTGAACATCATAACGATGAAAAATATTAAATACAGACCTACTAACTCGATAAAGGGCAGCACAAGTACCAGTAACTTATATTCCATAAAAGAACTAGATGAAAAGAGGGTCTAGAGTAGCTTATCTTGGACAGGTATTTTGTTAGATTGTAACTTTCATCAGGAAGAAAGTTTTATCTAGATGTATAGACACCGAATATGTGCCCTCAAATGATCAGGTTGCAAGCATATTGACAAACAGATAAAGGCGCTTAGAGGTCCTACATCTGAGTTCATACGTAATAAGCTTGGATCGTATGATTTATACGCTCGAACTTGAGGGGAAGGGGGGGGGGGTGTTAGTTAGCTCGTTGTTTATGATTGCTTTACATCTGAGTTCATACTTATATATAGTGTTTTGTAACTTGATTTTTTCTAGAGAGAATACAATAAACTTCTACATATTTTAATGGTGTATTTTCCTTTTTCGATTAAGAAAACCTCAAGAGATTAACTAAGAACCTGGATTCTGTTTTAAAAATATGAGAAGATTAGGTAGAGAAGGGAGAACATAGAGTTTCAGATTTTCTAATTTTAAATATTTTGATAAAAAGATCCAAAACAAACATCTCGACATGTAGGTTCATGCTTTCCTTTATAGAAAGGATCTTCACTTCATAAAAATACTAATGGCCAATTCAATTATTGTAAGGAAGAAGGAAACAAAAGAATAGCAAGTTCTTCATGTCAATTTTGAAATCTAACCAACATTATTAAATTTTCTTCCATATGCAGAGAAAATTTAATTAGTCTGACAATCCAATGAAAAGAAAATTCAGAAGATGGCCTAGCCAAGAACTCACAAGCATCGGTCCAGTTGAAGCTTCATTATTACCATCAAACTCAGATAAAACATCAAATGCGTGGAGTTTCCAGTCCAAGGTTTGAGTTACAACAACACTAGCCATACAAACATTACCATGAACCTGCATTAATCAACATAGAAAATATCATTGTCATCTGTGTTGAATCAGGAATTGAAAGATCTGAGTGCCACCAAAATATTTTCTCATTAGCGTAAAGACAGCAGGTTCAGTAGGAGTTGAGGCAATTAAGTTAATATCCTCTAGAGATAAATTTATGAAGCAAATATTTATTCAAAAGAAATTTAAACGGAGGGAAGAGATATACAGGGCTTTCTTTGTACAGGATACTCTCCCTGTCCTAAGCATAACAACCGATTCCTATTTTCAACTTTTAGATTATTCTAAACACTAACCTAAGGCATTTCATTTACTTAGAACATACTAATTAAATCCAATGAGCTTACCCTAGTATTATTTTTCATAACAATCGCACCCTTTTAAAAATAGCCATATTGTTAAGTCAGATGGCAGGAAACCACCAGAAGAGACATCCAAAGGCAATGATGGCGGTGGGAAACAGTTGCAGCAATAGTAGTGTCTTTCACCAATGATAGCAGGGTGAAGTAGTGGCAGTAAGGCTCTTATTCAAGGGTGGGGGCCAGTGGTGCCAGCATTCCTGCTGGCAAGTGGTGGTCAGATCTGATTGCAGTAGCAGAAGGGCATGTTCTCTTTCTTGGATCTTCCGCGGAGTCTTTGTGGTATGTGAACCATTTGACCCTGCCAATGGGGTGGGCAGATCTGGGCAGCATCACCAGCAGATCTGTGCAAGGGTTAATCCTCTTGTAAGGTGTGCAGAATTCATGGGGACAGGTGATCGGTTCCACCTTTGATTAGAAGGTTGAAGCGGGTGTTGGCCGGGGAATTGAGAAGGTTTGTGGTTAGGAAACAGACAGATGTGGCAAGGGGTTCAGTGCAGGCATACAAGTTTGTCCAATTTACTTAAAGGCTAGGCAGCTAATGGGGCAGTCAGGCAAGATGGTGCGGGATTAGTTACAGATGCAGAGGCAATCCGGGGGGGGAGTGGACAGGGCAGAGGCAAAATTGCTCAGAGGGCCACCAATATAGTGTCAAACATCTTGTTGATCCACTCACATGTCACCTAAAAGTTGAACTATTATACAGCAGATGCAGATCCAACAAACAGAAATCCTACATACATGGACCAGTATTCCTATAGGACAAGAGGAAATTCTTGTACATGGATCCAGCAAGTAGCAAAGCAAATATTTATATGAAAGTAATTAAGAGAAATGAAAGTTATACAAGAATTTCCTCTTGTCCTAAGGAATACTGGGATAGTATTCTATCCCAAGCGTAAAGGCTGATTCATAATTTCAAATTTGGAATAACGGTAACCATACATTTATAACAAACAAGTTAACACTAACAGAGCTTAGCCCTGATATTATTTTACCTAACAGGCAATGTCGTGGATAACTTGACAATTAGAGTTAGATGCATACCAATTTACAATCATTATTCAAGAAGCTCACAGCTTTAGCTATTCGGTGCAGTCCCCATGCGTAATATTCATCCCTAACAAAAGAAACAAATGAAAGTTATGGTCCAGCTCTAGAAAACAAGATATGATCCACGTTAGATCCCACAGAGTATATAACTTTCATTTATATATGTGGTGACTTCATGTGGAACATGATCTACAGCACAAATAAAAAAAAAATGTTACTTAAAGTCACTAATTACAACTCTTAAGATGGAGGAACAATGATGAAAACTCATCCAACTTACTATAGAGTGCTGGAAATATTATTAGCATACAAACCCAATAATAGCACCATATGCATAAATGATATACATTGTAAAAGTGAGAAATAGAAAAGTAAGACAACAACACACTCAAAGCTTGAATTCAAAAATCATGAGACTCAGTAATTGCACCTTTGGCCGCCTTCCAAACCCAGTTCCTTAATCTTTTCAGAAAGTGGCATGACTGGTTCAGTGACTACGTAGATGGTAACCTTCGTACTAGAACCATCCAAAGTTTCTGCCTCTGTACTATGCAGAAATGACAAAATATTCGGATGCCTGACCTGATAGAAGATGAACATAACTTTCAACATAGTAGAGAATAGTTACAATCAAAACCAATGTTTCAATGGGCTTTATTACAACTACAAGAAAAGAGGTATGATGTGGAAAAGAAGATGAGAAAACTGAACAATAATATGTGCTATACTAGAAACAGCAGTTAGGAATTAGCATTGCCTTCTCTTTCACAGAGGTACTTTAATTCTAGCTCAATCCCTCAGCAGTTAAGAAAACGGCAAAGGAAATGAAAATTCACAATCACTACCATAAAGAGAGGTAAATACTAATTCTTCATGTATATTAGCCATTACGAAAATCATTGTGTTATATGTCAAAGGGCCAAATTGCAACACATTATTCAGTTGTAGTCAATTTGAATGTGTTTATGGACTATCATATAGCTAAGAGAAAAGCTAGAGCAAATTCAGCTTCACATGCTTCAATTCCACCTGTATGTAAGTATGTCCTTGTTTATCTTTCAGGCACTTGGGGAGAGATCATAAGCTTGGAACATTTTTTTCCATAACGCACATCCTCTACTAGCAACATAATTTCTTCTTTGAGGATTCATATGAGTAGCAATAACATGTGTGATATGTCAATGTACCCACGGTTGATAGTGGTGCATGATGTACCATTGTTCACGAGCCATGATGCACAGTGAGATGTGCACCTTGTTGAAGCAAGGTACAAACAATATAATAGATACAACAAATTCATATCTTATTAATTTTCAGAAAAAATTCAAAACAACTCCAATAATGATCAGTACCACTAAACGTCCATCATTCACACTGTTTCCATCAAAAGCTCACCGTTCGAAGGCGTTTGACACCATTACGACCAGCCACTAAATGCCCATCATTTGCATTGTTTCCTGAAAGAGAAAATATAGAGACAGGAGACCCATCTTCCTGTTGAATTTGAAAGAAAAGACCAAGATTAGAGATTTTATCCATGAAAGTTGACAGTAAAACTGTGTTAATTCAAATAGACCAAGATAATCCAAACAAGAAAAATGTTCTTAGACTTCCAAACAAAAAAGAGTGTAAAATATACACCACCAGAGCAACATTATTAACCATGTTTACAGCATGGGATGCAAAATCAAACTCCTATATGAAGCAAAAGAATATTGATAATATAAAAAGAACGTGAAATTTGTTCAACCTATCAATCATCCTTGTTCACTTTTTCTTTTTTCTGATTCTCATGTCAATCTGTTATCTTCTCAGATTTAATTTTGCCTTTGTCTCAAATAAGCACAATTCATAGTGTAATAGGCCAATATACCCAATGGTGAAAATTACATGGCAAAATATTCCACTCAAATAACTTTTATGTTTGGTTCGATGTGAATTGCAAACATTGTTGCATTTATGGTAACTTTTTTTTTTCTAATCCAAAAAACATCATATCATAGTATTTAATTTTCATTCCAAATGGGACATCAAATGCCTATTTATATCACATGAAACTCATTTAAATTAAATTTTTTACCATTCTCGAAACACAACCAAACCAACTCCTTGGCTTAACTCTGATAGCATCTTGAAAATTGTCCAGGTTAGTATGCTCTAAAATCAGTAAACCTCTAATAATTTTCAATTATCTGATTAGTCATGCTAAAATACAAAGTGCACAGTGGCACGAACTTCACACGTCAGGCATCTTGCCATCAAAACCTGCCAGGCTTCTTCAGGTAAGTAAAATAATTACTAAACAATGCATAAGAACATTAGATAACTATAAATAAAGACACTTGATCTGCCTTTTTTTTTTCAGAGCGTAACTACAGAAAATTCCATTAATGAAAAAAAAGAAGAGTACAACAATACATAGTATCAGTAAGACCAACAAAGCAATCCAGAGAAACTAAACGAAAATTTTTGAACTTCTAGATAATATTAGAAAGATTTTACTGGTAAGCACGTGCTGCAAAACCTATCAATCTGGCAGGATTGATTAGTGATGCAGCCAACTACAAACAACAACCAGTTGAATCCATACTGCAACAGTACCAACAGAATCTATTTATACAATTCAGGTACATGCACCATCATGATTGGGACTACAGATGAAAATATTACAAACAAACCATCAACGTGGAACCCATGCAGGTGATGGCGTCCCCAATATGTTTCAGACAAGAGAATCATTTCCTTCATATCTTCCAAATTTTGGTTTTAAGACCAGTGATGTAATAGAAACATAAATTGGCTAGAATTAGTTTGAAAATTAATATTGCCTCCTCTATTCAAAATTTCTCCCTTTTCAACTCTTTTGTTTTTATTAATGTAGCTCTCTTTTGTCCCATAATGTGATATCACCATAGCGGCTAAATTACATTATCATGCGTACAGGCTCAAAATTCATGAAGAATTTCATTTTATTTTTTCTTCTCTTTATTAGACTCTATTCACCAAACCACTTTTCTGGATCACCATATATATGTTGACCATTTAAGTTATCTTTAATAATTTCAATACATAATTACATTGAACTATATTCATGGTCTTACAGTTCTACAATTTGCACACTTCCTATTTGCATAAGAACTGCATTTTCTGCATCGAGCGTACAGAAAAAAATGAGTAAAAAAATCACTCAACTCAGCAATGCCTTCTAGTAGCAAAAATTGCATTAGGAACTAGAAGTGAAATACAATGCAAATACGGAAAGAAAACGTAAAATGCTGCAATAAACAGTGTTATAGGAGCTCTTTCAGTTCCTACAAACCAAGAATTGATTCTATATTAGGAATTTTGTCCCTTCCAATATAAGATAAAGCAGAGTACAGAAATCTCCACCACAACTAAATGCATTTGAGATTTCACAACACTACATCTTACACAGGCATCATATTCCGCAATTTTAATTCAATCTTTTTCATCGTTTCCAATTCCACCACACCAAAATATCTATTCCCTCGCAATAAAGAACACAGCAAACACCCCAATCAGCAAAAACAGCAAATACAATACAGTCAAAACCAATCTAATTGAACACAACTCCAACAACTACAGACAATGCAAGCGAAGTACGAATGGAGGGATAACCTTGGAGGTTCCGCGGTAGTGCACCCAGGAACCCCATGCTGAGGAGTACGGCTCCCCAATATTATACGGCAGATCCTTGAGGCCTGTACCGGATCCGCCAACCACCTCCTTCAAGAATCTCAGCATATTCGATCACGGCCCGGCCCGAACAAGGATTGGGGGAGGAAAATTCGATCTGGCCTGAATGAACTGGTGATTTCCCGGAAGGGAAGGGACCGTCCGCCGTGCCGTGGGGTGTACTGATAGCCTACGAAACAGCGGATTGATTTCTATTATTGTGTTATTTTAATTTTTAAATAAAATGTAATTAGATTTAGATCCTTAATTCTATGTGAAGGTGCACTGTAGTTTCCGGCTAAGGCCATCATCAATTCACTCATTTTATTTACCCAGCTTTAATTTAAAAAATGCAGTTACATTTTTAATCCATAATTCTATTTTTATTAAAAAAATTATTTTTCAAATATTCTATCTTTTATATTTATAATTAATATTATTTATAAAAAAATAAAATATATAATATAAAAAATACAATATATATATATACAAATCCAACCCCTACACCACCAAGCCATTCCTTGTGGAGCTATTGTATAGTGATTATTGGTTATTGATGGTGTGGTTATATATATATATACACATATGAATGTCTCACTTGCAGTGGTTGTTTTCGTCAGTTAAACTTGAGTTTGGTGAATTTTAAAATTTAAAATTCTAATAATATATTTATAAAGGAAAGTAAATTTAAAATTAGTATTATAATATTTTTTTATTTTTTTTCTATTACATTTGATATAATAATTAATATTTAAATATTAATTTGCAAAACATATATGGGTAGATTTCAACGACATTTAGATTTTGGTAATAACGGAGGCATCGTCATATGGGGAATATTTAAGCGAGAGCTTAAAGAACTTTTGTACCAGTCGATGCCGAGGAGAAGGCGTGGAGCAAGATCCGTCGATTGGAGCATCAAGATGGTCATCTAAAAGAATATGTCGAAAAATTTGCTAACTTGTTGTTGAAGGCGTCAAGCATGTCGAAAGAAATGGCCCTTGTCAATTTTCTGAAGGGCTTGAAGCCATGGGTGAGGGTGAGGATCAAGGAGAAGATCCTGTCGGGTGCCAACGAAGCAATGAAGTACGCACGACAGCTGATTGAAATGGAACAATAGAAGTCGAACAGGAGACATGATCCCGAAGAAATCCTCCTCGAAATTCCTCAACCTGGTGATGTCGAGATTGCTAAAGGTTTGGCCAGGGGCGGATGTACGTGGGTCAAGGGGGCCTCCAGTCCCCCCTCCCCTCAGCCCACTCCACCTCCTTATAATTTTTAATTTTTAATTTATAATATATAATATAAAAAATAATAAATAAATTAAAAAATTGTAAAAAATTGATAGAATATTTATGTGAAAATTTAAATTTTGAATAATAAAAAAATTATATCATAATAATTTTTTAATAATATAAATATAGATATGAACAAAAAAGTAATAAATAATAATTAAAAAAAATCTTCAAAATTTTTTTAACCAAATACATAGGAAATGATATTTTTAACAGTTTTTTTAATAAATATTTTTTATTATTTATCAATTTCATATAATACAAAATTCATCAATGTAGATTGATATTTTGCAAGATTTTTTCGAAATATGATAACTTCATTATAAAATTATTGGATAACAAATAGATGATGATCATTTCAAAATTTTAAAAATTAACCCCTCTTTCACCCTGGTCTGGTTCCGCCTCTAGGTTTGGCTAAGGCGAAGGCCGAGGGGATGAGGAAGACAGTGCCGATGTATGACGGATGCTTTATTTGCGAGAATAAAGATTATTACGCGCGAGATTGTCCTATGCGAGGATGTCTGTAAACTATGTGCGCGATGGGAAGAGTCTTGACGACTCTTTGTTAATAATTGAGCCAGGTCGAACTCAGGGCATTCAATATAGTAAAAATGAAGAGTGTTATTTTATGTATTTAAGGTGTATTCTTCGATATTTTTGTTTTGAATTTTTTTTAAAAAAAAATTAAAATAGTAGTTTTAAGAGAAGATAAAAAAAATTAAAACAGAAATAAAAATCCAAGAAAACACATTATAAATTGTCTTTTTGTTTGTAAAGTATTAAATATAATGAAAAACACATTATACATTGGATTTGTTTTTTATTTTATTTAGATAACGATAATTTATAAAAATTTGTTGCATCGTAGAAAAAGTGCAATCAAGTTTAAAGTTAAACGAAACCTAGGATTGCATCCAAATACCACAAATTGAAGGAGTCAAATTGGAACAAAGGAGGACAATTAGCAAGAAGGTTCGAATCCTCACTAACCATGCACTTTCCATAATTATAATAATAATAATAATAATAATAATTAGATTGCTCTATTTTATTAATTGATTTGATTTTTGTGAACCAAAAATCACTCTCTCAAATAATAATAATAATAATAATAATAATAACAACTGATGTATAGATGCATGCCCAGAAAGTTCCAAGAAAGCAAAATATACCTAAATCACAATCAAATTCCAGAATCCATTTCAGCTGGTCCAATCTTGAATCCACCCCACCAAGTCCATCATTCTACCCCAACTCCCACACCAAAAAAAAAATTAAAATTTAATAATAATTATATAATAATAACAATAACGACAACATAAATCTCTTCTAGTTTGAAGTGATTTAAACTTTAAACTAATAGACACCATTCTTATGATTTTGATTTGCTTTTGTTTTTCATTTGATTAGTTTTTGCTTAAATAATAAGTTTATGTGATATTATATATATATATAAAACATCACACGTTTTTATTACACAAGAAACATAATGTGTGTAATAAGAACGTAAGATGTTTTGTTTATAATTATAAATATGTTTTATAAAAGGATGTCATGCTTTAAAATTAATAATTTATTATATTAATATATACAATGTGTTGTATACAGTAATAATTTATGCTGTTAGACAACACATGTTGTTGCAGCTATATAAATTTATTGAAAATGGTATAATTTTAGCTTAAAACCAACAAATAAACAATTTATTGTTGGTTTGAAACCAACAACAAATCCAAAAACAGTTTGAATTTGTTCATTTTGCATTTTTTTATGAATATATTTTTGTGTTAGATATAAAAAATTGTATTTTTAATATAAATACTTTGTATTGAATTACTAACTTTTACGAATAGATAAAATATATATTTTATATTTGTAATTTAAGTAAAAATTAATGATATTTTGTATTAATTTATGATTATTTTTTATAAGATAAGAAATAAATACTTTGAAATGAGACAGACGAAATAGTGAAAATGGTAAAAATGGTATTTTAAATTGGAACGAACAAAAATAGTATTATATATAATGTGTTAATGTGTATATATTATATACTCTATCCGTCTCTTAACCATCTATTTCTTTTTTAGTAACTGTACTAACATTAAAATATTCTTATAACTTACAATATATTACACAAATGTCATTACATTTATATTTATTTTAGTCTTTTTCTACTTTATTCATATCACACCCTAATATAATACTAATATTCCTAAAATTTATAGAATAATATTTATAAGGGATAAAACAAACCCTTTATTCCTCGTATTATTAGCACCAATCATACATTTTCAGTCAAAAAACATCGCATCAAATACATTTTTTTTTCTCATAAAATATCAAATCAAATATATATATATATATATATATATTTTCAAACTTTCAAATTTTCAAAAACCCCTTATCTAATCAAACCCTAATATAGTACTACTAGTAAAATTATAAATTTACTGAGTCTATATGTTTACCGGAGAAGAGGAAAATGGCAGTGGTCAAAATTCAATGAGATGCGGTGTGCCAAGTCTTGTGGTGGACTTCCCATTCCCATTCCCTTGTAATAATAATGAATGAAAATCGATCTCTTCTTCTTACATCAAAAATTAATTAACACATACATACATACATATACATATACAGTGACCAATGACTTAGTCAAATAAAATATTTCGAAAACTTCCTTCTTCCACTCAACGTGTTCAACATATCATACTTTCCCTAAAATCCCTACTTTGAACATCACCATCACCATTCCTTAATCATCACTAATTCCGAAATATATATATACACGTATACATACACATATGTTTGTTGTGCCTTAACAAGAAGACATTATTAAACTTATTATTGATTAACAATCAGGTAACAGTTAGTTAATATGGATGATAACCAGCAACTGGTCTACATGCTCTACCATGGCTGCACCCTCGCCAAGGACCTCGAAAACCGTCTCCGGACGACTCCGAATCCCGACGGCATCGCCGACGCCCTCGTCGCGTCCTGCGACGAGATCTTGGCCGTGTTCGCCAGCTGTAAGGAGAGGCTGCAGCGCCGCGTTCACGAGCATTGGGTTCAAGACTTGTTTAAAAGCCCGGCCCCCGGTGTGACCCGGCCGGGGAAGTCGAAAGGCTTGTTGCAAGAAGGGTTCCTGCCGTCGCCCCAATTGGGGTTGATGGTCGGCGGCGGTAGCAGCGAGACGGCGCATGGGGTGGCGATATTGGACGCACCGGATTCTACCAGAACTGCTGCACCGAGGCCGAGAAGGAGGTAAGAAATTGAAACACAATTAAGGATATATATATTATATATAATTTTTTTTTTTTTCATCTTTTTAGAATTAAAACATATATAATTTTTTGTGTAAAATATCATATTGAACTTATTGTTATACCAAAAAGCACAACAAATAGCTCGTCTAGCTACGTAAATTACGTCATTAGCAGTCGAATCAGCACCGTGTTGTCTCTGTTTTCGAATATTGGCTTTATCATATTTTTTTATCCAAAGATTCAAAAATTCTTAAAGAAAGATAAAATCAATATAAAGGCAAATTTTTACAAATAGGTTTTTCTAATGAGAAATTAAGAATAGACGCATTTACTCATAGAAAATGGCATCAATCTCCCATTGTGTATTGGTACTTATCGAGTATAGAATAAATCTGCTTCTCGTTGTTTCTACGATTAGAATTCTTCCATTATTACGAACAGAAGTTAATAAAGATAGTATAATAATATATATATATATATATAAATAAATTTATAACAAACATGTAAAATAGAATTGATAAATCATAATCTGCACCCTAATGGAAATATTCGTCGTTATTGCTAATAATTAATGTTGCAGCATTAGTTATTCTGCATGATATATTATTGTTATTATTATTTATTGGAAAATATATCAAGTTTAATAAGCTCGAAATTTGATTATATTTTAGTCGTGAAATTAAAAATCTTGCAACTTCGAAATGAATTTGGGTCATCTTTTGCTTCCATAAATTTAGAGTACATGAATTTTAATTTTTTTTAAAAATATATTTTTAACTTATCTTTATATTATGATCCATTTTTTAAATTTCAAGTCCATTCCTTAATGTTATGCCATTTTAAATACAGTCTTAATTTTAAGAATTACATTATTTTAAATCGTATTTTTATATTTTCAAACAATGGTGTAACAAAATTCTAAACCCTAATAAAGTTTTTTTTTTTTTTTTTAAATTTCTTATCTCAAATGTTTTGCTACCAAATGCCAAAAATATGTAACTCCAAAATTTGTTTAAGGGTTCGTATATAATTTAATAGCAATAAAATGAAATATGATATATATTAAAATATAATATCATAGCTCAATTATAAAGGCATGCACATACGTACTATTAGATTAAGCATATAGATTGAATTAAATGAACAATATAATACATATTATCTATTATTATTTAATATATATATATATATATGTAAGACTATATATACTTCAAATCCATAATTATGCTTAATTAACTAAAATTTTCGATTCATCGTATAGAAACAACAACGACGAAAAAGAAGTGAAGCTAATCCCAGCCCCTCAAATGGGAAATTTGGATCTTCCACCCGACGATGGTCACACATGGCGAAAATACGGACAAAAGGAGATTCTAGGATCGATATATCCGAGGTATGTAACTTTATTTTTATAAAATATAGCTATCTTCACTTTTTTTTCTAATTTTTTATTTTGCAATCTTTACTACTCCCTCCGTCTCGTAACAAAGTATTCATTTTATCATTTTAGTCCGTCTCATAACAAAGTATCTATTTACTTTTTTTTAATAACTGTACTATCTACCTAACATTACAAATAACCTTACAACTTATAATATATTACACAAATGTCATTACTTTTATATCACACATTCTAATAAGGTTATTTTAGTCATTTCTACTTTATTCCTACTATATCCCAATATAATACTAATATTTCTAAAACTACGTGCAAAAAGTAAATGAATATTTACTTATGGGACGGAGGGGGTGTATTTTATAAAACTTTTTTAACTTATAAAACATCACATTTAATTTACCTTTTAAATAATAATAAAAAAGAACAAATAAACACATTGTCATTCTTAACATTAATGAATACATTATTATATATTTCATTCGAAATCTTGTTAGATACAATGGAATAATAGTGCATTGCAAAATTAAGCACATATTTGATATCTCGTATTTTGTATATATATATATATATATATATCTTGTTTTGTTATGGTTTGAAATTGATTTAAAATAAAGTATTTAGTTTATATTTTAGGTTTTGATATTAGATTTAACGATAGCAAATAATATATCTTTATCGAAAATTGTACAAAATGAATAATATTTTTCAGTCATTTGAAATCACAAAAAAATACAATACTTTGACATGGAACCAGGGGTTGGTTTGTTTTGTGTTTTGATTTGATTTGAATATTTTATTATTTTTTTGTTTTTAATATGAAATATCGAAAATTATGTAGGTAATATAAAAATAATAAATATACGTAATATAATAATTTTTTGGAAAAAAATATATCAGATTTTTTACAAAAATAACACACCCATTTATTCTATATTTTTTATTATTGATTTTCTTATTGAATTCTACCTACCTACGATATAGGAGTATATAATAATAATAATAATAATAATAATAATAATAATAATAATAATAATAATCAATTTAAAGTGGTCTACATAAAATTAAATTAAATGGCTAAGTCCAAATAATAATAATAATACTAATAAATTAATAATCAATTTACAGTGGTCTCCATAAAATTAAATTAAATGGCTAAGTCCAATTAATGACCGGAAAGTGTCAATGGCATGGTGTGGTCTTTCTAGACCACGTTGAATTCAAAGCCCAAAGTCGGGTTTCAAACAAACGCGATTTTTCTATAATTAGGTGTAGTTGTACGAAAAAGCGTGTTTGAACTTTCAATTTCAATTTCAATCATAAGGAGAATGATGAAGAAAGAAGACTATTTAAGGTTTTTGAAACAACGGTATAACTTGACCTTCTATTTCCATAGTGACTCACTAATGTTTATTATAATTAAATTTAGTTATTATATTATTTTTATTTAATTTTATAAATATTCAAAATAAATCAAAATATCTGTATATAAATATATTTAATTAAAAAAATATATATGTAAAATAATTATATAATCTAATATATTTATATTTTACTATTTTAGTGGTTGTATTTTTTTATGAAGTGTTTTATAAAACTGAAAATTACTCTTTAAACCCTAATATGAGAAAAAATCATATAAAAAGATGTAAAATTTCAATTTATATTCAATTTTATACAAATTCTAAATTATTTTTTCGAGGTGATCCACATAATCTATCAAACATTATTTATAATAAATATTTTGCATAAAATCACTTAAATATAATAAAAAATTAATAAATTAATATACAATAGATATATAAATCATAGTATCAAACTATCAATATTAATAACTACAAAAATCTATAATTACAACTTTCAAAAATAATTATCTAATTTTAAATTTGAAATAAACGAAAAAATATAAATTATATGTAAAAATATTTTTTGTTTAGAAAAATTATGTAAAATAAAATTATCCTACCAAATTAGCATTTATAGTTGAAGTTTGCAATTGAAAATATCAACAACAATTATCCAATTTTTTTTTTTATTTGAAATTAAATTATATATAAAATTACTATAGTTTTTTTTATTGAAAAATAACCACTTAAAAAATTTAAAAATTAACTAAAATTATTTTAAATGGTCCAAATATATAATTAAATATATTATACATGATATATAAAAATAAACAGAAAAAAAAATTATATAAAATTACAAAAAAAAATAATTTTTTTATAGTTTTATAATAAATTATATCAAGCTGATTTCATTAATAACATCAAAATTATAATTTTAAACCAATTTAAAATAAATACATAAATATATATATAAAATCATTCAAAAATTTTTAATTAATATATCTTCCTAACAAATATAAAACTATCTAAAAAATATCTAAAAATATCTAAAATTTGTCCGTAGATAACAACCTTTGCACAATATTATAAGGTGTGTTTGTTTGAAGGATTTTGGTGGATTTCCACTATTCATCCAATTTTTTTCCCCCAAAAACATCAAATCAAACACCTATTTTTCATTTTTTATATTATACTAAAAATCAATTTTACATTCAAAACATCACATCAAACCCTATTTATATCACATCATACAACTATTCAAATTCAAAATTTTTACTATTCAAATTCCAACTCAAAATCCAAACCTCCAAACAAACACAAATTATAATTTTATCATATTCATATTTTTAAATTTTTTCCTTTTTTTGTAATGGACAAAAAATAACAAGAAAAAATCAATTAAATACAACCATATGAAAGATAAATTATTAAAAAAGAAATAATTTTATAATTATTTATTTAAAAAAAATTATTCACATTGAAATTATCTTCAAATTGCAACTGAGTGCTCCTATGAATAATTTTCAATGTCTATGTTGCACTCTTTATCCGAAAAAAATAGAATTAACTTCATGAATACAAAATTGTTAGATAGCAAAGGACAAAAACAAAAAATTGAAATTATAGTAAAAGTTTGAAGACAGTTTAGAAGCAAATGTAATCTAAACAAACAAAATACTAAATAAATAAATTATAACAGATAAATCGAATTCAAAATTTCAACTCAAATGAATAACTTCGTCTATCCAAAAGTAGCATTCTCCAACTACGGTAGTAAATTTCATAATTCTATATATATAAAAATAAATAAATAAATAAAAGAAAAGATAATTAAAACGAATGAGAATAAAATAGAAAAATAAAAAATAAAAAATGAATGAAAAAAAATCAATTTCAAAAATAGATTAAAAAAAGGAAATGCTATATATATTAACAAAAAATTCAAATTTTCACTAACTCACTTAAAGAAAACTGAATAAAACTCTATGTTACTAATCTACTTAAAAATAACTATGAAAACTGTAAAAAATTTAAAAATTAAAAATTAAAAAAAAAAACTTCAAAATTTTGTCAAATACCCTAGTGCTATAGTTATATATATAGGATAGGATTACAATTATATATATATATATATGTGTGTTTTTCTAAATAAAATTATTAAAAAATATTTACACTTTCTTATCTACTAAAAATATATACTCTCTAAATCATACAAATTCATTTCTCACCTTTTTTTTTTTTTTTGTCATCAAAATTTATTTTTATTTTTTTAGTAAATTTTTTATTTACCAAAAAAATTAAAAAAAAAAATTATTTTTATCTATTTTATTAAAAATTTATACCCGGTCAAATAAATACATAATTAGACGAAGGAGTACTATTTTATTATTCTTTATTATGGAACGAAAAACACACCCAAAACCCGTGTCCAAATTTTTATTTTATTGGAACTCGTGTCCAAAATTTAAACACGTATTTTGGTGACGAAAAGATTATTGATTAATAAAATTTGAGTACATATTTTAAAATTGATAAAATGTTAAGTATTTGAATTGATATTTTGTATAAATTTAAAGTACTAATATTTTAATTAAAAAATAAATATTTGATAATGTATTTTTTTAATAAGCTATTTCTGTGAATAATAATTATCAAATTGTGGTATTCTTAATTTACATTTGCTCTTTCACTTTTATATAATTTTCATTAAAAAGTCATATTTTTAATAAAAATATATTTTCTTTCATAAAATATTTAAAAATAATAAAATTTACATTATCCTAACAACATTAAGTTTTTTTTTAAAAAAAAATCAAGTATTTATATTTTTATAATAAATTAAATCAATGATACCATCTTTTTTCCATGCACGAGCTTGAATCATTGGTTCATACATAATTACAAAGATCAAATAAACAATAATAATAATAATAATAATAATAATAATAATAATAATAATAATAATAATAATAAAATTCCACATTTATTATTATTATTTTTTTTTAAAAAAAAAAACTAAATTAATACGTGGACCCTGCAGGAGCTACTACAGGTGCACGCACCAGAAATTCTACGGGTGCCCGGCCAAGAAGCTGGTCCAGCGACTGGACCAGGACCCGCGCACCTTCAAGGTCACGTATCGCGGGTCCCACACGTGCCACATGTCCGCCACCGCCCCTTCCGCCGGCGTTCCGGCGGCGGATTCACTTCCGCCGCCGATGTCCACCTCCGCCGCCTCCCTAATGCAGGCGGCGTCGATCCCGCTCAACTTCCCTGCACCTCCGACCACCCACTGGCTCTCGATGCAGAACGTCGCCGATCTCGGCGGCGCCGGAGGTCCTGGACCCTCCGCCTCGAGGGCGGCGGCGGAGATGCCAGTGGCGGACATGGCGGACGTGATGTTCAACTCCGGGAGCAGCAGCAGCAATAGCATGGACCTCATATTTTCCTCTGAAAAGTGGGATTACGAAGAAAAAAAAGATTAATTAATTAATTAATCATGTATTAAGATTTAATCAAAAGCCATAATTAACCTCAATTTAATTTGTGTAGGAACACTATTAAAAAAAAAAAAATCTTTTTAAAAGTATAAGTTGATCTTGAATTGTGAAACTTTTTGTAACTTTTTTGTCCTTTTATTTTATTAATTCAGTTCACATATTGGATGTGTTCTTTTTGTATTTTCATTTTTGTTGTATTTTAGGTGAAATGGTTCCAATTTAATATTAATAAAGATAAATTTACTTTTATATCTTTATTAATAGTGTGTAACATTATTAAAAATAAATAAATACTTTATTTTGAAACAGATAAAAAAAAAAAAAACTTTATTACATATTGGAAGTAATATAAAAAATAACTGTATTTTAATTGAACTGGTATCAATATATATTAAAAATTGTATTTTAATTGAACTGGTATCAATATATATTAAAAATTTTGAAAATGAATATTGAAAACTAATGGAACTTTTGTGAATTATATTGGGTTTCTTCATATATTGGTTTTAATTTTAGGATTTTTAATAAATATTATTAAAAAATACTATATATTTCACATATTAACACAATATAATACTCCCTCCGTCCCAAAAGAATTGTCTTGTTTTTCCATTTTCGTTCGTCTCAAAACAATAGTCCTGTTTCCTTATTTAGTAATCGTGGTCCCCACTTTATAATAAAATTATTCGTACTTTTTAAAACTACCCCTGATTATTACTCTAATCTATTTTTTAAAATCCTTTAAAAAGTAAGGACATTTTTATCTTAATTTCCAACGCTTCTTCTAGGAGGAGTATATATTATTTATTTTTTTAAAAAAATAAACAGTCCAATATAAAATATTATTTTATATTTTGAAAGTAATTCCGTAAAAAAATATAAAATTCAGCAAACCCAGAATCTATGGCTGGATTCCCATCGAGTGAGTGATTAATTTATTTGCAAAGAAGACAAGTACGTAGCTATGCTCTTGGCATCATGTTTATTTGTCATTTTCTTAGATTTAATTTTGCCTAAAGCCTCACCTACCACCACATTATTATTATTATTACTCAGAAGGGCTCGTGTGTATAATTAGAGTCTGCACTATTCTTCTTTATATTTAAAAACAGCATGAAACTCCGTCTTGTTTTAATAAAATATTGCATTTTTGGAAGTTTTGATAATATTTCTTCCGTTCAATTAGAAAGTACTTTCTCCGTCCTATAACTAGATATCTATTTATTTTTTATACATATTTTTAAAAATATTAGTATTATATTGGGATGTAGTATGAATAAAGTAAAAATGACTAAAATAATGTGTGATATAAAGACAATGACATTTGTGTAATATATTGTAAGTTGTAAGTGTATTTGTAATGTTAGGTAGATAGTACAATTACTAAAAAAAAATGAAATAGATATTTTGTTATAAGACGGACTAAAATGAAAAATAGATACTTTGCTATGGGACGGGGGGAGTATATATATTTTTATTTTGAGAAGTCCAATTACAAAGTAAACATTTCATTAAATACTTCGTTTTTTTTTCTACAAATACATTTACTTTACATCACATCATTATTTTTATACGAAAAAATAAGGACAAAAATATTATTATACTATTTTTAACTATCCACTATAATTAAAATACTGTTATTTCTTAAACACCGCGCCAAAAATAAATATTTACTTTATATATGAGTCTTTATTCTGTCTTGGACTGTTAATTTTGCACATTAGATGATTATTGACGTTGGAAAAACAAAATAAATTATTTTCATTTGGAAAACTAAACACTTATTTTGTGTTTGTGTGGGAGATTTTATAAAATTTTTACAATTTTTTTTTTTAAAAAAAAAACTAAAAATATTATATTCAACATCTATTTGTCCACGTTGCCGTTTCTATCCGTCCCACGTACCATGTCACTTTCCATTTTTGGAAAATGATTACACTTTAAACTCATTTTAAACTTTTTAATTTTTCTTTTTAAAAATTTTAATTAAACTAATTAGTTATCTTAATATTAATTTATAATTATTTATATTATAAGATAATTATTTTCACTAATACATTCTTAATTATCTATTAATTACACCATCCTAAAATACCGTGTCTACAATGTAGCAGATACGGTACGTGGAACGGAGATAGTATTACTTTGTTTGTACTTTGCAAGAACATAAATGTCAAACTATTTTATTATTTATTAATTCATTATAAAAAAAAAAAAAAAAAACAAATGACCCCTTAAAAATGAGACAGAAAAAATATTATGTATAAAATAATAATATAATTTTTTAGGGACATAAAACTGGTAGAAAATAGAAAAGAAATTAAAATTATATATATAAACAAATAATTGAAAGTAAAAACACACCTTTTTCAGAAAAAAAAAAAAAAAAAAAAAAAGAAAACTATGTATAAAAACAAAGAAGCACTACATTCATTGTATAAATGCTCTTTCAATTTTATTTCCGAATCCACCTTCAGACCACTAAATCTTGTTTTAGTGGATATCCCTCACATATATTATAATCTCTGTGTCCGGCTCTAAATGTTTCATTTACTTTTATGTGTATACTTTTGAATATTAATGATTATATCAAAACGTAATGCAAATTAAAAAAAAAAATTGCAGATATATTTTCATTAGTGTCTTATAATATTAATAGAAACACATTTGTATTAAAAAAAAATTATACAAATATAAAGATATTTTTAATATTAAGTACAATGACATAAAAAATATGTAATGTGCTCTATGTGTGGACAAGTTGTAGAGGTCATTAGCTTCAATTAAGTTTACATTTACATATATTATCTTTCTCTATAAATCTATGCAGTGTGAACATAATAGCAATAATAATTAGGAATGTGGACAAACATTTCCCATCACTGTCGAATGTTTATATTTATTATTTATTACTGCCCTCGCTCACAATCTATTGATCTATTTTTCTATTTGAAACATTTAACAATTATTATTTTATTTTTTTTTAAATACAAATTTTACATTTTTATCCTATATTCATTTATTATTTTTAATTTATACCATACAATTAAGAATAAATTTATCAATTTATGACAAAAAGGCAATCACCTAAAAAACCGTGTAAATATAGTTTAGGACAATATAAATTAGACAGAGGAGTATTATATTTTTAAAATAAATCATTATTGAAATACATGTAAAAACTTATTTTGAATATAATATTTTTTTAAAAAATGAATTTGAGTAATAAAACTAGAAAAAAAAATTATAAAACAAACCTAATTAAATCTATTTTTAAACTATTGGAATATATGTATATAATAATAATAATTATTATTATTATTAATTATTATTATTATTATTATCATTATCATTATTTAAACTAAGTCATAAATTATCATTTTTACGGGTTTGTATGTATATCTTTATATATATATATATATTATATATATTCAAGTGGGATTATGAATAAATGGAGTGTGAACATATATATATATATATATTATATTAATTCCAATAGTTGGTATACCAAATTAAATATATATATATATATTTTATGTATTCTGAGTAAATTTTTGATCAAATTCAATAATTTACAAGTTAGATTTAAAAGGCAAATCACACTGGACAAACAAGGTGAACTATTGTAATAAAAGTGCTATAAGTTAGAAATTTTATTATATATGAACTAAAAATTAAGTCAATGACCATTTTGATTAGGGACTAATGTTTTAAATAGTAGTATAATTTAATAAATTAATTACAATAGTTATAATATTATTTTATTATTTTTTAATTGTATCCAACTTATATAAATATATTTGTCAATAATTTATTTTAAAATAAAATATAAAAAATAAAAAATACAAGTTCTCAATTTATTTTAAATACGTTCCTGCACTTTCCGACAGCTGGACTCATATAATAATTCTACACATAGCGTTGACCAAGTTATGTTTGTTTCACAATTGAAGTGTAAATTGATATTATAATCTTAGCTTTATTTCTTTTTTTACTATTGTTATTTCGACTATTTTTTTAAAACTTATTTACTAAACTTAAAATGTCATATTCTAGTCTTAATATTGGTTGTGACACAAATATAGTACTCCTTCCGTCCCAAACATTCTGCAATATTTTTTTTTTTATCTTAAACATTCTGTAACATTTCCAAAATAGGAAATAATTAATCTCTACTTCACACTTTATCCCCTCACATCGTCCAAATAAAAAATAAAATATATATTTCTCTCTCCATTACATCACCTAATTTCTAAATTATCCTACTTAATACTACTGACCTAAAAACCTGTGCCAAAAATAAATATTGCCCTTTGTTTAGGACGGAGGGATATTAAACTATATGCAATTTCTATTGACTGTTTATTCATAATTTTTAGTGTGTATGTATTTTATTTTTGAAAAAAAAAAGTAGGAAACTAATACAGAAACAAAAGAAGCAGCAAAATAATAATAATAATAATAATAATAATGTGAAAGAGGGAAATGAAAAAATAATAATAAAAAATTAGATGCAACACTTTTTAATTTAAAGTAAATAAAAATAATATTTAATAAAATTATTTAAAATAATAGTAATAAAATAAGTATAATGATATTTTTAGAGCAAATAGAATATAGAAGGAAATTAAAAAGTAAAATAATGAATATTTAGGTAATTTTATATAGCTATAAGCTTTGTTTACCTTACCAATTTGTACTCAGCGTTATTTGTATTTTAAAAAATATTAGATCAAATATATTTTATTAATATAATATTAAATCAGATATTTATTTTTTACTTTTATATAATAATAATAATAATAATAATAATAATATAAAGAGTTGTATGTATGGATAACATGGGTACCGAAGAATCTGAGCGGGTGTACTGGTCCAATTCATTGCATCAGTCCCCACTTTATATAATACTATTGTCAATCATACACACATCAAGTGGCATTTAATGATTTTTTTATTTTATTTTTTTACGTGAGAATCCAAATGAACAATAATGTGTGACAAAAAAAAATTCGTAGACGTGGTCGAGAATTTAAATATATGACCTCATAATTACAAATTTATATGAATATTATTTTTTAAATATAATATTAAAATATTTAATATAATATTTTGTAAGAAAAAATAAAGACTAAATGATAAAGAAGTGAATTTGAAGATGAATTCAAAAATTCAGCAAATGTGTTGATGTGTTAATTTCATAGTTAATTATGTCACTAAATATTTAATTATTAATTATATAATATAATTATACAATTAAGTGTTGAATTAAAATAATTCAGTACTTGATCCACTTTCAAAAATAATACCTTCTCACTCTCATAGATATGGAAATTTTTTTTAAAAAAAGTATAATTAGTAAGTAGCGAAAAAAACAATATTAGTAAAAATAATTATAAATTAAAATTAAAATAATTAAATAATTTAATTTAATTTAATTAAAAAATTATAAATTATGAAATTTAAAATGCGATTAAAACGTATTATTATATTTTTTAAAAAATTAATTTAATAACTGTGGAAAGAAAAAATAAATAATGAATAGTTCGTAACCAAAAGCAAAATATAAAGAGACAGAACCTTTATTATTACAGAAACAACTCCATGTACACGAGACAACCCTAGAAATCGAATCAAACCCTCATCTCCAATACATATATATATAAATATATATGTATATATACACTAATACATATGTATATATGTAATCTCTCTCCCTCTCTCTCTCTCTATATATATATATATATCATCCAATTATGTCATCGCCATCAAAGTATATGAAACTGCTGTACAAATCTCCAATAGGATCGACCTCGCCATATTCAATCCCACACAAGCTCGTCGAATTGCCGGAGCAGCTCGGCCACTCCGGCGGGTAATCCTCCGGCGCCGGCAGCTCCGAGATCTCCCGCCACGGATAGTCATTGTCGTCGTCGTGAATCGATCTCATTTCGTCGGAGAAGCTGCAGGCAGGCTCTAATAATTCTTTCGATTTTTCTTCGACGACGAAAACGTCGGATCGACAGCTGTCCAGACTAGAATCTTCCTCGGCTTGGAAACTAATGAGCTTGCCGTAACGAGGACGAGGATTATTTATAATGTCCAATGGATTAATGAAATCGTCGGATATTGATGAAACCCTAATTTGGCTGCTGCAGGTGTGGTGATTGAAATATGTTGTTTTGTATGTGATAGGGTTTTCCTCTGTTATCTGCACTTGCTTGATTGCCTTGCACCCACCCTCCTCGTACTTGTGGGTACACCTGTAATAGCACCTGGTACAACCACCCAATGCACCCAATTAATTAACCAACATATCATCACCATATATATATATAAATATTTATATAAAAAATTATAAAAATATTTTTTATGTTAAGTACACTGACACAAAAGGTAACCACAGAGGTTGACGGGTGGAGTAATATTTTATTTTATTTTATATTTGATAAGATTTAAAAAATATATATATTTAATTTATGTAGGTGTATGAGTATGTATATTACCTTGGATATTTTGAGTTCAAGATTATTTTTTGGCCATATTTTCTCCAGGCGTATCCATCTTCTGTAGTTGGGGATTCCTTAACCCATGATTCCGAGCTCTTTCTGCACAACAATACATACATGTTTATTTTGCAATATTAAATTTGCGTGTATATATAATCAATAGCCAAATATATAACACAAAGAAAAAAAAAAATTATATATATATATATATATAATTTGGTTGCAAGTGGTTGAAGAGATGATAATTTATAGTAATTCATTACCGAAGGCTTTAAGTTATTGATTTTTAAGTTACAATAAATTAGGTTATTAGTTAATTAATTAGTTCTGATTGCAAATTTGTACCTGCCTGCATAAAGGTAAAAAAGGCTAAAGAAAACCCTTTTCTACTTTGTTTTTATGCTTCAACTTGCTTTCCTACACACACACAGATATATATATATAGATTTAGAGAGAGAGAGAGAGAGAGAGAGAGAGAGAGAGAGATCTAGAGAGAGGGTGTTTGTGTGTGGATAAATTGAATCTCCTCCACAACTGATGCTCAGTAGTTCTGTATATTTACTTTGATTTGCAAATGCATGTATGCGTTCAATCCACAAATAATAATAATAATAATAATAATAATATTCGTATATTAAGTACACAAACTTCTTTATTTTATTTTATTCATAAATTTGTTGAGAGATTTTAAGGAAGATCTAATGGAATCGATCATCAAATTCAAAACAATCAGAAGAATTCAAATCACATTAATTAATTAAATTTCACAGAAACAATTATACAGTACGTAAATATACGTATACATACATAATGTGTATATATAGAGAGAGAGAGAGAGACTGACCGCCGCTTGTAGCAGCCCCTTCGATCTTTGACCGCAAGCTTCTTCCGCTTGCCGTCCTCCGCCGGGGAGGAGGAGGAGGAGGAGGAGCCGCCGGAGTCAACGGCGGCGAGGTGCGCCGCGTCGTCGGAGCAGGAGTTGAGCTCAGAGAGAACGGAATTGAACGAATTGAGGATCTGAACGGAGAGTTCCTTGGCGGAAATGAGTCGGCTAGGGTTTTGAATTAGGGTTTTCAGGCGGACGGCGATATCCTTCCCCTTCCGAAGCTCGGCAATCACTCTCCGCCTCTTTCCATGGGGAATTCCGCCGCCGAAGGCTGCCATTCCGTCGCGCTGGTGGTGGTGGAATCCGGCCAGCCGGCGAGATCTGAGCAGAGAGGATTTTCGCTGTTGTTCCCTTTTTATTAGGGAATTTAAGAATGGAAGTGAGGAAAGAGAGAGGTAATTGTGTTGGGAAAATGTGACCAGGGGATGGGTTAAGACGGGAGTGCGACGACGTCATGCGTATGACGTCATTCAGTGGCGTTAGGGATGTTGGGATGTCGAGGTGTCGGGAGCGGATGGACTCTTTAGATCTTGGCCGTTGATTTATTGTCTTAGAGAGATGGGCGGTGCGGATCTTCTGGGACTGGAAATGGTTCTTGGAGTTTCTGGGAAGCTGTGGTCCTGATTTCTAGACGTGCATTCCAAGTTGATTTATTTATTGGTTTTCTACGGAATAAATACAGGTTGCGTTTGAATATAATTTAAACTTGTTCTTTTTTTTCTTTTTTTTTTCTTTTTTAATTTAAACATTTTAGTTTTCGATATATTTTTTTTATGTGATTTATAAAAATTTATATCAATAATATAAAAAATACGAGTAATATTTAATATTAAATATTAACTTTTTATAAAAGAATAAAATATATATACTCTCTCCATTCCGTGATAAGAATATTTTTTTTTTTACATAAATTTTTTAATATTAATATTATATTAGTTTGTAATACGAAATGCATAAATAATCTAATTAATATTATATAATATAAAAATAATGATATTTATATGATATATTATAAGTTGTAACGGTATTTATAATATTAAATATGTAATATCATTACTAAATTAAAAATTATATTTTTGTTTTAAAACGGATAAAAATAAAAAATAATACATTTCTATGAGACCGAGAGAGCAATTCAACATACCCATGTTACTATCACCAAAAATATATATATATATTTTATAATAGCAAAAATTGTATCTTAAATTTTTATAAAAATTTTTATTTTTTATTTTTTTATATTTGAATAAAAATATTAAAATCAGCACTTTCACTAATTAATAAAATTTTATTTTTTAAAAATTTATTATAAAAAAGTAAATATATACATGTGATTTGAACATAAAAAAATATATATTAAGAATTGTATCAAAATAATTGATTAGGAAACAAATTCATAAATTTTATATAAAAAATAAATAAATAAAATATAAATATTTATTTATAATTAACATAAATTAATCTACAAATAAATAAAAAGGTACCAATATATATGAATATATTTGTTTATTGAAAAATAAAATAAAAATATAAAATTTTGAATATATTTTATATGATGAAATATTTTAAAAAATAAATAAATAATAAATTGAGAATATAGTACTCCTTCCGTCTCAAACACTTTGCAATATTTTCTTTTTTATTTGTCCCAAACTCATTACAATATTTCTAAATTTAGAAATAATTAATACTCTCTCCGTCCCAAACACTGCACAACATTTTCTTTTTGATATGTCCCAAACACATTGCAATATTTCCAAAATAGAAAATAATTAATTATACCTAATCTCTATCCCACACTTTATCCCCTCACATTATCCAAATAAAAAAATAAAATATATATTTTTCTCTCCATCACATCATCTAATTTCTAAATTATTATACTTAATACTATCCATCTAAAAACTCGTGCCAAAAATAAATGTTGCACCTTGTTTGGGACGGAGGAAGTAATATTTATATACATATATTAATATACATTTCACTTTATCTCATTACATCACTCAAATAAAAAAATAAATAATCATTTCTCTCCTCAATCACATAACTTAATATCCAAATTATCTCAAATTACCATACTTAATACTCCATACCTAAATTTCCGTGCCAAACACAAATGTTGCACGATGTTTGGAAATGAGGAGTACCAACTATAGGTCGAGAAGCCAACTCTAATATTTATAGAATAAAAATTTTATGCAACATTTATTTTTGTTTTTATTTTTTTTAAAAAAAAGTATCAACATATTTATACTTTGTAAAGCAACTTGCAAATTTTGGTACCAAACAGGTGCACAATTACAATATTCTAATGTGTGCATGTGACCCTATCGCGGAGTCTCATAAATGCCCCATCTACATATTTTTTTTAATTTATGACCTCTATAAATTATAAAATATTTACCCCATCTCTATATTATTATTATTATTATAAATTGTAAAATATATTATCATTTCATATATATATATATATATATAATATGGAGTATTCAAATATTCATTTTTAAAACACATTTTTATTTGATATTTACAATACAAAGATAGTTTAATTTATAAATTATTTATCAAATACAAAACACTCCTGTGTTGTGTTTGATATTATTCAAAATTTTCCCTACTTTTATATAAATATTTTATACATTCATATTTCATACGTTTATTTAAATATTTAAGTACTCCACATTTTAGTATTTTTTAACTCTCTACATATATTGGCTCTGTTCACTTAGCGTTTTTTAATAAATTGATTTTGAGTGTGTGGTATGAAAAACTGTATTTAAAATATAAAATATATTATTTTAAATTAAATATTTGATTTTATTTTTTATTTTTTACTTTTTGTAATAAGTGTTAAATTTATTTTTTGTGTATAATATAGATAATTATGTAATAAATACAAAATATTAATTTTGGGGAATCGCAATTTCAAAAACTGCTGGACGAAGAGACTCACTATTTTTATAAATCAGATATTAGTTAAAAAGAAAAATTAACTCAACTTTCAATTTAAAATTTAACCGGTAACTAAACGTTTATATTTTCTTATTGTATTTTTTATTTTTTACATAGAATTTAATAATATTACCTTTTATTTTTTACTTAGAATTTAATAATATTACCTTATTTGTCACTGAAATTTATGTTTTTTTTTTTTTCATAAAAATAAGTTATTTGAAAAAGAATCAAACTATCTTTCGTACTTTTATTTTTTTAAATATTAAAAAGCAAAAGTTAACAAAAATATGGGTTTGTCCATTTTTTATTTTTCGATAGATATAAGAAATTGTATCGATAATATAAAAATAATATTTTGTATTGAATTGTTAATTTTTTTAATGGATAAATGATATCTTATATATTGTATTAATATATGTGTATACTATTATATTTTCTAATAGTACCTACGTCTGACTCTAAGGGTCATATTTATTTATTTTTTTTGATTTTTTTAATATTAATTATTATATCAAAATCTAATACAAATCAAAGAAAAATGACAAAAATACTTTTATTAGTGTCTTTTAATATTAATATAATAATATTTGTCCAAAAATTTTACAAATATAAAAAAAAAAATTAATGTTAAATACAAGGGATGACAATTCGGGTGACCTGGTTTTTTCGTGTTGCCCCCGTCCAACCTGACCCGATTACAAACTGTGTTGGACTAACACGACCCGGTATTTTTCTCTTAAAATGTTAAATCATTTTGTTTATTTTTTTTTTAGGTTTAAATTAATTTAGAATAAAATATAGAATTGACCCACAGCCAAACTTATATAAACCAATAATTTAATGTTCAAGCCATGCTTTAATTTTTGTTTTTATTTCAAACATTAATATATATATATATAAATTTATTAAAATTTAAATATTGATTGTAAAAATTAGGTCGAGCCAAGCTCGGCCCGACTTTCATGAGCCCGGACATGGCCTGAAAAAATTCGAGCCTATTTTTTGAGACTCAAGCACGATTTTTTCATGTCGTGCTCGGATTATACTTTTCAGAATGTGATTATTTTTGTCACGTTTAAATACAATAATGCAAAAAGTAAATACAATTCTTAAAAACGGACAGCGAAAATAATATTTATAAAGAATGGTTTCATTATAAAAAAAACTACCTGAACAAACTCATAATATACTCACGATAAAACTCATGATAAAAAATTGATAAAAAAAAATCAGCATGGTAATGCTTTATCCAAATAATGGGTTAACATTAAATATTGTCTATACCAAAATTTTATTTATATTATTTGGTATTCGTGTGTTTGTTTTTACAAAATAGTTTTAAAAATATTTTTATATATGTAGCATAAAAATTTGTATACGTAGTATTAAAATAATAAATATATATAATATATTAATTTTTTTTTAAAGAAACACTTCACTTCATTTTCAAAAAGAACACGCTTACCCAATATAACAAATTAATTATAAAAATTATTTAATTGTAAAAATATCTGATTTATAATCTAGGGAGATTCCGTTGGAGTTGGACTGTCCTTTTAGAACTTAGCATATGCACTGGTTATTTTATTCGGAGCATTATTTTTTAAATACAATTTAATTTAATCATATAAATTGGTGGGTTTGTCAACTCAATCAAGTTTTTTTTTTTTAAATAGTTTATTTTTTAATATATATAACATTTATATATATATATATATATTTATAAAATCAATACTTTAATAAAAATATATTATTTTTGATAGGATAAACTGTTTTTTTAAGTCCCATAATTGGACCCTTTATTATTTTAGTCCCGTAAGTGGAGCATGTCGCAAACTAGTCCCATAAGTGAATTTTTCGTTGTTTTAGTCCTCCGGCACCGGAGACACCCGCGTGGCTCGCCGGAGGTGACGTGTCCGCCAGGTGTCCCGCCAGGTCAGCGACACCTGGCGGACACGTGGATTTATTTATTTATTTTCAATTTTTTTTAAAAAATTAAATCAAATTAAAAATTTAAAATATATAAATAAAATTTAAAATAAATTTAAAATAAGTTTTAAAAAAAATTAAAAATAAAAAATAAATAAAAAAATCCAGGTGGCGCTGACCTGGCGTACGCGTCACTTCCGGCGAGCCATGCGGGCGTCTCCGGCACCGGAGGACTAAAACAGCGAAAATTTTTGACTTATGGGACTAATTTGCGACAGGCTCCACTTACGAGACTAAAATGATAAGGGATCCAGTTACGGGACTAAAAAACAGTTTACCATTTTTTATAATATCGACACGATGCAAAATAGAGTGAATTTGTTGTTTCTATAAAAATTTTCCAAAAAATTAATATGTTACACACATTTATTATTTTTATTTTATCTACATAACTTTTTATACTTCCATGAAAAATATATCTCAAACCAAATATTAAACAATCAAACCCATACTTTCCCCAAGAAACCTATTTATTTACTTTTTTCTAAAAAAAATCTATATTATGAATTTATTCATTCAACCTATTTTTAAATAATACAATTCCTTATAAATATTATTAAAAAATATATAATATATAAATTTTAATATAATATATTTTTTATTTATTTAAAAAATGAATAATTTAATATAAAATATTTATTTTTATTCACCCAAAAATATGTTAAGTAAATAAACACATATTGTATTTTTTAAAAAAATATTAATTAACGAATTTTGTTTTTTGTGTGTGCAAGAACTTACTCGTACTAATTTTTTTTTGTATAAAAATAATTAAATAAAAAAATAAAGAAAAATTTGTATAATTTGATATTTGGATAAATCCAAATTCATTTGGGGCCCAAAATAATATTCAGTTATTAAAATGAATGGTTAAATTTGACCCAAAAAAAGGTATCTTTGACTGAATTAAAATAATATTGAGTTGCAAATAATTATATGTGCAAGTGTCTTACTAGTTTGACCAGAGTATGCTTGAATTTTTTTATTTTTTCAATATAAATAAATTCTTGATTTTTTAATTGAATAAAATAATACTCTCTCCGTCCCACATATTTTGTTCATATTGCCGTTTTTGTTCGTCCTAAGTTCCATGTAACTTTTCTTTTTTGAAAAATAATTACACGCTTTAATCTCATTTTAAATTTTTTAATTCATTTTTTTATTAATTTTAATTAAACTAATTAGTTATGTTAATCTTAATTTATAATTATTTATATTATAGAATAATTATTTCACTAATATATTCTTAATTATCTATTAATTACATCACTCATAAAATACCGTGTCTACAGTGTAGCAGACACGGTATATGGAACGGAGGGAGTACTTCCTTTGTTTAATGTATCCGGTATTTTCTTTCTTTCTTTTTTTTTTTTTTTGAGTTGTTTCAGTAATATTTTCTTAAATAGGAAATATTAACTTCATAATACATTGTATTCCCTCCATCCAATTTTTATTGTTTCAAAATATATTTGTACGGTTTTTTAGGTGATTGTCTTTTGTTATGAATTGACAAATTTGTTATTAATTGTATGATAGAGATTAAAAGTAATAAATAAATGAAGGATAAAAATTTAAAATTTGTGTTTAAAAATGAAATAGGACAATAGTTGTTCGACGTCCCAAATAAGAAAGTAGGACATTAGTTTTTCGACAGATAAAGTATATTACTCCCTCCATCCCATTTAAAAGGTTACCATTCTATTTTTTTACATCCCAAAATAAAGTTACCATTTCATAATTTAATAATTGTACTGTCTACCTAACATAATAAATATCATTTCAACTTACATTATATTACATAAATGTCATTACTTTTATATTACACCATACTAATAGAAGTATTTTTGTCTTTTTTACTACAATCCAATATAATACTAATATTAAAAAATTTATATGCAAAAAACAAATATAACTCTTCCAATGGAACAAAGGGAGTATATCATTACATTATCCAAATAGAAAAATAATAATAATAATAATAAATACATATTTCTCTCATTTCCAAATTATAATATTTAACACTATTTATCTAAATTCTTAAGTTGAAAACTAAATATATCACCTTATATAGGATGGAGGAAATATTTTATATTTTATAAGAAAAAAAATAATACTACTATTTTTTCTTGAAAATTATATTTGTTAGATAAAGTATTTTTACCATTTATATTATAAAATATTATATTAAAATACCTATAGTGGAATAATTATGTTAAATTTTTATTGTCCGTTATATAATTTATTTATAATAAAAAAAATTTATTCGCTAACAATATTATTATTTTTATTTTAATAAATTATAATTAATTTATTACTATTTTTTCTATTTACTCCTAATATTCTATTAACTTATTAATAATTTTTTTTGTAATACCTTCCACTTTATTTTTTTTACTTATTGAAATTACTTTAAATGCTATCATTTATCAGTCTTCATCGTATTCGTATAATGTTGGATAAAGGGCTTGGACGAAGAAAGTATAATTTAAACTAACACTTAAAATTAAACCTAAACGTGATTAGATAATAATTTTGAATGTTTTAGAATTTTGGAAATAATTAAAAATTATATTTAATGTGATATTTTATAATATATATCTGATTTAATATTTTTTTAAATAATTTACTACTCCCTCCTTCCAACATATTTAGTTACACTTCATTTTTAATTTATAAAAAAAGTGTAACTAAATATGACAGACGGATGAAATATTAAACTATCAAAATTATGTATTCTATTCGTCTCGCATAAAGTATTCATTCTTTTCATTTTTGTCTCTTTTAGATATTTTTTTTTATTTTTATTTTAAAAATAATTAATCACTTTAATTACATTTTCTAAATTTCATCATTTATATATTTTTTTAATTTTGATTAACTTATTTAATTATGTTAACTTCAATTCTAATTTATATTATAAAATAAGTAATTTTAATAATATACTTTTAAATTATTTTAGTAATTATATTTTTCTTAAATTTTCAAATTGTGTATATACAGTAATATAGATATTTTTATTGGAACGAAGAAAGTAATATATATGTAAATAAAATTTGTATTTTATATGCACAAAATTTTAAGTATTTGTGTTCGTTTATTAATATTCCCGAACAAAGTTCATATTTGTTCGTTAAGCGCTCAAGCTCATTTGTATTGTTTGAACTCAATTTGTTAAGAAATTTTATTATTCGAGCTTGTGTTTGTATTCGATTCGAATAAGCTTGTTCAAATTTGCTCGAGCTAATTTGAATAAGTATGATATTTTATTTTTTAAATTCATATATATATTATTTTTCAATTAATAAATTTATATATTTATTTTTACCAGAATGGTTGAAAACAAGACTTAGGCTTGTTCAATAACAAAATAAATTTATTTATATTGCTCGACTCAACTCATTTATATTTATAAATGATCTTAAATCGAATTGAATCAAATTCATGAACATTTGATTTGCTTAATAGCTTTAATCACATCTATAAGTAATTTTGGGCATAATTCACCTCCCACTTACAATTATTAGGTTATATTTTGTGGGTTTTAGCACAGATTTTTAGTATTCAAATTATTTTTTCTTCAAAAATATCATATCAAATCATTTTTATTTTTATTTTATATACTATAAATTTATTTTACATTCAAAATATAGCATCAACCTCTATTTATATCATATTAAACAGCTATTTAAATTCAATTTTTTATTATTTAAATATCCAAATTTAAAAACTAAAATCTACCGACAAACACACCCTTTGATTTTTCACAGTATACTCTACTAGGAGGATCAAATGTCATAAAATACGTCATTATTTCATTTGTTTGACCATTTGCCAATGTTGAAACAAAATGCATCCGTGGTCTAAATTATCTATAAAAAATTTAATATTTTTTTTTCGTATTTCGACTCAAATATATATTTATTTGTTTAATATAATTGATATTGTATACTATGGTTATTATATATAATATAATAACATCAATATATAAAAACTAATCTACATTTAAAAAAAAATAAATCATTTTATCATTTTAATTTATTTATTTAAATATATATTTTTTAAATAAAAATATTTTCATTTAGATTTTGTAACTAAATATTAATTTTGTACAAAAATATACTATATTTTATGTATATTTTAATTTAACATAAAATACTATACATAATAAATAAAATATTGAATATTTTATGCCATTTTCCAAAAACCAAATGAATTCGGGTGTATTTTTTCGAGAGATTGAATTTTAAATATATTATTCATCTCATCTTTTTTTTTTAAAATATTAAATAAAATACTTATTTTTTATTTTTTATATTATATAAAAAATTAATTTATATTTAAAATATCACAACAAATTAATATATATATATATATATATATATTTTTTTTTGACTAAAACAAATGTATAGCCCATTTTAACAAAGAAGAAAAGAACGTGTGTAACGAAGGAATGGTTTCTATGCAGGCCAGCCCTCTTCCTCTTCTCTGCCGCAGGTTACGGACGCTATCCTCTCCTACCTGCCCGCGTAACCCTAGCCCCTTCGTCGCCGCCGTTCTGCGTCCTATTATGACCAAGCCCGCCGCGGAACTCCCCTCCTCAAATTCCTCCAAGTTCCCCCTTTTTGCGGACTCCTCGCCGTCCAATTTAAGCTCCCGAGATCTTTCACTCTGCAGGTGCTTCGCTGCCAGCGGCGCCATTGATGGCATTGGATCAGATTCTAACAATTTGGAGTGTACGTTGGTGGTTGTTTCGTTTTACAAGTTCGCTGATTTTCCGGACCACGCTGATTTGCGGAAACCCTTGAAAGAGCTTTGCGAGCGGCTGGTAGATTCTCTGCTTCACTTTTTCTTTGTAGAAATTTGTTTTTTCATTTATCTTATCCAATACTGTCGTTGGATTTGATTTGATTTGATTGGTTTGTGTCTTTGAGAAGGAAGTGATGGGCGATTGAACTAATTTCGGATTGATTGTCTTAGTGTGGTGCTTAGTAAACGAGAAAAGGAGCTCCCTAGTATAATTTTTGTATCGATTTTTAAGAAATGTTAGGTAAATTTCCAATTTGATTTACAGAGCATCGAAAATTAGATATGTCTCAGAATTTTGAATCTTGTTTGTGCCAAGGCCTTTCAATTGGGCATTTTGCTTTAGCTTGTTGTGGTTTATAGAACAGTCACTACTTACTGTGAAAAATTGATCTGCTGTTGAGGTTGAATAGCTTAGTGTCCTTAGAGATGTATTGTCGAATGTTCGTCGAATCCAATGACTTTCGATCATAATATGCTGATTCATTCTCTGTTGTGTGCATTTTTGAGTTTCTTGTGATGTGATTCATGACTCACTGAGCTGATGCCCTCAGCGTGTTTCAGGGGGGATTATTCTTGCTCGAGAAGGAATAAATGGAAGTATATGTGGAACCCGTGATTGTGTGGAAGAAGTGCTCTCTTTTATACAAGCGGATGACCGGTTAAAAGGGCTCAGACGGATTGAGTCGCCAGTTAGTCCCGAGGAAGAAGCTATTCATCATGGACATATGAGTGGCTCTCCTCTATCTGCAGGTGAAGATGCACCATTCCGATGGGATCATGTGAGGGTCAAGTTGAAAAAGGAGGTAACCTTGCTGTAGAGAGAAGTCAGTCGAATGTTATACCTTCGTTCAATTTAGAATTTTGATTCAAAAATGCTGTGCGTCTGTTGGAAATTTGTTTGCAGATAGTGACACTAGGGATGCCCTCGGTGTCGCCAATCGAAAGAGTTGGGAAGTATGTCAGTCCCAAGGAATGGAATGAATTGATCAGCGATCCAGATACGGTAATAGTTTCATCTCAATTCTGCTAGTAAAAATAATGCTGTATTATTTGAAAACTGTAATAGATGTTTTGCTTGCAACTTTGTCGTTTTCCATTAAGAGAACCTCTTAAGATGCCGCCTAGGATTAATTCTTAGGCTACTTATCGATGACTATAGAAACCATACACATTAATTAAGATACAAAACAGGCTGAAATAATCTGTCCTTTCAATTTGTTCATTAGCACGATATGATAACTTTTTCGATTTCTTGAATGCATATGCTAAAGACCATTGTTTGTTTACTTTATATAAAATGTTCTTTAGGGTGTGTTATTTTGGAGATTGGATTTTGGGTTGAGATTTGAATAGTAAAAATTTTGAATATGAATAGCATCGGGTTTTTGAAAACCAACACTGCATGTATTGAAGGAATTTCTTTCGTAATTTATTTTCCTTCAGGTTGTGGTAGATGTACGAAATGACTACGAAACCAGAATCGGGAAATTTAAGGGAGCAGTCGATCCATGTACAACAGCATTCCGGGAGTTCCCATCATGGGTGGATGACCAATTCAAACTCAATGAGCCCCCCGAAGATCAACAAACCGAAAAGGAAAACAAGACCCCCCGAGTGGCAATGTATTGTACCGGCGGAATCAGGTGTGAGAAAGCTACAAGCTTTCTCTTAAACAAAGGCTTCAAAGAAGTGAGATTTCGACCCACACGCCACCATTGATCTTTTTCCATAACCGTGCTACTCTTCATCGATTCTTAACTTGGTTTAATCGATATCATCCGGCAGGTTTATCATCTTCAAGGTGGGATATTGAAATACCTCGAAGAAGTTCCCAAGGGGGAAAGCCTTTGGGAGGGGGAGTGCTTTGTGTTCGACAAGAGAGTCTCGGTCGAGCACGGGCTCGTTCAGGGGACTTACAAGCTTTGCTACGGATGCAAGAAACCCGTCAGCGACGCGGACATGGAATTGCCGGAATTTGAGTATGGAGTGTCTTGTCCGTATTGCTACTCCACAAAATCGGAAGAAGAGAAAGAGCGGGCAAGAGCCCGGCAAGAACAGTTTGAGCGATGGGGCGTCATCGGCGGCCCCGATAAAGGCCGGAAGCCGACGAAAGCGCCGGAAAATGAACGTCCGGTTGTAGCTGCCAAGCAGGTACCCAGCTGAGTACGTACTGCCCTTTTCCGGCGTTTTTTTTTTTCACTGAATTTGTATTATCTGAGAAATAAATTTATTTTTTTTGTGGCAGCTGAGTTTCGATGGCTTGAGTTTCTTTATTGCTTTTTTTTTTTTTTTTTTTTTAGTTTCTTTATTGCTTATCGATACTGAGATTCGCAAAATATGATATATACTGTTATAATTATAAATTTAAATTAAAATATCATTTCAAATTATTGAATTTTCACTCAAATAAATAGGGGTGGACAAAAAAATCAAACTGAAATGAGAAATTTAGTTAAGCTAGCAAAATTAGGTTAGAATACAAATACTTTATATATGATATTTGGTCAGTTCGATTTGATTTTGATTTTTGATTTTTTTGTTGATCGAATTGAATATATTTATATTATTATATTTTAAAATTTATATTAATAATTATATTTGGTTCGATCTCAATGCGAATATTTGAAATATTTGGAAATATTTTTATTTAATTAAAATTATTTTTTTTATATATATATTTTTTTAATTTCGATTCATTTAAATTATTTACAAATATTTTCGGTTAATCAAAATTTTTGATTCAGATACAATTAATACGAATATATTTATATTATTATATTTTAAAATTTATATTAATAATTATATTTGGTTCGATCTCAATTCGAATATTTGAAATATTTTTATATAATTAATTTTTTTATATATATATTTTTAATTTCAATTCGGTTTGAATTATTTGCAAATATTTCCGATTAACGATTTCAGATATTTATTCAACGATTTGAATATCAAATATCTACATATTTGCAAATAATCCAACCGTTTCACCTCCGAATAAACTAACTAGTTTGATGACCTCCAACCGTCGGTTTAAAACCGGTTAGACATGTCTATACGAGGGTAAAACGGTAAAATAATATAGTCCTTTATTATTCTATATGAAGCGGAAGGGCAGAAAAGCAAGCGTTTGTTGTCGCCGTTCCCATTTTGACTACCGCGTTGATTCCTAAATCGATCAATCTAGGGTTTACTTCTCCATCGATAATGGCCGTTCCCGCCGGAACATCGGGTCTCTTCAAGTTTCTACGCCCTGGCATCCGTCTTCAGCCAACGGACGTACAGGCCGCCGCTCTCTGGGGGGTCGCCGCCGGCTCCAGTGCTCTCTATCTCATCCAGGTAGCTGAAATTCGCATGTATTTATTATTTATTTATTTATTTATTAATCTGGATCTGTAATTGGTAGTGCTTGATTTTGAGTAATGTTATGGTATCTGTTATCCATGTAGAGCTTGATATTTGTCATTTTTTTATTTGTCATGTTTTCAAAAAATCGGAATGGATCTTGTTTTGCATTCGCCATGCAGATTCTTCTTCGGGATCCAATGAGATTCTCTCTTATGATTCTGAATTATACGATATTACGCACATAGGTAGCATGAAATATTCCTGTGTAGCACGGGAGTAGAAGAAACCTTCTTTTGGTAAATCGAGATCTATTGTTTAACCTACTAGAACCTGTTCTACTCAGGCTAAGCTAGGAAAAACTTCATTGTTTTGCAGTTTATGTTAAAAAGCTTAAACTGATTCAAATTTTTTATTGAGACATAGTAGGAAATGCAATAGGAGTGCAAGCCCAATGTCATTTGAAATTATGAGTGAAGATGATATAATAGGTTCATGTCAAGGATCTTGTCCTTTGTTGTTCATTGAGGGACATTTTCTGTTTTTTTGCTCTACCTTGCACAAATTTATATGTTGCTACCTTTGGGAACACTTCTTCGACCACAATTGCTGAAACTTGATACCAAGAATGATCAAATGTATAATTTGATTCTTTTGATTGCTTTAGTCCTTATTTTAACATATCTGGTCTCCTACTATTTATGTTTGCAATGCATTACTAGAGTTTAGATGGTCAAATGTTTTTTAAGGTGTTCAATATGATGTGTTTCTTATGCACCTAGGTTGTTGTGACTTGTATTTGCATTGTATCAAAGGCTTATTGTTTCCAACCATTGTTCCAGCAATTTTAAGTTTAAGCATTACTGATATTTCTAGAATTTTCGATGATTTGCAATAATATATCAAAGTAAGATGCTGATTAAATCTAAGATACGTAACTTTCCAGCTTGCCTGATTTAAACCGAGATTCTCAAGTTTGGAATTTCAGTTGTATGGGAGTGTAGTTTACTTCTTGCTTGCATCTTCTATGCATATCACACTGAGTATTGATATTTGTGTGGAAACTGATAGCTGAAAATTAATGGTTCGTTCTTATTGGCAGTGATTATTCTTTGGCAGTATAATCTGTTTTAAATCTGGTTTTCTTTGTTGTTGGATGCAGCCTTTTGATTGGCTGAAAAAGACCCTCTTTGAAAAATCTGAACCCGAAGAGAAGTGAAAGGAGATGCAAATCTTGCTGGTAATTTATTTACCCTTTCATGTAGCCAGTGTTCAACTCTTCAGCTGGATCATTGAATAAGAATTTTATTTTCCTTCAATCATTCTTGAAAGTTGCACGTATTGCTGCTGTATCTACTCAATAAAATCTGGAAACAAGTTCGTTTTTACCTTTCCCCTTTTTTCCTTTCCCAATATTTGCTAGCGCTTGCAGTTTTGAATACATTTTCTATGTGAAGTGCTGTAGTCATAGCATAAAGTAATTTACAGCACTTGAAGATCTCTATTTCTACATTTTAATATTTGTATCTGGAATCATATCATGTTTCCGAATAGAGAATCCTATCATTTCTTCCAGAATTTTACTACACTAGTGTTGGTTAGCAATTGGGGTTCATTGATTTGCATATAATGGATAAAATATTGTGATTTATGATTATTCCGGACATGAACAATTATCTAGGGAGTGTTGGTGATGGTATTTGCTCATCTGGCCGTTTCTTGAACTTGTCTTTGCTGATTTCACTATTATTGTTTCTCTAGTATTGCTCTCTGCTCCCTTTAATAGATCATGAATTTCATAATTTCCATGTTGAATGGTTATTATATAAAGGGTGTATTCGTCCAATAATTTTTTGATAATATAGTGTTTTTATGAATATTTATAATTGATTGTGACATAAAGTAAGGGTGTTTCAGAAAGTATATCAATTAGTTAATGAAGGGAAAATTTTTTGATAGATTTGAGTGGATAAGTAGTTGTGCTATTTTTTTAAAAAAATAAATGTACTGTTGAAAAACATTAATTAAAGAGTGTGGAAAAACTATTTGCTATAAATCAGACGGCACTATTTACGGCCATTATTTATTTAATCCTCAAATCAAAGAATTTATGGCCATTATTTATTTATTTGAATGACGTGGGAATCTGCAGCGGCCATTATTTATTTAATCCTCAAACCAAAGAATTTACGGTCATTATTTATTTATTTATTTGAATGACATGGAAATCTGTAGCCGTTATCCGAAAGTGCGCACTGGATAAATCTCCAGCTGAACTTAATACCATGTTGGGCAGGTGACTTGAGGCGTCGGGGTTTGAAATAACAATCATATCCTTAGATGGATGCTACAATCCAGTCTAAATAGCAATAGTGCTATTAATATTATCAATATATCAACAGATATAATTTCAATTAATTAATTAGCAACTGAGTTTACATTGAAACATAAAACCTCGTCAATAACCACAATTATAACCACAATTTAAATCACTTGAAAGTAGTTTATATATATACAAACACATATAATAATATTCTAGAAAAAATAAAATGTACAGAACTATCCAAATTAGCCCCTAAATCCTAATGGCTAAAAACATAACATACAATATGAATGAAGAATGATGTCTTGTGTCTTCTTCTTCTTCTTCTTCTCCTTCCATTGGCAACTTGGAAACTTCCATAGCCACCATTCACGAAACCTTAATCAGCCAATGGATTGCTAACAACTGTCCATCTCCGTCGTCCCGTTCTGCTAGCTCCCGTCGACGTTGATTTCCCGTTCCGTTAATCTTCGCTGAGCAGCGATCGCCGCTGCAACAGAAGGCGGCAGATCCCTCAGGCTTCCTCCGGCAGGATCATGGTCATCCTCAGCAGCTGCCGGTGGGCCGACTCTGAATAAGGACTCAACATCGTGGAGTGTCAAGCACGGCTGATCTTGGTTCTTCCGGTTCCCGCTGATGAACGAGCTCGTGTCCCGGCTCTTGTTCATTTTATATATGCTTTCTTCGACCGTGTCCTTCACCTGCCGATCAATCCACAATACCGAGCATGAGCTTATATGAGTCGAACCCGAGACATTATCCAAATTTATTCTCATTTTTATTTTCTTTTTTGTTATTATAGTTTAAATTTACTTTCGTTTTCCTTTTTTCTAAAAAAAAGATGCTTGTTCCGTTGTGTAAATTTATGTCAATTTGATAGGACTCGAATTTTAAGAAAAATAAGTAAAAATAGAAATTTTTTCCTTTTATGGTAAAGAAAAGGTCGAAAAAATTGTATTTTTAATTAAAAAATAAAACGAGAATAAATTTGGATGACAAAATAATAATAATAAGTTTGAATGACAGAGGGAATATCAATTTTTCTATTATTTTTACTATAAAATGAAAGTTTTTATTTTTACTCTCGTGCCCGATCAAATAAGAATAAAATTCGACGACGGAAGAAGTACTACTTACTATGAAACGATGAACCAGCGTCTTCTGCTCCTGCCCGATCCGGTGCACCCTCCCGACTGCCTGCGCTTCGGCCGCCGGATTCAGCAGCGGCTCGAGTAGAATCACGTGCTGTGCTTCGAGAAGATTCAGCCCGTTCGCTCCATGTTGTATTAAGAGGAGCAGCACTCGAGGCGTGGAATTCGATTCCGGTTTATCTCCGGGGTCGGGATCCCTCTTTCGATCTTTACAGTTGCTCTTCTGCCCCTTGAATTGGCTTATGGCAATTTGCGATTTCCTACGGATGAAAAAATCATTGATCTTCGCACTTTCATGTAATAGTCTACGGCATTAAACCGATATTTTTTTTTCCAAGAAAGTACCTTCCGCCTTTCATCCTGACATAGCTTATGCCGTTGGCAGCGAAGGCGTGCTGTAAGACATCAAGAACGTCGTTCCAGCTTGAGAAAACGAGAATTTTCGACTTGGGATCGGTCGAGCTGATCCATAGAATTCTTCTTGTAACAGCTTCGATCTTTTTTTGATATGGAATCGCAATAAGGCTCCAGTGTCCAGGAGAAACAAAAATGAAAACGAATGCAAGAATTAATGAAAGAATCGGGTGTGTTTACCTTTGTACTATAAGAACCGTGAACGGTCATTGAAGCTTCAGTTTTGTCGTGAGCTCCGTAGGAATCGTTTTGTCTGTCATCGGCTAGCGCAATGTTTCTGAAATCACTGGCTCGCCGGCATGTCGGGCATAAGATCCTATGGCTATCGTGAAGCTTTCCGGGCGGAATCAACCTCCTTTCCGTCATTGCAAATAAACCTGCAACAATCTCATCGCATGTATTTCAAAAATATAAACATAATACTTTTAAGGATCTCATTTACTTTTTTGCGTATTGATTTTTAAATATTAATTCAAAACATAAATACAAATTAAAAAAAATATATTTACAAAATACAAAAAATAAATATGACCTCAGAAGCAGACCTAGGGAGTACAATAAATAATATGACAACTACAATTTATGTCAATATAATATATAGCATAGGTCAATAGTCGATGCACACTAATATTGATCTCAGCATATATATTTCTATACAGCAGAGTTTATAATATAATCGGACATGTATGTACTGTATTATTTGAAAACATATGTTGTCTGCCAGTAGTTCATGTATTGAACGGGATAATGATTTGTTCCAATCATCACGATAACCGGTCTCCTATAAGCACTATTAGACGTGCACAAGAACCAAATAACACAACAAACGCCGTTCTTACTACTACGATAATACTACAAGAACTCAAATCGTATATGAATTTTCGACTGTCATCAGCAAGCAATCAAAATGTTTCCTAAAAAAAATAAGATCTTAAAATGTGTAAGACATTTAAAATAAGTTCTAGCTTGAAAACCGAAGAGCAAGGTATAGCTTCATTAACAATATGCATCGAACAATAAAATGCCGAGGACTGAAGAAAACTTACATTTACAGCAAGTGACATGTCCGCACTGAAAAACCATTTTCTGATTGCCGATTTGCTCCTGACAAACAGGGCACGACACTGTATCGAGTCCGGATAAACCTCTGTTTGCAGATACAACTGACTCTTCGGATACAGCCAAAGTGTCGAAGCCGTCTGATTTCAGTTTTTGATTGGACTGCACCAAACCCTGCCAAAAGATACATAAGCAGCTGGTCGACAATTGACTTTTTCATTATATTGTACTTCCGGAAAATATGTATATCTGCAGATATATATGCACGCCGAATAATAACCAAAGCTTAGATTAAATTTATGTTAAACCACCTTCAAATAGCGAAGCTGTCCCTTTATACGCGATAATGAATCCAAAGCCAGAAACTTCTCGCTAGAATTTTCGACATCAGCGATATCCAACTCTTCTGGACTCAAAGCATCGACAGATGTATCATCCTCGTCTTCTCTAAGGCGCAATCTTGACGTTGCCATCTTAATTTCATCATGAGCACGTAAAACTTGCGCTTGAGCAATTGCCAGAGACCTTGCCAGGCTGTACTCTTTGCGCATTGCCTATGCAACAGATTTTAGGAAGATTAGACACACAAAAAAGATTCCTTCCCGAACTAAAATCAGTTGTCTGCACTGCAAGAAAACAATTGATATCCGAAAACGACAGACATTCTGAAAAAAATGTTCTCTCTAAATTGGAGCATGTACGGACACTGTGTCTTGTGCAGCTTAAGCATCGAACTGTTTTGTCATAAATGCACCGAATTAAAATTTCTGGCGTCGATCTAACTCCCAATTACAGCACCATGAAGATGATAAAATAGCATGAAATAAGGGCATCATGCAAGTGCAGGAAAAACAAAGTGCCTGACATACTTCAAGAAGGTCGAGATGCTTTCTGGCAGCCAAAATCGTGTCCTTTTCAAGAAGCCCTCTGGAGTTGCTTCTGATTATTGTCAGCACTATCTCCAAATCAGACGGCGACTTTGAGACCTGAAAGACAATTTCATAAGAGTTTGCTGAACATATTTGTTACATTTCCACAATGATGAAATTAAGGCTCAGCGTCGAACTTTTGTTTAATTTTCATGTCCGTACATTGCATCGTGGGAATACATTCAAAAGGAGTGAAAGAAGAATGTTCATGCTTTTGAATAAACCTCCATAAGATGCATATATATATATATATATAAACTTCATTCAGCAGCATCACTACAAGCGGATAATAAAGCAAAACTTTCTAATAATATTCGACAAATCACTCAAATATAAGAACAGTAAACAAGGTTTTAAAAATGGTACCGTCACTTTCTCCCCTGCGTCCCTCTTCTTTCCGTCATCTTTGTCATCAGAAGCTGATGCACTCGAATTTTTGTCCCCTCGTGATAGATTCCAATAGAACTGATTCAGTGCAGATTTCCTCTTTTGCAGGTTCACCGCCTCTTCTACAGAAGTAATCATCTCTCCATTGTTGCTTTTGTTAAGACGAAAGAGCCTAGCTTCGTAAACCTGATAGAAGAGTTTTTTCTCAAGAAATTTCCACGATGCATGAACCACATATTTGTTGGCTAAAAGAAACTACAGATTCAAACCTGAAATATTTCGTCCAACTCACAATGGGTGCATGCAGGACCGTCAAAATTAGAATTGCAGTTTTTGCAATATCTAACGAGCATGATATCCTCCTCCCTTGGATTTTCCATTGTCTGATCAATTTCCATAAGTCTATCAAGTAGAGTTTTTCTTGAATCTTGCAGAGCATCCAATCCAGTTTGAACGTAGTACTTCAGCATCGTGATAGTCCTAAAGCTGAATGATTACAGCATAAGATATAGATATTGTTATCAAATTCAATCTGCAGTGAAGCTAGAAAGGTCTAACAATCAAAATTTTTACATTAAAACAAAACAATTTAATCAACTAAACATATAAAACCAGTGCAATACTTTGTTTAGTTTTATGCCCAAGACGAACGAGAGATTTTGTTCTGATGTGCTGTTAGACAAGTCGCGTGTACACAAGAATTTGTAAAATAGTGTAACACTGGTAAATTAATGATTAGAGTTGCTAAATATGGTGATATTCTGAAGTCAAGCAATAAGCAAATACATATAGGAATTGGTGGTGAAGTCGTAACTAACAGAATGCAGGATAACACAACACGAAAAGGATAGTACAAATCTAAATCAATCCACTTCCTTAACATTTTGCTTATTTTGAACCTTCTTGAGAAACAGTGAAGTGGCCTACTTTGGAAAATTTGTAGAAATATCAAAAAGGCATTTCTTAGTCTCATAACCATGAAAAATATCTAGATAACTATACATATAAAAACAACCTATAGCTAGATACTAATCTAGATGAGGAAAGAACTCAACAGGAAGGTCAAGAATGAATATACAAACAAAAGAAAAGAATAAAAATAAAAATAAAAAAATTCACAGCTTTCCATAGGAGAGTCGAAGCTAGAAAATGCAGAGTGCATATGCGTGTGTGCTTTTTTCTAATCATTCTCTACCTCTTTAAATTTTTGTTAACTAAGATTTAGTTTGAAATAGCGGCTGAAATTTATCTAATGAAGCCTTTTAAATTTGAAAACAAATAATTGGTTTCTTTAACATCCTTTTAGAGCACTATCCCAAATGACCACCAACGTCAGTAGCATGCCCTTCAGCTTCGCATCAGCCCCAAAACACTAGCACGCAGCTTCTTATCACTAACCTGGCAATAAAAGTAATCCAAAACAGGATGGAAAAATTATCACTCACTTGGCAGGAATTCTCGATTTCTTATTCAGATTCCCAGAAAGAGCTTCTCCAATTTTCTGTATTAGCAAACTAGATGAATCCTTATCTTGCTCAATGTGATGGAGGGCATCCAACCACCAAGTGGCATTCTGATTTTTCCTTCTTATATCACAGACCTTCAAAGTGGGAGGGAGAAAGGGAATCTATCAGTGATGTGATAAACGAATAGTATGTAGAACATAAATCCCCTAACTAAGGAACTTAAAATGAACCTTGAAACAAAATTTATTTAGCATGAAATACTACTGTATGTATGGATGCAGAACAATTCTCCCGAGGGTCTATTGTAGATATTTTCTCAACTACATCATTTATGAGAAAATAGCTACAACAGATACTAAAAACTGAAAATATGCCATGTTCACTGCAATATCACATTCAGCAAAAACAGTATGCAGTTACACGTAGAATGATATTTTTAAGCATTATTTAAAATAGCTTGGAACTCATAGACCTGGTCAAATGATTTTCTGAACTCTTGTTGAGCTGCAGATAACTTCGTAGTAAATACTGACAAAAACTTCTGCTTAAGATCTTCACATGCCAACCTCAGGCTTTCGATATATCTTAAGCATGCCGAAGAATTAGGTGAATTATTAGAAGGTGGTATATCCACGCTGGGAGCATCCCCAATTATATCTCCACTTTTCATAGCATGATTGTCACTTCCATCCATATCACGAGCTTCCGGGAGTATTTTCTCATCAGAGCTTCCAGAAACAAACTTACATTGAAAACTCCTCTCTGTGCTTGGCAATGCTTCAGCAAGGTTATGATGAATGTGGATGTTTAACAGAGGATCTAAGCGAAAGTCATCAGAGTGCTCTTCGACTAAATTCAGTGCCTCTTTATACATCATGGCAGCTTGAGGGAAGTCTTGTTTTATAATAGCTATCCCTGCAAGTCCATTCAAAGCAACAACTAATTTCCTGAGGGCATCCTCACCTTCTATCTTTGTCTTGCCAATTAGAACCTGCAGAGAAATTATTTTCATTAAAAGACAACAGTAAATATTATATTGGGCAAAGCCCTTGGTCGAAATGATAAATTTGTACTCACACTAAACCCACCGACAATATCTCCTCCATTGTCATGGGAGATTTCTGCAGTGAACGTAGACCAGAACTTCCCACTTGAGGATGACAACAGGCTTGACGAAGTTTTAGGAGTGAGTTGAACAGCTTTGCAGCCTCCACATTGGTGATATAAGGTTCGAATGAAGTATCAGATATCTTGGAATCTGGTTAAGATATCAAAATCCGAATTATTCGAAACATGGAAGGATGGAACATTGATTTTACAGCATTTAGCTAACAAGTTCATGAAATATGTGATAGAATATAAGGTTACTGAAACCTGCTGCATCTTTTCTTTGGATGTTATCCTTGAAGTTTTTTATTACTTCCCGGGCGTCATCCACACAAGTTTCATGCTGCCTCTGGTAGAAGTGTTGTTCAATGGGTGAGAGAGAAAGCCAAGAGACACATTCCTCCTGAGGAGGAAGCTGTAGTTCATCCCAAATATGCCCCTTTGACGAGCGCCACATAAGTTGTTTAAAAAAATTATGCGTGAAAGCCACAGCCCCCGCATCTCCCTTCTACAAGTGGACAAATAAAAAGTGACAGCGTGAAATCACCACTTTGCAACAGTCATAACACTACAGCTACAAGAAACAATCATTGAAATCCAAAATATTTGGAGAAGTTGGCGCACGATAATGCTGCACTCTATTTCATGGAAAGTGCATCACATAGTGTGGATTTACTTGGCATGATTAGGAATCATTTAAATCAACATCAACACTACGCTATGGTGAATTGACATTCCTATATCTCCATACCTCATATGGGTTTGAAATAACATCAGACCACCATCTAAAGACATCAAAAGGACTTGCTTGAAGAAATTTCAAAAGTCCGTAGAGGTCATCAAGCTTTCGCTGTATGGGAGTCCCTGTTATACACCAACGATGTTTTGCATGCAGACGTAAAGCCAATTCTGTTGCTGCAGCAGCATTCCCTTCCACCATTTGAGCTTCATCCAAGCATAGCCTCCACCATAAAACTCTGGTTAGAAGAGTTGGGACTACTGGGTATCTGTAATACAAACACAGTTAACATTGGAGCAATGATGATGCTGAATACTGAAGCCCACGAACTTGACTAGAGGAATGAGTGGTTAATTTCAGTCATAAAAGATCAAGAAGAAGAAATGTTATTGAAAGACTTGGGATGGTTTTGTGAAAACGTTGGATCGGGTGATCCTAGAAAAGTGCTTATTTCCTGAAGTAAATGTATATATAACGATTACTCAATCAATATCCCCTTGAATAGCTCCAACAAACAAAGCAACTGCAGATAAATGAACTGTTTTTGGGAGGGAAAAAATGAAGAAGAAAACTAGTAAAGAAAGCAAACCAATTGTCAGTTGTCTTACTGTCCCAGATCTCGTGACTTGTACTAGATTAAATGGCTTCTCTTGATGTGAAATTAAAGAATCATCTATCTTATTACCCTATTGAAATGCTTCTCTTTTTCCCTTCAACAGAAACTATCATTGAAGAAGTGCATCACAGCGATCAAATTGAATGATAGAATATATACATATATATGGTGCAACACATTTTCGTAAGGATACAGTTAATGGAGAAACTATATTTACCCAAGAGAAAAGTCCTTGAGGATGCAGAAGAATATTACCTCTTTCTGTATCTCATAAAGCGTCGATCCCCTTCATGCCTTTCAGAATCATGAGGCAAATCCTCTTTAAGCACTTCGTAAGTCGTCAAGACAATATCAGCACTAAGAAGTTCATTGATATCAACGACAGGTTCGTCAGAAAATGAAGTGTGTCTAACCCCTCCATAAATGCAGATTCTCAAAGAGCCAGGATTTGTGTGACTGGTAAGACAACAGAAGACAATTGGGTAGAAAATAACCAAATAGGAAACTCATTCTAGAAAGAATAACCAAAGTAACTAATATATTCAGTATAGGTCATTTATGTTTCATCTGAATTATCGAGTTGTACTAGAACGGGAGACACATTAGGACATGGTATGAAGTATAAGTGAAAGAACAAATCATTGACTCTCTTTCATACAAAATAATGAGTGTGCATATTATGATATTAATACAAGCAGTCAGAATTTATCAAGGGAAGGAAGATCAAATACAATCAACAAGAAAATGCCAATTCAATCCAATCATATATCTGATTTCATATATGTGCATACAGAAAAATATCTATTTGACAAGTAATCATTTCAAAATTTGCGCTTATGAAATGATATTAGAATTTTGGGCACTACAAACTCAATGTAAATCAAGGTGTAGGTTCAGTGCTCTTAACTAGATTGAGGCATTAGCAGATGTGAATTCAAATCCATAGAATATGATTGGGACTTCAATGCACTTCAAAACCTTCAATTTGGGGCATATAGTGTGTATTGAGATGGATTGATAATTCATGAACTATGGACTACCGTGAAACTTTTTCTAAATCCAAATACAGCATAAATATATTCTCAGGGGAACAATGCCAAATAAAATTTTACCGGAGAATTTCGGAATGCCACTGGAGCAATATGGGAGTTGGGCAAATGATAAGTGTTGCACCTGTAGCAATCGGTGCTTCTGTTGCCTGCATCAGAGCTAAGCATGTTTGACATATATACTCTCCATCCATCTCAACTACCTCTGTATCTCTCTTTCTTTTTCTTGTTTTCCTTGAGTTCCCAACCGACGGATCCTTCAAGCTTCCCCCTCCAGTGGCTTCCCCTGATTTTGAAGATTTTCTTTTTGCAGAATAACCAACACAGTCTGCATGTTGCCAAGCATCGCAAAAGTCACACTGCACCCACAGACCTTTATATCTGTAGCTTTCATTAACAGCACCACATACGCACTCCACCCGCTCCCTTTTGAGTCTTCTCAAGCTGTTGTTTTGAAAGCTTTGCACTGACTTATCAGAACCAGCAGCCACTTTAGGAGATGGCATCCGATGAGAGAATACACATGATAGCAGTTCTATGGTTTTCCCCAGGCCCATTTCATCTATATATATTGTAATCATCAATTCAAAAGAAGCAGCCACAGAGATAGATAATGTTGACTTCCAACAGGATACAAAGGTTTAGTAGAATTGAAACACACTGGCATATAATTCAGTTGCATATTTTAAATCACAATGTAAAACCAAAACAAAATTAAGGGGGTGATCCTTTTGGTGTAGTGTAACATTTCTTAGCAACAAATCAAATATTTGTGAATTCAAAATAGGGTTACACAATATTGAAGTGAATATGTATGACGACATAATTGAAATAATTGAACTTAAGAATAATAACGTACCGGCAAGAATTCCGCCAAAAACATATGATGAGCAACTACTGGGACGCAATGAAACATTTCCACTGGAGCATCACAATGTGAAATTTCTCTATCAGATGTGTTATTCCGATAAATAATTACAGAAATGGAAAGATTCACATTTTTGTCAGGCACATCGCGAAAAATCCAAAAGAAACCACACAGTTAGCTTTTAAGCTTACGATAATAAGTGAATTTCTAAATCACATTCTGACTTAGATGATAGCAGAAAACACTGAAGAGAAAACATACCTAAAAGGATTGTAAAAAACTCGTCTAGAGGAGTCGATCAAATCTAGAGGCATACACAGAGGAGAAGCAATCTGATTTGTTTCATATCCTGTTAAATGATCAAGATCACCTTTCTCCCGTTGTACCATCCAGTAAGCTGCACGGCGCTGATATGGCCGCAGTTGAGGAAGCAAATCAGGAAGATAATCGTCCAGCATTGGTGCCTCCCTGTTGTAAAAAGTCGATAGCACGAGTCTCAATAAAAGCAATCACAGAATCCAAAGCACTATAAGTGGAAAGTTCGATCTTCCATGAATACTCACTTGGATGGCTTAATAGCTTCATAAAAGCTCGAAACATCAAATCTCGCTTGTTTACTCAATGCAGAGGAATCGTCATCTGCTACAACAGGAACATCAGCATCCATCTTTTTCGCATCATAACATCCATATCTAGCTTCTGAAGTCAGAACTTCAGGCCGCAGCCATGCCATAACATTCATCATACTTCTTTTCCACAGCTGCCTCGTATTCTCGAGTAATGACTCGGATTCATCAAACACACTTTCCATAATCTCCACTCTGATACGAATGGATGGCATGGAGTGCGATAACTCAATTCCTAAGATCGGCCTAACACTCAAGTGCTTCAAACTACATAAATGAACCAGACCGGTGAGTCCTTCGCCCGGTCCATCAACAACTCCAGACACCATCACTACATCCCTATCCCTTTCCTCTACTGTCTTCTTCATCACAAACTGCAAACATGTATTGTTCTCAGACAAAACCGGCCAATGCCCTAATTTCATTCGATCAAGATGCCCGTTTACATCATTTAACTCAAACCTCAAACAATACCTCGAATCATTGTAAAATTCCTCAGTCAGCTTATATCCATCGAACTCCTGGCTCACATTCAAGTTCATCAAAACAATTTCTGATACATCGCTATGCTCCTTCCCTAGCCAGCTAGATTTGTCAATTTGGACAAAATATGGTTCCTCTGTCTTGCCAATCCCATCCTTTTCAGGATCTCCATCTTTGCTGTTAGATTCCACTTCAGAAGAACAGCGCTCAATTACTCTCCCTGACCTACGCGGCCGATATTGCTTCTTTCTCGCCATCACTACACACTATCCAACCACCAGGTTTCAGTTCAGCAGGAAATTCAGAGAATTGTGATTCCAATTCATAAATGTTTACGCATATCTTTAATTAATGTGCTTCTAGAACCGAATGCGGGAATTGTGAACCGAAGAAATCGGGATTTACCTCGACTGTAACCTGATAAGGGTTTGTTAATTCATATTCCCATTCACAGCGGCGCAGAAGTGACGAGACAATCACCGCGGCCACTTTCCGACGCAGCGTGCAATCCCTCCGCCTTCTACACAAGTTTGAGAAATTATGCCTCTGCGATTTGCTGCCGATTTATACGTTTTTCAAGGCCATCTACCCGCAGGTTGGTCGCTAAATCCGTGTGGGCCGCAATTTTTAGTTTCCCCTAAATTCTAAAACTTCTTTTTGGGTGTTATATATAGCCTCTGATTTGGACCAGTTGACCCATTGGAATTTACTCTTCTCCGACGTTCACACCCGCCGGAGGAGGCCGCCGTTGCCGGCCTGATCATCGGAGTCGGTGCTCAGATTTTCGCAGTTCAGTCTCTCTTTAAATTGTAAAATACCCCCAAAGCTCAAAATTTTATCATCGATTTATGGCATTTTTAATGACGACAACTGGTGATTGTAAATAAAGAATCTTGAAATGATAATCACATTGGATATTAAACAAAGCATTCAGTGCTGAAGTTTTTGCAAGATTGGTGATTGATGAGCAGTGCAGAATCTTCTGTTGATTTGGGAAGAGTGATTGAGCAGTGAAGAATTTATTCAAAAACCAAATTGAAAAAAAAAAAACTGATACAAACAAAAGTATATCTACGCTCTAAGTTGTAAGAATTAAGACAGCAAATGTAGAAACATTCGTGTGCATCTATCCATGACCAAATGTAGAAATTTGAAGACGACATTAGAAGGGAATCTGCAGCTGTTCATGTCCGGTTTTTCAGTTATCCTCTTAGAGATGACCGTTGCTTTTGTCTTTCTGGTTCACTTGTTCATCACATGGCTCGGCGACGAATATCCCATTAGCTGATGAAGCGGGGAGTTTGACATCGGGAGCACCTCTTCAATCTCCGACGTCCGAGAAGGCCCGACGATTTCGACAGCTTTCGTCCCTACCGCCACGCTCCGATCCTCCGTCGCAACAGATTTCATCTTTCGATTATCAACAGGCGTTATCGAAGAACTCGTCGAAGACATCCTCCCATTGTAAGGACTTCTCCTGACTTGTTTACCCGTAGACGAAACAACCGAAACCTCGCCTTCTGTCGAGCAGCTTCTCCCCTGCGATCGCTCGTTGTCAGAATACGACGAAGCTTCGACCTGTTGGTAAGAACTCGAATGAGACATCTGTTCGAGGTTTCTCGATTCAGCAGCATTGTCGATGTAGTTATCGACGACACTCGGAGGAGGTGCAGACACATTCTTCGGAACGTACGGGACCAATCGAGTCCCTTTCACGAGCGAAAACTTCAGAATCTTCCTACAAGCATTGCACTTCATCTGTCGACATTTTCTCTCGAACAGAAGAAAGTCGTCGGGAACCTGCAACAATTCGAAACAACGGTAACAAGCGACGAACGGAGCGCCACCGGCTACAGGCAGGAGATGTTTCTTCGCCACATTGTACTTCTCTTTAAACCGCAGCCGTTTGATCTCATTCGATCTATGAATGCCCGAATTCGCCGTTTCCCCGCCCCAAAGCGAAAGTTCGGAGCTCGTGTAGTGCTGCGGGCTCGACAAACTCGCGACGACGTTACGATCGCAGCACCTGTTTCGACAGGGCAGCTGCGCCGAGTAGAGCCAGTCTTGCGGATGGCAATGCAAGCACGAGCAGCCGTGTCGGTGTCTGTAATGCACAGCTTCGCCCGAAAACGCCGGTCTCGATACGCTGCACCTGTCGCCACAGCCCTGTCGATGATCGTGCCGTAAGTGATGGTTGAGACCCGAATACGTTTCCCATAAATATTCGTAGGGCAACGGACTAAACTTTTCCTCGATAGCTCCCGCCGGAAACCTTCGATGAACTTTCGGGAAATGTATCCTGTTGAGCTGATCCTTCAGCTCGTGTACTCTTCTCAAAAGGTTCATTTTTTCCGCTTCTGAGTACGAATTTTTCTCCGACGAATTGAAACCGGGTCGAGGCGGGAGTGAACTGCGCCGACAACCGGAAATGCCGCCTTGCATCGCTCGATGTAAAGAATTTGTTGCACAATAATTCCTCTCCGGTTCACGGCTCGCCGGACGAACTCTAGACGGAACATGTCGCCGGATTTGATCATCAGTTCCATCGTACGAAGACTCGCTCCCGTCGTAGGCATAATACCCGTTGAGCGGCGAATCATTCGCTGCGGATTCGTATTTGAACTTGGGGTCGGAGCTACGGTCAGCAACTGACGAACTCCCCGCCGTGTCGATGGAGCTGATTCTTCCATAATTACGATCCGGAGGCTCTTCGTCGTCGGGGCAGGTAAGGTAATACGAATCAAGGCTTTCGTTCAGCGATCTTTGCGACAAAACGACAGCGTTATCGGAATTTCGATTCGCATTCTTTGCGTCCCTCTCGACATTCGGCTTGTCGTCTTCCATGACAACAAGCTCGGAATCATTGTTTTGTGGCGATTCGATTTCCTCCTCATCTTCGAGCTCCGGAAGATTCTGAATTTCGTCGTCATGTTCTGCCGGCGAATGTGTCAGCTCGCCGGAGCTCGGGACTTCATTGGACCCAAATCGGCTTGACTCAATACTCTCGTCGCCGGACTTGCTGACGTGTCCTCCCGAATTATCGACAATGGACGAACCATCCTGTTTCGAAGATTCTGGAACTTCGACAGAGATGTCCTCCTTAATCCCGTCGTCATTACAACCTATGCTGCATTGATCCGGCGAAGATTCCACCGACGGCGGCCTGGTCGAGCCGTCATTCGACGTTGCAGCGCTGTCCTGTTGGGTTCTCGCCGTGGAATAAGCTTCTTGCGCCGGCGATTCGCCGGCGGTCGTCTCCCTTTTTCGATTCTTGGCTGCACATTGAGGGATTCTTTTTTGTAAGAAAACATGGTACGGAATCGAATTGTTTTATTGAATTGGATCGAAACTGGATAGTGTTCTTACCTTGGAGGACAGTGCCGCAGCCGCCGCACCGATACAGGGAAACTTCCGGCAGCTCCGCGAGAACTTCCCGGCAGCCGGGGCATCGGACGAGTCGAACTGCGGTGCTCGATTGAGTGGCCATGTCTGAATCGGAATTGACCTAATTCTGTACAGTACAGAGACATATATGAATAGCATCAGAGCTGAAGAAAGAATTTCTAATTTAATTCACAAATACGAAATTGGTTGTATTGGATGGATCTTTGGAGCTTAAAATCATAAGAAAAATGAAACAAAACAGAAGAAGATGCAGAAATCAAACAATATAAATATATATATATATATAAATTGTTGCATAGTGTGAGATCCAAAGGGAACAGAAGAACTGCAGATCCAACAAAGGAGGAATCTCAATCACAGAATGCAAAAACCCTTACCTTAAACAAATCGAAATCCGAAGAATTCCTCAGAAACCCATTTTCGCAAACCCCCAAATTCAAGGGGAGAGAGAGAGAGAGAGAGAGAGAGAGAGGGAGCAGATGTTTTCTAAAAAAAAAAAGAAATGAAGTATGGAAGGTGTTAAGAAATGGGGAAACAAAAAGGGTTGTATGAACATGGGTTCCGTTTTACACCAAGAAAAGAAAGACAACCCACCTTCTAGACTTTGTCCTTTCTCTCTCCTAACTTCTATCTGTCTGGTTTCTCTCTCTCTATGTATATGTGGTCAGTCAGTGGTAATGATGCAAAAAAGTCTTCCTGCCGTGTTTAAGAAGCTTATTCCAATTCTTGAAGTGGAATTCTTGGGTCGTGCCCTCTGTGACTCCACCCCACAATTTCTCTAATTTCTAATTTCGAATATTGTTTGTTGACTCTGTATCCTTCTTCTTCTCCTTCTCCGCGTTGATTTCATATGTATTCGGATCGGATCGGATCGGGTCGAGACACGGTTAACTTAACCATTTTGGGGTATTTATTTCCATGGCGCCTCTCCAACGTGGTCCCGGACCTCCACAAAAGTCTGATCTCATCTGGACTCACAAAGTCAAAGCATCTATTTGTGTATATATAAAGAATGATGATTTTTATTATTTAATTTTGTGAGTGTGGTGGGTGTGTGGGTTGTTGAGATGCAGACAGACAGCAAAGCTTGCTCGAATTCGATCGGATCAAATGAAGGAGGTATGTGCGTGTAATGTATTGTCAGTTTTTTTTTTTTACCTAATCCATAGGGAATTTGGAAGGTGCCGAACGATTATAAAAATAAAATAAATAATACTCCTTCTCTTCCTTCATAAACTATTATTTACTTTTTTATTTGGGATATTTAATAATTATTGTTTTATTTTTTTTTAAATATAAATTTTATATTTTTATTCTCCATTTATTTATTACTTTTAATGTCTCCCATACAATTAAGGACAAATTTGTTAATTTATAATAAAAAAAACAATCTTAACCAATTGTATAAATATACTCTAGACAATAGAAATTGGACAGAAAAACTAATACAGTGCAACATCAGTTTTATGGAGTACTAATATAGCTAGGTTGTGTTGTATGTGTAATTTGTCAAATTGGATTAACTGTTGAATTAATGAATTCTCCTTTTTTGAATTTCATCAACATCATTAATTAATTAAATTATTTATTTAATTAAAATAAATAAATTTAAATTAGCTGTGGAAATTTATAGGGTCTGTTTCTTTGGGTTGTTTGCACAGTTTTTTTCCCGAGCGCTTCTCCCCCTTCCCTCGACATTAGCTGTAGAAATGGCAGCAAAAAGCTGCCACTTTATTTATTTTTTTAATTATTTTTTAAAATATTATATTTATTTAATATTTATAATAATTATACGGTAAAAAAATATATACAATATATATATTATTTTGTAGATAATAAGATTTTTTATAATACAAATAAATAAAAATTTAAATATATATATATATGTTGAGTATAATATAATTCATAATCAAATCATACAATATAAATTTTGTCAATTAAATTTAATATATATTTATATTATTTTATTCATTATCCATCAAATCAATACACGTCAAAACTTCCAAAATCCCAACCAAACTCAAATACATAAGAAACGACAAAATTCAAACACATCCCAAAATTCAAATAAAAACCAAATTCAAACCCCCTAAAGAAACACACCCTATATCAGTTTATATTGAATTTTTTACTATATCAACATTTGATCCGAAGGCAAAATGCGTGTATACATGTATCACAAACAAACAACTCAAAAAGATCTATTCAAAAATTTTACTTTTATCTTTCTTATAAATTAAATAAATATTTTTATTTATATTTAATTTTATGTATTTTTTATAAAATTAATTTATGTTAATTATAAATATATTTTTAATTTATTTGTATTATATGAAATTTTATTTTCTATAAAATTTATATTACATATATTTTTTAGAGATAATTTTTTTTAATATTTAAATACATATTCTAATTTTATATATATAATTAAATTTATTTCAAAATTACAAATATTATTAATCATATAAAAATAATAAAATAATATACTAATTCATTATTATTAATTAATAATTAATTAAATACTATTACAATAACCGTGTCCACTGCAAAAAATGTGAATTATGCCAGAAGGAACTGAGAATATATAATACTAGTATAACTTTATTTATTCACCGAAAAATTAATATTTCAATCCAAAATTATTATTTTTATGTTATTAATATATTTTGTCGTACTTAAAAATAAGAAAAATATTGCATAAAACTCTCTCTCCGTTAGTACTTAACGGCGATTGAAATTCACGTATTCAAATACATTATAGTACAATAATAGTAACGTATATTGTATTGTTCGGTTGTGCTCACCTTAACACGTAAAGTACTAACGGTCGTGCTTTTTTTTTATAAACAGTTGCACTTCGAGTGCGTGAATTGCAAGCGCCGTTAAATTTTAATAAAGATAGTTGATTATGCAATATTTTGGAAATCACGAATAGATAATATGGAATTTTAGAACTATAGGAGTTTTTAGTAAATTCTGAAAATTACATGAGATTTATAATTCTTCCGTCCCAAATATAATGCAACATTTGTTTCCGAAATAAAAATTTAGGTGGATAATATAAAATAGAATAATTTGGAGAATTAAGTAATACTCGCTCCGTCCCACATAATTTATCCATATTATTTATTTTCGTTTGTCCCACGTTATTTGTTCATTTCTTTTTGTGAAAATATGATTATCCACTTTAATCACATTTTAAGTTTTAATTTTTATAATTTTTTAAATCTTAATTAAATTATTTATTTATCTTAATTTTAATTTATAATTATTTTTACTAAATAATAATTATTTATACTAATATACTTATTAATACCTACTAATTATATTTTAATTCTCGTATATACTGTAATACATCCAAAATATATGGAACGGACGGAGTATGATAAAGAGAGAAGAATGTATATATTTTAATGATGTTATGGGACGAAGTTTGAAGTATGAATTGCATATATTTTAATTATTTTTTATTTTAAAAATATTGTAAATTTTATCTACGTATGATTCGAGCGTTGCCGGAGGGCCCTACCAGAAAACCTTCAAAAAAAGTGCCACGTGTCGATCGCGGGCGAGTGGATCACAGCTCATACATACAGCTGAGCTGATGGTGGTTTGGCTTATAAACATTTTAATAAATGCTGGTCTGGGCCCCACCTCACTGTTGGCGGCTCGCCGAGCCATTACGATCTTCCGGCCCACATCAATCAATGCGCTAGCCGCCCAAGCCTGCAGGAGCCGCTGAGTAGTGTCGGCATCGGCTCATGATAACTGCATCCAATTGTTATTGAACACGTGGCGGAATGACGCATTCCGCCACGTCACTGTGACGTTGGTTGCAAGCATTTATGCCGTGCTTATCCCTAATCCATTATCTAAGATTTTCCAACCGTTCATTTTGTATATATACCTCCTACCTAAGTTCAGAATTATTCATTTATTTCACGGAATTTAATAAATACTTAATAAAATTAGATACTTCTGTCATTATTGAAATAATTGTTCAAATATTCGAACGTCAATTTTAGTAAAAAGTATATAATAATTGTTTTTATTTTATTTTTTATTAAAAAAAACACGAAAATATTTTTTTCGATAATTCAAAATATATACTCTTTTCTTCTACCAATAAAAGTTACATTAATTTTGTATGTTCACCTAATAATTTTAGATTTAACGATTTCTATAAATGTTAGTTAAAAAATATAATATACATATATTAATACAATATATATAATATAAATTTTATTTAATTATTAAAAAATCAAAGATTCAATATAAAAAAATATTTTTATATTACAACACAAATTGTAATTTTGACTTAGATAGCAATTGGATATAACTTTTACATAAAAACAAATGTTAGGACTGAGTTCAACACTAGTATAATGTTGTCCGGGTCACGAGGTAAGTCCACCACCACAATCAATGCCCAATGCCACCCAATCCACTTTACCATCTAACCAGACTCTTCGCTTTGGGCTAAATCTGCACGGATTTGTTTTTCCTGATACTAGTGGAGTTCACTTGGACTTATAAGGTGTGTAATTTTCTTCACAACTTCCAATGTGACACTTGAATAATAATAATAAAAGAATTGCGTGTTTGATTTGTACTTTGTAGAATTTTCTTATATATATATAAGTGAAATTATTTATAAGATAATTGTTACGCACAAATAATAATAATAATAATCATAATAATAATAATAATAATAATAGCTGGATTTTAAAGGAAGTTAAAACACGAAGTCGGGCGGAAAAGAAGAAAATCTGCACTCAGGTCGGTTGGTCCGGTCGGTTGTTCCGTAGTCGGATAAGCAGGTCGGTTGGTCCACGGTTGGTTGGTCTGCGGTCGGATAGGCAGGTCGGAAGGTCTGTAGTTAGATGAGATGATTTGCAATCATTTGGTTCGCAGTCGGTTGGTCCGCCATCGGTTAAGTCGGCCAATACGGAGTTTGGACCAAGCAAAGGTCTGTTAATCAGTTGCCTAATTAAGTGAACAGTAGTTCGGTCGCTTGGTTGGAGAGACCATTGAATCGTCTGGAGAAATCAGATGTTGGTCGCTTGTTGGGGCGACCATTGAATTGTCTGTAGAGATCAGATGCTGGTTGCTTGATGGGGCGACCAATAAATCGTTTGGTCTAGTGACCAGTTAGTCTCTGGAATGGTCGGTCGACCTAGTTGAGTTCTGGAACTGGTGGCAGCGTTTGGCGGGACGGTTAAAGACACGTGTCAATAAAAGAGAAATTAGTGGACGGTTGCTGTAACCAACCAGGCGACGGTTCTGAAACGTTTTCTTGAAGGAATATTTAAGGATGTGGATTTTTTATCTTCAATTATCTTCAATCGACATCAAATTCAAGAGAATTGTTTTTTGGGATCACCACTTTATTTTCATTTTTCAGTATGTAGTTTTATTTTTCTATTTTATTTATGTATCCTACAGTGTTTAGAGATTCCTAATATCAGGCACTAATTATATCAAATTCGAAAGTAATTTCCTATTTTCAAATTTTACTTTTTATTGTTGAAAAAATACATCAGCAATAATATTTTATGAAAAATAGTTGAATAAAAGAAAATTACAAAAAAAATGTGAAGCATACTAGAATTTATCATAAATTAAAGTTAAGATAAGATTTACCGCGTTGAAATAAGTGAGAAGATGAAGCAAATAAATCCAACTTGATTCAATTAGTATAATAGCATTCATATCAATAAATTAAGTAAAGATATTGTGTTCTTCAAATCTATATAGGCAAAAATTCTAAGATTCTTCTATTGTTATTTTTTTTAAATGAGATATGAAATAGTAATTGTTGTCGCATCTAGATTTAAAATC